CCTAGGGGGGCGGAGTCTTCCTTATCGTCTAAGGCGAAGAGCGGTTCTATCTTTACTATTTAAACCGCTATAGGCCGCTTAGCTAAAAGGAAGGGGTATTTTAATATAAAGTATATAGATACTCTATAACGTAAGCAGCGGCCGTTAGCTTTCCTCTTCTTAATTTCCTTACTCGTTACCTACTTCGCCCGCTACTTAGAGTATAGGGCGGTATAAGGGGTAGTTAACGGCGTCTTCTTACTACGTTTAGCCCGGTCTATATAGGTAGCCGATATTAAGGTATCCCTATCTATATTAATAGCTAGTTATTTATCTTATAGAGGGGCGGTAATCCTATCGCCGCTATATAGCGTACGCTTATAGAGCTTTTAAAAACGCGGCGTCTATTTATAGCCCTAAGCTACCTTTATTAACTAGCTTATATACTCGCTATAGTTAGTAGGTATAATTATAGGGATAAGTAGCTCTTATAGGGCTAGCGTAATTAAATTCTATAGCTATATAAGCTTTACGCTATCTTCCTATACTATAGTCCCCGCTACCTATAAAAGTATCTCTTTAAAATTAAGAAGGAATTCGCTAAAGGTTTATCTATCTCTTTACTTAAGGGTCTATAGCCTATCTTATGCCTTCTCCCGCTCCTATACGTTGCCGAACGTATATATAAGGTATTAAAAGAAGTCTTATAGGTCGCGTCTACCTTTAAGGCCGCCCTTATCCTAGAATCTAGAGATCTACTATATCTAGGGCTCTAGTAGCGTATAAAGGAGCAAATACCACGCTATATCGCGATAGCTATTTAGGCCCTATTTCTTATTAGTTATAAACTTTATCTATAGCTAGCTAAGGAAGAAGTAGAAGGACTCCGGCTTACCGTCCTAAGTCGGCTAAGGGAGCGGCTTCCGCGTCGGTAGTATCGCCGCCGTAACCGGCGTTATAGAGGCCGTAGGGGTTAGAGCTAGTCTTATAGACGGCTCCCTTAGTATAGCGAGAACCTCGTCCTTCTCGCTAGCCGTCGCGCTTTTAATCGCTTCTAGGATAGCTATAATACTTCCTATCTATCTAGGGAGGGGCAGAGTACTTCCTTAAGGGGGAGGCGCCCTCTCTAGAGAGATATCTATTAGATCTATTAGTTAATAGCTTATACTATTACGGAGTAAGTAGAGGCATAGGCGTAGGTACTATCTATAAAATAATATTAATAAGCTATATAGAGCTCTCTTATACGCGGCTAGCCTATATATATACGTATAGGATCCGGCCCTCTATACGTAACTATATAGCTTAGGCTATAGCCTAAGCTTATAACCTATAATAGTTAAAGACTCTTATATACGCTAGTGTTATAGAGTAGACCTAAGAGGGCATAGGCTGTGGTCGCGCCACTACCCCCCTCTGCTATATACGGCGTGTTGCACGCACGCGATAAAAGGTAACGAATTAACTAAGCTGCCTAGCTTGTCAATTGACCATACTTATTAACTGTCTAGGCAACGCCTAGACTCTTATATATGGTTTCTTCCCGCGCTCTCTTCCGTCACTCCCTTAGTTAATAGGCCATTACCCCTAGGTGCCGCACTACCTATTAGCCTAGGTTGAGATCCCCCGCTGCCTGCGCCATGCACACGCCTCTAGGCTGCGGCGCCCGTATACATGCGCGCCTATCTAGCCTTACGCACGGGGACTCGAACCTACGACCAGTAGGTAGCTTAGTTAATATGTCATAGAGTAGACCTAAGAGGGCATAGGCTGTGGTCGCGCCACTACCCCCCTCTGCCACGTACGGCGTGTTGCACGCACGCGATAAAAGGTAACGAATTAACTAAGCTGCCTAGCTTATTAATTAACTATACTTATTAACTGTCTAGGCAACGCCTAGACTCTTATAGCTAGTAGGAAAATTACTACTTACTATAGGTAATATATAATAAGAAGCCCCTATTAGGCTAGAAATATAGTAATCTAGCTAAATAGAATATCGAAAAACAGCTAAAAGACTATTTAAATAAGAAAGTAAAATGCCTAGCTTAGACCCTTAATTTATACTTAAAGGAAGAGAACTAATAAATACTATTATAAGTAATAATTCTTATAAAGAGAGATATAAAAAGTATATATAAAATATATAACGGTAAAATTAAAAGTAAGGGGTTAGATAAGCTAGGCAAAGATATTTAATTCTTATAAGGGTAGTAATTATAGTAAGGGAGTAATTATTATATTACCTTAATTATCCTTCTTTCTTTTATTTAACGCCCCTCTTTATACCTATTTAGTATCTTAATTAATAAAGAAGATCCTACTTAAAGAAGCTACTAATATCCTCTTAACTACTAAGCTTTTTACCGGTTTTTCCCCTCTATTCTAGCCGTTGCTAGTATATCCGTCTTATCTCTCGCTACCTTTATAGGAAGCTATCGCTACTTTTACTTCCCCTCTTACCCCTACCCTCCTCTCTATACCTCCTTTTAGCTCCTTCTTTTAAACCGGTTTTTTAGCTTCCTTAGTCCCTCTTACTAAGGGATATCTCTAAGAACTATAAAATTAAGCTACGCTTCGCGATAATAATAAGCTAGGAATAATAATTAATATAGTTGCTTTATCTAAGGTAAATACAGCTATTAAGGGAACGCTATTACTTACTAATAAATTAATCTATAATTTAAGGGCTAATATTAACCTTTTTAATAACCTAGGATAGTTCTAGGAAGGAACCTTTAAATAAGGTTCTTATAACGAAGTCTAAGTTAAAGACTAAGCCTTTAAGGTATAAGGAATAAGAATAGTAGTTATCCTTATAATTAATAGTAGAAAGATAACTTTACTAAATATCTACTTTATCTTAGAAATACTAATAAGCGTCTTCTTAGCTAAGCTAAGGATAAATATAAGAATATTTCTAAAACTAGCTCTTAAGATACCTTTATTTAGAACCTATAAAGGATATTTATATTAAACTAACTAACTTTAAAGGCTAATTTATAATAAAAACACTCCTATAGTATAAGAAGTAGGTATTTATAGTTACGTAAGCGCCTAAGCCGATAACTAAGGGGGTAGGTAACCTATAGTATCGCCGCCTTAGGCATCTTAGTCTAAGATTACTAGAGAAGCTATTAAAAGCCTACTTAGGTACTAAGCTTTAAGGCCCTATAATATATAGCTATTAAATATATATAATAGGGAAAGCTAAGAGGGAAGTCTTAAGAAAAATACTATCCTTAAAGCCTAAAAGTCTAAGGGTATAAGTTAGCTTCGACCTTTACCCTAGCCCTATAATAGTATATAATAGGGAAAAGAACTTCGCCCTATTTACCTATATAGATATATTTATAAGGTTCTATTACCTAATAAAAAGAAAAATAGGTATTAAGGATATCTTTAATAACTTCGTAGCGTTACTTAAGACCTAGTATAAAGTTAAGATAACTATATTAGTTACTAGTAGGGAAAGGGCTCTTTTAATAATAAAGCTTAACTTAAAGCTTTTAAAAGAGCTATAGCTAGAGATATACTATATAGTAGTATACCTACTTAATATAATACCCTTTAAATTATATACTTATAGCTAGTAGTATCGCAAAGCATAGCTTAATTTATATTCTTAGAGATATCCCTTAGTAAGAGGGACCTAAGAAGCTAAAAAACCGGTTTAAAAGAAGGAGCTAAAAAGAGGTATAGAGAGGAGGGTAGGGGTATAAGGGGAAGTAGAAGTAGCGATAGCTTCCTATAAAGGTAGCGAGAGATAAGATAGATATTACCGGCAACGGCTAAAAAAGAGGGGAAAAACTAGTAAAAAGCTTAGTAGTTAAGAGGATATTAATAGCTTCTTTAAGTAAGATCTTCTTTATTAATAGAGATACTAAATAGGTATAAAAAAGGGCGTTAGATAGAGGAAAGAATAATAATTAAAGCAATATAATAATTACTCCCTTACTATAATTACTACCCCTATAAGAATTAAATATCTTTACCCTACCTATCTAACCCTTTACTTTTAATTTTACCTTTATATATTTTTATATACTTCTTATATCTCTCTTCGTAAGAGTAGTATCTAGGAAACTAAATATATAAAACGGTGCTTTATATAGAGCTCTATTTTAGGGGCTAACTAAATAACTTAGCGATAGTATGGTAGCGGTAACTAATAGGTAGGCGCCCCCTCTCTAAATATTTAAGCGCTTAAAGGTATATAGGTTACCCTTCTACTAAACCTAAACACCTTTACCTAAATAAGAAAAATTATTTTTAAGTATAATAAATTAATAGTAAGCTACTAGTAAAGTATAAAAAATTTTTTAGTTTATTATACTTTATTCTTATAAGTTATAGCACGGACTTAGGTATTTACTATTATACTCTTAAGGGCGCGCCCGCCCGCTAATATTAGTAAACTTAAATTTAAAAAGAGTATAAAAAAAGATATAAAACTCTAAACTATAAACGTATAAAACTAATATTTACTAATCTAAAAAAAAACCTAGAACTTATATAAAAATTTCTTATTATTTTCGTGTTCTTTATTCCTCTATTTCTATAGTTTAGTTAATTATATTTAAGCTTAGTTAGTTAGCAGCTTATATACCCCTAGGCGCCCAAATATCTAGAGGGGGGCGCCTACCTATCAGTCGCCCGGGGTAGCCTGGATGCATGGTTCGTTGTCATCCAAAATCGGAGGAACACGTGTACAAAATTGGAGGCATAGGTGGCCAAAAAAAATGCAGACCTTGAACATTAGACATGAGCTTGACGGGATCGGAAAGTCTCACGAGGTAATGGCCGTATGTGACAGATGGCGGCTGCAAGTGATCTATGGACTTTGTACTTGCCGTACGCAAGGAGATACGGAGGAACACCAACAGCATCTTAGCCACGTCGACGGGCTGTCTTTACTTTACGCTCTTTGACGAAGTGCAGGCTTGGAAGTTCCCGCATCGTCATCATGTAACCCAGGAAACATAAAAGGCTGGCTAAGTTGCAATCGCATCGATGAAACATCAGGACCCAGCGACGGCACCTCCCGCCGCCCCTCGTCCGAGGCCGCCGCCCCCATCGTCGTCGCCGCCGTGGCCCCTGACGTGGGCGGGTATCGACTTGAACTTATCCACCACCTTGGCGCCCGGGCTGCTCTCGGCCCTCGCCGCCGCCGCCTCGGCCTCGGCCTCGAGCCTCTTCTTCTCGAGGAAGCGGCGCTCCTTCTCGGCGCTCTCGCTCTTGTCCCGCTGCTCCTCCTCGCGCCGCCTGACCTGCTCGGGGGACAGCATCTTGTCGCGGCGGCGGATGAGCTTGTCGACGAAATCCTTGCCCTTGCGGCGCGTCTTGGTGTACGTCTCGAGGCCGACGAGGACCGTGTACGACTTGGAGATGGACACGTGGCCCATGTCGACGCCGGCATCCTTGAGGCTGCGCACAAAGGCGCGGAAGTTGGACGCGGGCGGGCGGTAGTGGCCGCTCAGCGGCGACAGGGACGAGAGGCGGCCGTCCTTGATCTTGATGAGGCCGGCGGCCGAGATGCGGCTGCCCTGCAGAAAGGACGAGTGTTGGAAGGCGCCCGAGTCCTTGATGCCGACGTAGAGGCGGAACGACGTGTCGGCGACAAAGATCCACGTGTTCTTGCGCACCGACTTGCGCAGCAGCTTGTTGAAGATGGTCGAGGCCGAGATGTGCGTGATCTTCTGGACGCCGTGGGCGCCGTCGTAGCCGGGGTCGCCGTACTTGGCCGCGCGGTCGGCTTCTCTGCGCGACTCGGCCGACGACTGGCTCAACGACGACGACGACGTGGAGTCCTTCCTCGAGTGTGCGTCGTTGGGCGCTGCCGCCGAGGGCGCCACCGGGCTGAAGGCGGGCGTGGGGTCGCCCTCGGGGACGATGCCGTGGACGCTGTCCTTGAACTGCTCCGTCGTGTCGATGCGCGCGTCGTTCTTGGCCCAGCACAGGCGTCCTTGCGCATCCACCTTGACGAGGTAGTACTGGCGCTCCTCGCGCGACAGGTAGCGCACCTGCTCGCGCTCGAGGCGCTCCCGCGGACACGTGTCGAGCTCAATGTTCCTGCCGGCGCCGTAGTCGAGCCAGTAGAAGAAGTTGTCGGTCGTGTCCGACTTCTTCCACTCCTCGTGGTACATGCGCAGGTTGCTGCCGTAGCGGTGCTTGACGTCGACCATCTCGAGAAAGTATTGCAGGCCCATCATGCGGGCGGCCTGGCGGCGCTCGGCGTTGGCCAGCTCGCGCTTCCGCCGGGCCTCTGCGCGCTGCTCGGGCGTCTTTGCCGCGTGGCGGCCCGAGTTGGCCGAGTCGGAGTCGGACGACGAGGAGGCGGCATCGTCGGCATCGTCGTGGCCAGCGCGGCGAGCGACGAGGCTCGCTTTTTTCCAGTTGCGCCGCGCGCTCGCGGGCCGGCGGTCGATGGGGTCGTCGAGCGACGTCGTCGCGGCGGCGGAGGAGAGCTCATGGTCGGCGGTGGCGAGGTTGGGGCTCCGTGCGGCGGCGCGCGGCTTGGTCGACTGGCGGAACTGAGCCTCGCGGATGGCGGCGACCCATCGCGTGCCGGCGTCGAGACCGAAGCCCTCCATCTCCCTGCGGGCGCGATAGCCGCGAAACGTCTTTTGAATCATCTGGGCGGCCTCGGCGCGCTCATGGTCGTCGCTGCGCCGCTGCTCCGACGACGTGGTGTGCGAGATGGACTTGCGCTGCTGGCGGGCCCGGCGCCGGGCCTGGCTCTCCTTCTGGGCCTGGACATGGGCGATGCGCTCGAAGTGGTCCTTGTCTGGGGGCACGAGCGAGTCCATGTAGCGGCTGGTCTTTGCGGTGGTGGTGTCGAGGCTGCCTAATGTCGACGTGTCGGGCGACATGCCTTGGTTTAATACTTTTGTAGGGAGAGGGGGAGGGGGAGGGGGAGGGGCGGCGGTTGTAGGGCGATCTGCAGCAGCTCACTGGTCGAATCCAGATGAGAGCAGGTTCCAAGTATTCATGTGAAAAAAAAGAGGATGGGGCAAAGAGAAATAACAATGGTGCTTCTGGTCTGCACGGTACAGTATGCATATATGTGCCTGGCTAAAGGGGAGGGAGGGGAGGGGGGGGACAGTTCGGGAACAGAGGCCCAGGCGTCGCGACGTGGTTGCCGATAATTACACTCTCAAGTCTATCCAGACTGGGTGACGGACGGACGGGTGTTTTTGCAAGTCTTCGGACTCTGTGTCGTCGTCACATCAGGGCTATGGCTGCGAGTTTGTTGAGAAAAAGAGCAGACGGCAGCCCGGGGGGGGTCACGTTTACGAATGCACCAAAAGAGGTGAGGCTGTGCACAGGCGTGGGCGTGAGAGGAGGGAAGTGGCGACTGGCAGCAACTCCCGCAGCCTGTGCTGATGCTTATTATATATGACATGCCTTCTGTACGGTAGGTAGGTAGGTAGGTAAGGTAGGCAGGTATGCTTGAATGTGTATACAAAGTACCTTAGTTAATTATACGTACTCCGCGTGTGGACATGGAGCTTGCAAAGCATCAAAGAATTGAGAGAGATGAAACCTACCTTTGTGCCCCTTCCTTTATCGACGGTGAGGGTGCGTGCATGGTCTGGCCGTGTCGTTTCAGTCAATTGTTTGGGAAATCAGACTCTTGTCAGATCCAGCGAGCAGCCTATACGCCCCTATCCACTCCACCGGCGACTTTACCTGCACGCGCTCTTCATGCCTCAATCAACAGTATATACGGAGTAGATACAAAGCAGATACGGGCCATGCAGGCGATAGCAGTAGGAAAACCTCACACAGCCAATTTTCTACTGTACTACAACGCCTTACGCAATTCTATGGAGCCGCAACAAGACCTACAGTACCTACCTACAGTACAGTATATCAACGCCTTTCCAAGCCACTGTGAATAGCTTCGACGAAGCCCTCTTCGTACGAGAAAGCGGCAATAAGCAGCCGCGGCGGCCAAGGAAGACAACGAGGGATTTGACCAATGCAATGTGTCTCTTTAGACAGGCCCGAGTTGCTGGGACTTTTATTATAGTGATGTTTACTAGGTAGTAAACTATATGGCGCGAAAGCAGCCCGAGCCATGATGGCATTGGGCGCTACGGGCTCTGCCGGTCCGAGTTGCAGCGACAGGGGAGAGAGAACGAGAGGGGCGGAGCGCTGCCGTAACGGCACCCCAGGGTCTTTCTTCCCTTTCCCCACCGGTATCCGACCCAAGCCACGGGCCATGGCGTACGCTTCCACGGACGTGCCCAAGCCGTACTGTAAGTCTGGCCCCGTTGATCAATACCATGTATGTATGTGTGCATGTCCCCTGTCCCGTCATGGCCATTGCGCCCCAAGGCCCTGTTCTCTCACCCCGAGATATCCCCTGGCGAGGCACACACGGGTCCTCCCTCTCCAATAGCTCCCCTCTGCTCCGATCCCGCGGATGCACTATCAAGACTCGCATGTACACTGCCCAGGTATCGTCCACAAGACGCCTCTCAGCCAACGCGTCGCCTGTATTTACAAGTCATTGGCGATCATGTGCGCTCCCAGAACGAGGCCCAAGAAGGAAACAGAATTAACAGGAGAGTATAACACCCGCAATCACGGAAACAGAAACGCCCGGAGCACAGGTGACCCCGAAAACTCGGGGTTCAACATGATGCAGCTGCACCAATGCAAGAGTCAGCGTCTAATCAAACAACGATGACAAGAGGCCGCGTACTTGAGAAAGTATTGCAGGCCGGCCCGCCTCTTCTCGAGAAACTTGGGCCGGAACCGCGAGATGATGCTCTTGGGCGGCAGCACCGGCATCGCCGCCTCGAAGCTGGGAAACGACAGCATCAACTGCGCGCGCAGCTCGTCAAACTCCGAGTACCGCTTGCGCACCGTCATGTAGCTTCCCTGCAAGAGGTTCCTCATTAGTTGGAGGAGACAGAAGAGACGACGACGCACGGCGGCAACTCACCCGGAGCGTCTCGACCCGGACGTTCCACACCACAAAGGCGCCAATGTTGGTGGCGCTGCCGTTGACGACGGTGTAGTCGACCACCTCGACACTCTTGGCCCAGCACGCATCGTTGCGGTCGCTGTGCTCGCTCGTGTCGTTGTCGCGCAGCGTAATCGCCCCCGCCGGCGGGCCCGAGTCGACCGAGAGGCTCGAGGCGTTGCGCCGGGGCGCAGCGCTCGACACGACCCAGTACGGCGGCGACATGACGGCCGCCGCCGATGGGGAGTCTGGAGCATTGTCGTCGTCGTCGCTGCTGTCGAGATCGCTGCACGTCTCGATGATGGCGGGAGGAGTCGAGCGGGGAGCGGCGGCGGCGGGGATGCCGAGGGCGTCCAGACCGGCCTCCTGGCCGGCAAAGGCCGAGCCGCGGTGCCTGTCTACCGCCGACGCCATTCGGCCATGTGTGTGACGGGGTCGTGCGCCGTGTGCGCGGGTCGGGATCCGATTCGAGGGCGGGATCTGCCTGCGCAGAGCTCTTGCTGTGGTGGTGTCGTCGCCGGGCGAGCGAGTGCAGCGGCAGAACAAGCGTCGGGCGAAGAAGCGAGACGGCGAATGAAGCTTGCGGCTATCGATGGGGGCAGTCGGCGACGACGGAGTTGATGCGGAGGAGGCAGTGTAGGAGAGGCGGCGAGGAACTGGACCCAACGCCTTCCAAGTCCGTCGCCGAGAGAGTGCCGGGTAGCAGATTCGTTGGGTGCCGGGAAGTACGGATAGCTTGTATCTTTGCTCGGCTGTTGTCAACGGCCGCAGCATCAGCGGGGCGATGCACGGAGTACAGTACCGCGGGGAACCACATCCGCTGGAATAACGATGCCCCGCTCAACGAAACACCAAGCACTCGGTAACTTACATTTTGTTTTCTCTTCGCCGGGGAACATGAGGGGAAACAGAGCTTACATCGCGGCAGACATCCACCCCTGGGGCATCGACGCAGCACCCGAGTGCCAACGAAGCATACAGCCTTGTCTCGAGGGACAGTGAGGCAAGCAAGGGCCCGAGAGAACGGTACCTGATGTGTTCGTACAGCACAGGCTTATATTCACTATTTATTAGTCAGGCCTGCCTGGTCCGGTTTCTTGCCGCACTCATCTGCACTTGGCTGGAAGCAGTCATGGCCAACCTTTCTCGTCACAGCCCCCTCCGCCTGCCATCGTCGGGCCCATCCATCATGGCTGTGCTCCGTCCAAAGTGCTTGCATCATCAGGTGACCGGTCACTGGGTGGGCACCCCGGCATCACTTGTGCCTGTGCGTATGCTGGGCAGCCGTGCGACCCCCCTTTGTCCGGTCCCCTCTCATGGCTATCCGCCCGCCAGACAACAAAGACGACAAGAAGGTGATTCTCACGTCGCAACTGGTCCAGACGGCGAGCTCGCGTTGGCCTAGAGGCTTCGCTCTCCCCCTCGCTCGCTGAGCCGAACCGAGGCCAAGCCTAGGAGAGGGTCGGCCGGGTGGCGTTTCCTGCCAGCCAGCCGCCCTTGTCTGACAGGCTGGGTCCGTCCCGCCGCCCGTGCTCACCGTGCTCGTCGCGCTGTACGGAGTATTTACAGCCATTGTGCGTGCGTCGCGGGATGGAATGGAACGCGCACAATGTAATTGTCTGCGCGAAATCGAAAGGGCCACATGGCGTTTCTGCTTGCTCCGGACGAGGTGACGATCCTCCTCGTAAGACATTCTAGCCCCGTTGACCAGCCTCCTCCGAGCTAGCGGATCGTCTCTCATTTCACCTTCTCCTTTTTTTACTTGTTCTATGGGGACGAGACCGTTCGAGCCGCCGCGTGCATACGGTCCAAGAAGGGTCGAGTATCGCCGGTGGGCTCGCAAGTATCCGTACTTGTCTCCGGCATATCCTGCGTCATGCGCGCAGGATACGCTTTAAGATACGATAGACTATCCTTCGCACTGCACGTATATGCAAGTAAGCGCATAAACTGACGGATCTCTGTGCTCGTACAAGAAAAATAGTAGGCTGGGCGGCGACCACACGGGGCACCAGCCAGCCCGAATGGTCGTCGGCCATGTGGACGGCCTCGGGCAATACGATACGGAGTAGGCACATACGAGCCACTCTGCGTACCGACCGGGCGTCTTCTGGCTCTCCAGCAGCTGCAGCAAGCTTGTCGTTAGCTGGCGGAGCCGGGCATGCATGCACGTGAATATGTAGGCGAGCACACACGGATGGATGGATCAGTTGGGATACGAAATGCTGCCTCACGTCCCCCGCTCGTCCGTCGTCCGTCTTCCGTCGTCGACACCAAGACCAAGACCAAGACCAAGCACCCGGTTAATTACCCGCATTCCCTGCAGCGCCGGCAACGAGCTGATGACTGAGGCGAGCCTTTGTTCCCCAGCCTGTGTCTTGTCCCGTCATGTCCCTGGGATACCTGGTTCTCTGCGCACGCACAGGCCGCCGACAGAGTACCGGGATGTCTTGCTGTTTCTGAGACACGAGCCAACGCTGATTGTTGCTGGGAGAAGAAGCCCTTTGGGCCCAAGACAAGACCCTCGATTGTCCCGATCGGCCTCCGGTTGCTGGGCCTCTCTTTCTTGCCTCGAGCAAATAATGATGCAGCGGGGGGGGGGACAACGAGAGCTCGAGCGCATGTCAAAACCTGTGCAGCCAGAGCCCGTGCCGCATGCATAGCGCTGTGCCGAGACCCAGTCGCACAGCCTCCCAGCCCCCGTTTGCGTCCGTCCACGGCTGGGGGGCGGCCGCCTGTCGCGAACGAGGCCCTTATCTTCCGATTTTGCTCTTCTAGCTCTGGCCCTGCTCTCCCTCCTCCCACGAGAGCTCTGCTATTATTTACGGAGCACTCCGTACGCTGGGTGCATATTGCGAGAGAGTCGTAGCACCCGCAGCTGCTCCGCCCCTGAGTGAGCCGGGAATTGCTTCTGCTCCCGTCGCTTGCAATGGGTATCTCGCTATTGGCAAATAAAAAAATTAAATAAAATTCACTGGCGATTGCCGGCTCGTGCGTATCTACAGGCACCGTGCGACTGCAGTGCCCGTACCAGTACCATGCGCCTCCCAGCAGCCAGCTCCCAGAGCCAGGCCCTGGCAAAGCGGGTGGAGAGGAGGGCCGCCGCCGCCGCCGCCGCCGCCGAGCTGGACTGGAAAGCTCGGATTGTGGTTTCAGTCCCCCACCCCCCGGTCATGCCTCTACTGCCGAGCAAAAATTGTCTTTCCGCTTCTGGGGTGTGAGCTCAGCTGCTGCCTGTCACTCACTAATACCTGGGCCGTGGCCTATTACATGCCGTGCTTAGGCCCGGGGTTGCCATGTCGCTTCCCGCCGCTTCCAGGCCGTTATAGCTTCTCCTCACCCGCCCTTACCGTTAGCCTTTGTCCCCCTCTCTTCTCCTTTTCCTCCTTTTCCGTGTTCTTCTTGGACCCCAGCTGCAGCTCTCGCCGTCAATCGCTGCCTGCTGTTTAGCATTGAGCCTTTCGTTGTCGTCTTTTTGTCGTTGCCTACGCGGGCTGATTCAGTGTAAGACCAGCCAGTCCTCCGCCCCTTAATTTGCCCAAGTAATTGGCAGCCAGCTTTTGCTTCCATGGATTTGCAAGGCGTTCATCAACGCTAACGGGAGAGCTTATAGCTGCTCATAATTCTCTTTGGCGACTCTCCGAGCAAAACTTGCACACTCGCTACGATGCCCTCGCTCCGATCCATCGTCCTGGCCACGGCGGCCGCCTTTGTCGCCGTCGCGCAGGCTGACTTGACCATCGACCCTTCTACGGTGCCGCTTTCAACAAGACGTGAGCTCTCCTTGCACGACGGGCGAATCAGGGAAGCTGACCGTGTGCAGAATCATGGTGTGACAACGAAAAGGATACCTGCCCTTTGATCTGCCAACAAGTAGGGCCCAGGACGACTCTGGTGAACGATTGCGACCCTGTACGTCGTCTACTCTCCCCCTGATACCAAGCGGCCGTTCTGACTGGCCACGTATAGGAACAACTCACCTTCGGCTGCCTGTGCGGCAACAACAAGCGGCCCAACGTGTCCGAGTACACGCTGACGCTGCCCTACTTTATCTGCCAGGAATACGGCAACCAGTGCGTCAAGGCGTGCACCGACAACCAGTGCGCGTCCGACTGCCGCGAGAAGAACCCGTGCGGCGCGTCGGCGCCCAAAAAGTACAACACGACGACGGGCTCGGGCGGCGTCAACCCCACGGCCAGCCAGACGGGCGACGCAAACACCATCTACACGGACGGGCCCGGCGGCAGCTCGTCGCGCGAGAAGCAGGGCGGCGGCATGACACTCGAGGTGGGGCGGACGTACGGCATGGCCATGGTGCTGACGGGCCTGTTTGCCGGCTTCGCGCTGCTGTGATGTGTGTCTTGGGTGCGGGTGAGTTGGCCGAGGCCGGGTGTTTTGTACGCGTGTGTTGGGCGTTGTGGGAACCAAAGTCGTTCATTTTGCATGGTTGGGTCTGAGCACTTGCTTGCTGATGCTGACGAGAAGGGGGCCGACGCTGTGGCCTCGTACATATCTAATGGTAATAGTGAGGAGAAAAAGAAAACAGACTGGACAGTGGCGGTCATGGTTAGGCTGGGGCGTGTTGGATGAGATTACCTAATGGATGGCATGAGCCGTCCCGCACAATCTAGCGGCCAACCAAGGCAATGTCTTGTTCTGACAAAGGGCCCCACGGCAGAATGGTTGAACGTGTGGTGAGCCGTGAATAGGCGTATCGGTAAATATGCATGTAGTTGGATGCGCCATCGGTGCAACGGCGAGGCTGTCTGGGCGCTGGAGTCGCTGCCCCTCCGCCCACGCCTACGTCACTGTCACGGGCGGTGCCAACGGTTGCCAGAAGGATTACAGCGGACAGTTGTATTCCAAGCAATGAAGTAGATACCTCCACTCTCCTCTGTAGACGGTATCTCTCCGCACAAGACACCCGCCGCGATACTCAATGGGTAAACCTGGCCAGGTACCTCTGACGTCGACACCGCTGACTCGCCCAGGCACTTGTTCTGCTCAGCAGTGCCCAATCTGCCGTACTCTTGTGCCTCGGCTCAAGCTACCTACGTACTTACCTACCTAGTCTAGGTACAGGCTCCCATTCCCTGCACCGCCCAAAAAAATTTCCGCGCCGGCTCAACGAGTTGCATGAGGCTCCTCAACGAATCCATCCAATCATCGCACACGCCCGCCTCGTGTATCACCAACCTACATACCTACCTATCTGAGTAGGTAGTCCACGGAGACAGGCCAGTTCTGCGGCAGTGCTTCCCGACACGGCACTGCGTCTAGGTACGATCACCGAGCGGGCAAGCAAGCACGGGAGTCCCCCAACCCTCCCTCCTCCGCGAATATCTGGCCCCCCGCGCCACCCCCATCTCCGGCTTCTTCTAATCCGCCGTGTCTCGCAGCAACGCGCTGCCGCAGCTTCGACCATTGATAGGCACCTTGCGACCCCTTGCATCATGGCGCCCAGCAGCAGTATGTCCCCTCCGCGAGTCCCCGAACAACGGTTGACGCCAGCTGCAGAGACGGCCGCCGCAGAGTGCATCTCTGACGAGGCCCTCTTGCATCTCAAGTCATACAAGTACTCGAGCATCGACAAGTCTCCCATATCAAAATACGTCCTTGGCCCCTGGGTATGCCATCGCCTCCGTCCCTGCCCTCGACCGACCGCCAAGACGCCAAGACGCGCTGACCGCCAGCCCTATAGTGGAATGCCTTTGTCCAAGTCTTGCCGCTGTGGCTCGCCCCAAACATGGTCACCTTGCTGGGCTTCTTCTTCATCCTGGCCAATGTCGGGCTGCTAGTCCTCTTCATGCCCGATCTGATAGGGCCCGTGAGTCTTCCTCGGCTTCCCGTGTGCGCGGCTCGAGGGTGCGCTGACTCGAGCGAGATGCTCTACGCTTCAGGGGCCAGCTTGGCTATACTTTAGCTTCTCCTTTGGCTTGTTCATGTACCAGACCATGGACAACGTCGACGGCAAGCAAGCCCGCAGGACAGGCACCTCGAGCGGCCTCGGCGAGCTCTTCGACCACGGCATCGACTCCCTCAACTGCACCCTGGCCAGCCTCCTCGAGACGGCCGCCATGGGCCTCGGCACCTCGCGCGCCGGCGTCTTCACCGCCCTGTGCCCCTGCCTTCCCATGTTCTTCTCGACCTGGGAGACGTACCACACGCACACCCTGTACCTGGGCGTCTTCAACGGGCCCACCGAGGGCCTGCTGATTGCCTGCAGCATCATGGCCGTGTCCGGCGCCTACGGCCCCGGCATCTGGACGCAGCCCATTGCCGATTTTCTCGGCCGCAGCTTCCCCGGCATCGCGCACGCGCTCGGCGAGACGACTTTTAGAGACATCTGGATCGGCCTCATCATCTTCTCGCTACTCGTCGGCCACGTCCCCTTTTGCGTCTACCACGTCGTCAACGCCCGGCGCAGCAAGAACCTGCCCATCGCGCCCGTCTTCCTCGAATGGACGCCCATGGCCGTCTTCACCCTGTCCATTGGCGCGTGGGTCTACTCGCCCTACAGCACCCTGATGCGTGACAACCACCTGGTCCTCTTCTGCCTCACCCTGTCCTTTGTCTTTGGCCGCATGACGACCAAGATGATCCTCGCCCACCTGACGCGCCAGCCCTTCCCCTACTGGACAGTCATGCTGTTTCCCCTTGTCGGCGGCGCCCTCATCGGCAACCTGCCGCGCTTCGGGTTCCCTGCCGTCAGCGCCGCGACGGAGCTGACCTACTTGCGCGCCTACTTTGCATTTGCCCTGATAGTTTACTTCCGCTGGGCTTACCTGGTGGTGACGAGCATCTGCAATTTCCTCGGCATCAACGCCCTCACGATCCCCCGGGAGAAGCAACTGGCCAACAAGCGGGTCCGGGCGGCCGAAAAGACGCATTGAATGATGTCGAGTGGGGGGGTGGTTTGTGGATTGTTTATCGAGGGGATACACTGGCGACGACATGTTCAACATTGATACCATTTCATGACGACTCAGGCGGAAAAGGCACGCCTGCACGCTCAACCCTGTAGGTTCGCGCACGCCCTGGAGGGGGCGAAACGTGTGTGTGGCGGGCTGGTGTGAATTCAATCCAGAAAATTACGAAAGGCGCGGGCGGGCCGGAGCGGCATGGAGAGCATCGGAGCCTGGGCGTTGAGAGGTCTCCTGGTGTTGCATTCTAGTGCCCGGAGTGGGCGTTGACAGCGGTTCTGACGCGTTCGACATCCGGGGCGTCACTTGACAGCCGCAGCGCGGGTTTGTTTGGTCTAGACAGGCACGGAGAGCAGCGGTGGAATAGAGACGGCTCGCTTTCTCTCGATTCCTTGACCTTTGTGCGTTTTTGGACCTATCTTGGACGATGGCATCGCTCACAGGCTCGTCAATGTGTCCCATGCGCCCATTTTCGCCGACGCTGCATGCCATTCCGGCTCAAAGAGCATCACGAAGTTCGCCTATAAATGCAACAATGGACCACCCTTGATCCTTTTGCCCAGACTCCAAATTCCGAAGCAGGCCCTTGTCGCCAAGCCCGGGGGGGAATCACCGCATACGAAAAAGAAAAACGCCTGTAGTCCTCAGCTTCCTGCACGACGACGGCTCCCCATCAGTTACGGCCGGGAATCGAGCGAATGGTGTCGAGCTGCAGCCGGTCGCGGATGCCGCGCGTAACGTCGTGGTCCAACTCGGCGTCCCAGATGCGCTGCTTCTTGCCGGCGATGATCTTCCTGACCAGCTCGCACAGCTCCCTGTTCTGGACGCCGAGGTACGTCCACGCCCACCCGGTCGAGATGTCCATGCCGTCGACGAGATCCGCAATGGCGTCGCAGAGACTCTCCTTTGCCTTCTTCCTGTCCAGCTCCGAGACACCATTTTCACCCTCGTCGTCGTCGTCGCCGCCGGCGGTGCGGTTAGCCTCGTCGTCGCAAACCGCGTGGCCCATGCGCCAGGGCAGCGACCTGACGAGCGCGGGCAGGCGCGGCCACGGCAGGAAGCGGATCTCGTCGCGGTCGAGCCCCTCGAGGTCCGGGCTGTGGCCGAAGTCGCTGATGCAGTCGGCGAGGTTGACCAAGGAGCAGATCCGGCGGTCGAGGTATATGGCGACGCGGACGTCGGGCACGATGGCGACGGGGCTGGGCGACGTGTTCCACCCCGTGGTCGCGAGGTGCGGGAAGTTGTTGCTGCTGCGCCAGCCGCCGTCAAAGTCGGTCGAGTCGGGGGCGTCGATGGGCGTGAAGAGGCCCGTCGAGCAGAGGAGGCCGGGGGCCGCGGCGTAGGAATCATCCGGCACGATGATCTCAAACACCTAGCCGAACAGTCAGTCAGTCAGCTATCAAGGCCTCTCTCTCCGGAAGATCCCACCGCCAGTGAAGAGAAGAGGGAACACGGGAAAACGTACGGGGCCATCACCAGCGTCGTAGTCGAGGAAGAGAGCGTTGTAGTAGGCAAAGGCAGCCTCTCCGCCCACGCACACGTCCAGCTTGTGGTATCGCAGGATGCCCACGGCGGCCAGCAGGGGCGTCCAGTCGAATCGAGACATGGTGTGGGCGACGAAAGAAGAAAGAAAAAGGCAAGAGGCCTGAATGTGCAGGCGCGTGGTTGTCTGCTATCGAGGGTGAGTGAGAAAGGTACGATGCAGCTGAGCGAGCGAGTGAAGGGATGAGATGAAGAAGGTCGAAGATTGAAGTACCAAGAGGGAAGAAAGAAGAGAGGAAGAGAGGTGCCTGCGTTTGAAAAATCCGACGGCTCAGGGTCCTGCACGTTGTTCAGGTAACGGGGCGCGAAACACGACGTGCGATGACGGCGGCCGCGCAAGCACCAGCGGCCCGGGACGTGAATCACTCACCACGCCGGGCCCGTAGTTGCGCCAACGAGCCAGCTGGCCCTTCTGCGAACGCACTCGCTCCACGGGTACAACGGCTGTATGTTCTGCGTCGCCGTCGCGCCTGTGCCGGCAGGGCAACGTCCCAGGGGGCACTTGGAGGGCGGCGGGCAACAAAGCGGCGAGGTGAATGGTGAGTGCCGAGATGGCATCAGAGGACTGGACGGGCTGCCTTTAGGACGGATCGCTCGGCCATGCCCTGGGAGGAGCAAACACCCGGCTTCGTTGCCGCTGACACTCTTACCCCCTCTCTCTTCTTTGTCGATTTGTCGTTCGTCTTTGCTTCCCGGTCCCGCGTTGTGGACAGCCGAACACGCACGTCTGCACGGCCATGGCGGGCTTGCGATGGTCCGGTTCGGAGCGAGTTCAGCACGGCGTCACGTCCTTGAGACTTGCTGCAGATGTAACATGAACCGAAAACAAGCATCATGTTCCTTCTCTATAGGCAAGAGACGTGCGTGGCGACATGACTGGGCCATCTTTCTCGTCGTTTTCATCACGAAAAGTCATGTCGGGGCATGCGTGGACGCTCTTCAAATATGTACAGTGCAAAGACATCAAACCATCCCTTTCCCCAAGCCAGACTCGCCTCGGCGCGCTCCTTGCCTGGCTGACCACATCCGACCATGTCTTGGCGCTCGTCCGCTCATGCTCTCGCGGCCGGCCCTTTGTCGTTTGGCGAGGTGGTGCCAGAGGCTGACCGGCCAACGGCCGACGGAAGACCAGGCGGTTGCGATCTCCTGTTCTTGGCCCAGGTGTAGATGAGACCGCTGATGAAGCCGAGGATAATGGCAGACACGCTGCCAAAGGTGATGGGGTCGGCAAAGAAGACGAGACCGGCAATGGCCATGGGAAGCTTGTTGAGAGCTCCGGACATGGCGTAGGTCGTCGAAGACGTGGCGCGGATGCACCAGGCGGTGCAGTAGGAAATGAAGATGGCGGCGAGCCCAGAGTACACCATGCCGACGAGCAAGCTGTGTCGCGACTCGGGGGGGAAGTTGTTGTGCAGGTTGGTGCTGGACCAGTCCTCGATGAGAAGCGACGACAGGATCAGAACGGGGACAGTCAGCAGGTTGTTGTAGAACATGACTGGTCAAGCGTCAGCGAGCTGTCCCGGCGTCACACGTATCCCAGGGACTCACCATCCCAGTTCTTCAGATTGGTAATCTTGATGGCCTTACGCATGCTCAAGACGTACAGCGCCGAGCACAAGACGTTGAGGCCCATCCAGGCATAGCCGGCGCTGAGAGTGGCGGCGGCGGCCGACGAGGCGTTTTGCAGGGCACCGGGAACGGCAACCGTGACGTGGTGAAAGTCAGCCCAGGCGGCGAGGACGGAGCTGGAGACCATGAGACCAAAGGACACGAGGGTCAAGGGGCTGACGCTACCGCCAAACCACAGGACTTCCCCGTAGGCAATGACGATGATGGTCAGGTTCTTGAAGATGGTGTAGACGGGGACGGAGAGAAACTGCAGCGCCTTGTTGCCGGTGAAGATCATGCCGACGAGGAGAAGGGAGATGGGGAACCCTGGGACCGGGGTTAGCGCGGGCAAGAGAATGGGATCCGGGCTTACTTGCATCGTTGGGCCCTTCCCGAGTCAAAGGGGTCCAGGTCCTTGATCATGCCGAGGTGCTTGCAGACGATAATGGTCGAGGTTCCGACAATGGACTGTTGAGTTGCGCGTTAGGAGCACGCAGGACAGACAGGGGTTTGCTTGGCACGAAATACCTGAATGGCCAGATAGAGCAGGTGCAGGTTCCATTGGCGGCCCGAGACGACGTACTTGTTGACGAGGGTCATGCTGATGGAAGACAAGCAGTAGGCGAGGACCGAGGCGCCGCCGCTGCCCTCGATGGACGAGAAGAATTGCGAGGCCGGCGCGGCGACAGGGCGGCCGGCGCGCGGGGAGCCGTTGCTGGGGAAGGCATGCTGCTCGTGGACGCGAGAGTGGCCGTCGGGCATGCGAAGGACGAAGTCATCGCTCTTCTTGTCCGTCATTGTGGATCTGGCGGGCCGAGGCGCTGTTGTGCAACTCCAGTCTCCGCTTTCTTGATCGCTCTGCGGCGAGGTCGAGCTTTGTTGGAGCCGGTTGATCAGGCACAGGATACAGTCTCGAGGCGCGTCGGTCGGTCGGTCGAGGGGAAGCAACGACGCGCGCACCAAGGAAGAGGCGGCGATGAGTCGATGTCGCGATGCCAAAGACGGGAGACGAATCGAAGGACACCGCGCTTGGGGGGGGGAGGAAGCGCGCGACAGAGTTCGACAGGAGACGCGAAGGGACCACGAGCGAGGTGGAGAAGAAGGGAAGGATTTGATGGCCGGTGCGAGGCGCACGTGGTTGTTCAGGCTCCGGCACAGCACTGTTTGTAAATTGAATTTTGGTGCGGCTGACTAACCAATGACAGAATGCTTGTTATGCACCGTGTCCGCACAGTGCGCGTTGGACCGGGCATTTGTCGCGGGGTGGCAAGTTGCCCGCCCGAGCCTGTTAGCAGGGCGCCGGAGTCGTGGCGACGGTACATCCGGCACGGTACGGATGATCGAGTATTATCTAAGCCGTCACAGATAAACCAACTTCAACGCTTTTGGCACTTGACAGACCATCACCAGCTTCAACATGTTTTGACAATAGGCTCGACAATCGCTGTCCAAACAAGACGCGACGCGGCTTGCAGGCTCCGCTCATCCTCGTGTTGATGGCAACTAATCCTCGGCTCTCCACATGCCTCGCTCGACGCCCTGCTTTTGCTCCACATCCGGCCTCTCAATGCGAGAGCGCCTTTGGGGGCCATGGTTCTTACTGAGGAGAGTGGGCATAAGAGGCCACAGTCATGCCTAGTGGGCCTAATAGTCATGCACAAGGGAGCCTGCCTGAATAACATGACTCCCCTAGCCTAAGGACAATATAGGCCTAACTTAGGTATAGGAATATCTTAATGCCCTCTTTTGGCTAGCTATATATAGTTACTATACCTATATAAGCCTCTCTTATCCTAATAGATAGACTAAGATATATATTACTAAATTCACCTTTCTATGTCCCTATTTCTTCCACTGTGCTCTCAAGCCCCTGCTTGAGAGTTCTCTAGCCACGGCGTTACCCTTGCCCTTTTTAATAGCGCAGCCTGGCCAACAGGCGCGGTAAGCACCGACGAATCATCTCTGGCTCTGATATGCACATAATAGCCCCTCTCTCCTCTCAAAACTTGCGTTGTTTTGCACCTCAGCTAGTCCGTACCGTCACTCTCTTGCCTCAGCAACAAGTAGCGTCCGAAATGAACCCCCTCTATTAAAGGACCCATCACGCCCTTCTACTGCTTGCTCTCTATCCTACCATGGATCCCTTCAGCGTTACCGTCGGGGTGGCCGGTCTCCTCGCAATGGCAACCGCCGTCATCAAGTTCCTAGACACGGCTATATCGACGATCCAAGCGCACCGAGGACCATGGCTTGGGCATTGGCCGAGGTTACCGACGTGAGATCGACCATTGCAAGGCTACAGAGCTTGATCCAGCACATTGAGTCCGTCCCAAACGCTACCAGAAGCCGGGTCGGGGTCCAGCACACAGCCGTGGCCGTGGCTGAGTTGATCGACTCGTTCGATCACCTTGCCAGCCTTCTCAAGCACGTCAGCCTCAGCAACCCGGCCGCGCTCAAGACCTGGGACCAGATTCACTGGGCTCGGAAGCAGGACGATGTCGCCAAGGCCGTCCTGAGAATCCAGACGCACAAGAGATCCATTACTCTGATGCTGAATATTCTTCAGTGGCAAGTCCTTTCAATAATGCCCATCGGCTCGGCATTGGGGCTAATAGCCGTCGGTTTTGTAGCGAATCCGACATAGTCGCCGTTGAGTCGCGAGCGACTCTCAAAAACAAAATAAACACGGTAATCGAGGGCAGCACAGCGGTTCAGCAGCGGTTGGAACAGGTGGGGCGTCTGTTCATTGCTTGCCTCTGCGATTCTTCGAGTCTGTCAAGGGTCCCACCAAACAACACTTCGATTATTGATGTGTTGTCTCGGGCAGAAGTCCAAGAAAGCCCGGCTGTCCCATCTACGACTGTGAAATTGCAAGGCAGGCTGTCTCTGCCACCAACCCCTTCATCCGCAATGGCGGAAACACCTTCCCTGGTCGCGGGCGGGACAAAAACCGCCGATACTGGCCCTCTTCCTCCTCCAGAGGTCTCGGAGTCAAACCCCGGAATCAGCGGTCTGCCATCATTTCGTCTCGAGTTCGAAGAAACCCTGCAAGCGAGCCACGTTTACCGTAGAGTTCGAACCCCCCCCGACACGTTCTCGATTTTGTCATCAGATAGTCGTTCGGTGGCGCGCACAGTTATGACAACCTACAGTCTGGCAGACGATGCGTCCATCTTGTCGACCTACCCGATCCTTGATTGGAGTCAGCTTAGTTGTCCAGAATTCTATTCCACACACCTCCGAGAGCAGAAACTGGACAAGAGCATTCTAAGTGTTTTCACTACTCGGAGGCTCGAATCATCGGATTCACATGCTTCTCATCCACCGCCACTTTCTTGGGGAAGATTCCAGTCGCTCCCAATTTGTAGTCAGAGTGTCATGGGCCAGTGGCATCGGTCGACGAGACGCATCTGGCAGGCGACGCAATTTCGTTTTGAATTTCAGTTTGAAGTTCCGACCACCTTCATATGTTCCCCATCCAACCGTCACGATCTGCTCCACCTCCCCGGCCTAATCTACCTAGACGGATCCCCCCTCACTCGTGCCCTGCCTGGGACCGAGCATGTCGCGCCTGAGAACGCGCATTTCGGGTCTGGGCTCGAGCGTCTGGGGTCAGCCATGCCCGAGACGACTGAGAATTCACGAGCTTCATGGGTCCTGCTTCTATGGTTTATCCAGTTTATGGAGGAGGAGTCGCGATTATGGCAGAACAACGTGACTGGGAGTCACTTGGCGGTGTACCAAAGTAATACGCTCAGGGTTGCCCTTCAGAGGAGGATTATGAGCTGGGACGCCATGCCCGCGGGATTCAAGAAACCGTACGCCAACACACGGATGGTCTACCTGGTGGAGCTTCTGGCCATGCTGGGCGTGTACTGGCTCGAGTTCGACTGGCCCAACGACCGCTGCCTAGCGAGGGGTATTGGTTTTCTCGTGAAGGGCCAGTCCATTCCAAACCTAGGCATCGCTTTCGACTTCAAGAACATTGGCCAGTGCAACTTTACAGAGAACCGTATTATTCCTGTTGACCAGGTTAAGGAGCTTTGCTTCGGCTACGTTCCAACACTTTACCGCAATTCCAACGAACTGCGAGTTTCTCGTCGACCACAGTTGTCCCAGGATAGAACGCTGGACACCTTACGACTGTCGAGCCGAAAAGAGATCGCCAATACCTTGGCGAAGATCGGCTGTAATGCAGTCACGACGAGTTATATCCTCCAGGGTAATCAGAAGGACTATCACTTGTTTCCTAGTATGGCCCCGCAGTTCTTCATGCGCCATACGAAGTACTGGAATGCTTCCACGGCTAACAGATTGTCCAGTTACTTTCGAGATTATAGGAATGGTTGGTCAAACGCTGCACATCAAAAATTCGTGCTTTCGACGTCTCCCTAATCCCACTATTCATGCCTGGGTAGGTTCTAGCCTCTCCTTTTCATCGTTGTTTGCGTCTTTCCAGTCCGCGATATGGGACAACATTATACCAAAACAGCCGGAAAGCCTTGTCTTTAGAAGGATCAACAGGCATATCGACAAAATGCGAGCGAAGATGGATAACCTCCCACCGATTGCTAACAGCGAGGTTGAATATCCGCTCTTGATTCTTCTCCACGAAGCCCTCGAAGATCTCGATGAGATTCTTACAGCCAAGGCCACATGCACCCAGGCGCGGGACGTCTTGTGCATCCACCTTCAAGAGGTTCTCCGATGTATGAATGAAAGTTCCAGCAACGACTTGGACCCAATCCGGAGCATTGACGAGCCCCGCTTTGAGGACATCTACACTGCCTCGGCAGAAGACAAGTATGCCACGTTCATGAGTGTCTATTTCAAGGTTGTTCGTCGCAAAGTGGTCGCAGAGGCGGCTGCTCGCTCTCAAAGTCGTCGGTTTGCGAGCCCTCCCTTGAGCACCGAGGGTACCAGGCCAGCCAATCCCGCGGGGGAGGGCAAGGAGAAGCCAAGCAGCAGCGGTGTGACCGAGGCAGATGGGAAGACCGAATCTGTCGGCAACGCCCTGGAAGAGAGCCAGCCTAGTCAGGGGGGTTAGCACATGACACGCTCCTTAGGCCAGCCCGAGGGATCGAAGCCCGACGAGCTCGGGGACCTGGAAGTAACGTACGAGGAAATCTGGTGCACACTCGTATTCCGCATGACGTGCTGGCTCAGGCTGCACGACTTTGACAGACATGACATCCAGATCTGCAAGAGCGAGCTGATGGGGAGAAGATTACCGGTATATATCATGTAACTTATACATCAAGGTCTGTGATCGGTCATGCTACGTACAATCTCTGCCACGCCATGGACGCCCTTGTTGACGAAGCTCCCGATAACCGGACTGGCTGTTCTCGCATTGGAGCAATGCTCTCATGCCTTGAGGGGCGGTTTCAGTCCAACGTCTGCAAACGAGGTTTCGATACAGGATGGTTAACATGGCGGACGCAATGTGCCAAGCCAGCCCGAGCGGTCTCGTCAGCCTTCCACGCGAGGTGCGTGGCGCAATACGGACCATTGTCGACAATTACCTGATGCTAGGCAAGGTTCTCCGACAGCAGCATGTCGAGGACCAGCTGGGAAAAGAAACGGGGGACTTGTCGCCATGGTGAAACTTGAGTTTGCAGGGATGGGCCATGAGCAAAGGGCGAACCGCTCAGCGGAATTCTGCTCAAGACGGGTCTATATGGTGCGGCGCAGCGGCAGTGTACAAGACGAAGAGCCGAGTTGGACAGACCGTTTGAACTGTAAGCTCGACTGACAGCCGTGTGCTTACACGGAGGCCAGCTGACTCGGGCTCGTACCTGCACGTGGCTCGCCCGTGACGTAGGTGTGCAACTTGTGTCTAAATACAGGTAGTGAAGAAATATTATATATATAACGACAGCCCCAAGGGAACAGGGAGGGACCTAGTTACTCCGCAAAGACGCCCGCGGCCATCAAGAGTCATCCACCCCCGGAGGCAGCCAGCCGGGCGGTCGCCCGCCAGGCACGCACTGCATGTGGCCATGTACAGCTCGAGTCTGCTGACAGCACGTGTGACGAAGCGCCTGTACGGAGGGCACGATGAGGGCATGTATTCATGTAAGAGAGCACGCGCGCGACTCCCTCGTCGCACAATCCAGGCGGCGCAGAGGGTCCCGTCATGGCCCCCGCTCGGTGTTGGATGAAGTCGGATTCCCCGTTTCGTCGCCAAGCCCTGATGGTCGGTGCCTATAATTAGGGCCCAATTATCTATACACCTCCTTTTATTAACTGTACACCAAAAAGTGGATCAACTGTGGCTGGGTCAGGCGCAGTGCCGATGCCGCTAATTTTGGTGCGCCCATTCCCGGCCGGCCAGCTGGCCAGTTCGTGATGCTTGCGTAACAACATCCTGTAACCGTAACTATCAGCAATACCATCAAAACTGAAGCTATTCGCACCGCGTTTTCTGCCCTTACGAGCCCGAATCATGGAGTCGCTTACGAAGACACTATTCCCGACCTTCCAGGCCGCGATGGAAGCCGCCGATACCGTTGCTGAGGCTGAGGGCTACGCCCTACACATTCGAACATCGAAGCGGGATAACGCTGGCCAACGCAAGTCTGCACTTGTTCGTTGTATCAAGGCCGGCCCTACGAAAATCGGAAGGATAAAGCTGCTCATATCTCTCGTCGTCGCCTCAATACAGCAACCCAGAAAACAGACTGTGAATTTCGCCTCTCGTTGAAGGAAAAACGCGGTTACTGGACTATCTCTTATCTTCACGATGTTCACAATCATCGCCTTGTTGATGACCCGATGGTCTTTCCGAAGTACCGGGCGCTTGTTATCCAGAAGTATCGCGACGACATTATCCGGAAGTTTAATAACAATACCCGGCCGACCGATATTGCTGGCGAGCTTCGTGACCTGGTTCACGACGATCCTCGTTTAGCCGGTATCACGGCTCAAGACGTGAGTAACGCCTTGGCTAGGCACCGTCAGGAAGAACTAGCTGGCCGTACGCCTCTTCAGTTTCTCTACGACCGGCTAGATAAGTCCGACTTCTTTCATCGAGATAGTCGTGATCCCCAGGGCCGGCTAACTGGGCTATTTCTCGCGCCTCGTGCTACCTTCCATCGATGGCGTCAGCATCACGATGTCCTCGTCCTCGACTGTACCTACAAGACGAACCGATTCAATATGCCGTTATTGAATATCTGCGCGGCCACTCGAGATAACAAAACGTTCTCTATTGCCTCTATCTTCTTGAACGGCGAGACCGAGTCCCATTACTATTGGGCTATCTCGTTGCTGCTAGTCCTTTGCGAGAAGGAGTCGATCCCATTTCCAAGGGTCACTGTCACGGACCGAGATACTGCGTTGCTTAAGGCGTTAGATAGCTTTCGCGAGCTTCAAAACAGTACTAACCTTCTCTGCACGTGGCATATTAACCAGAATGTCGTTGCGAAATGCAAGCAATTTTTCCTAAGGCATCAAAAATCGGCAATCGAGTCGTACGGGCCCCGGCATTCCAAGCGTTTCTACAAGAGTGGAACGAGATCGTCAAGTCACAAGATGTGAATAGCTTCAACGAACGTTTACGCCAATTTGAGACACCAGGCCGCCACCCGCTTGCAGCTATACAATACTGTTGCAATACGTGGCTAACGCCTTGGAAGGAGAAGTTTGTATCTTGTTTCGTTAATCAATATCGCCACTTCGGGCGTACAACGACCTCGATCGTCGAGGACTTCACTCTCATATGAAGAAGTTCCTTTGGTCCTGTACGGGCGATTTGACGACCGTTTTCCAACGATTCGAACGCTTCTGGGGCCATCAGGCTGCTCAGATCACAGCGATAGAGAATCGAAACCTCCACAAGATATCAACGTTCTCCCTACAGGCGCCGTATATGCCGATCCGCGAGCGAGTATCGTCATATGCGTTAAAGCTACTAATAGATGAGCATCGCAAGATCCTCTAGACCCCGAAGTCAACGGGCCAAACCGCCGCCAGGTCAATGTCCTTGTAATTGGGCTACTAGTCGAGGGCTACCGTGCTGCCATCGAATCTTCGAGTCTATCAACACCAATACCTCCCTTACACTCGACGACTTCGACCCATTTTGGTATATTCCGATCGATACAAGCGCTCAGGGCACAAGCCCTACTCGGGCACCATACGAGCCACAAGTTATCAGGGCTAAGGGCCGCCCCAAGGGCTCACTCAACCTCGAAGAGTCACGGCGGTCAAGATCAACGCGGCGGGATCCGTCACATCACGAGATCGCTGAACGGCATGAGCGGGCTGAGGCTATACGACTGCCTCCTCCTCAACGGCACCAGCGGCGATGACGGGTACGGTAACGGCCGCGATGACTTCAACGGAACGAGGGCTGCGGCACATCGAGGAAAACGGCGATACGTACGAGGCAGGCACACGGATGCAACGGGCGTATCAACAAGCCGGGCGTCAAACGCCAGTCTCTGATGATGACGATCAGCCGGTACGGCGGGAGACCCAAGACTGCATCTTCGTCGCCGGCCTCACGGACGATGCCGCCCTTGAGGATGTATGGGATCAATTGGAATCACAGTTAGATGAAGCGGATCAGGCACGTAGTGCACTCGAAGAAGGAGGCCTGTTGTAAACACCAAAGAATAGTCTCATCAGCATAGAAAGCGCAGTACGAATAGCTTCAATTTTGGGTGCCTTATCGTTGAAGGAGAACTGTTACTACCTGGCTCTACTTATCGTAGAGAATGTGTGCATACAAATTGGCGGTATCGGCCCTCTTCGGCCGTCAGCCACAGTTAATCCACTTTTTGGGTGTACAGTTAATGAAAGTGGGTGGATAGATAACTTGGGCCTATAATTAGCCCCCCCTCGCTCGGCCGGGATGCGCAAGGCCAATCAGTCATCCGGGGGCGGGCCTTTTGGGGCTTTGCCGCAGTTTGCGAGCCGAGCGAAACAATCCACGGAACGGGGGGTGCCAACATGTTTTGTTTCAACGGGCCATGAGTCCATGACGGTACGGTACTGTAGTAGATGTAGATGACTAGATGTAAGATGTATGATGTATGATGTATGATGTACAGTATGCAACGTTGTTTGTGCGCGAGGATGCTCGGTCCTGGCCCCGCCCCCCGGCAGCCCGAATAGGCAACCGTCGCGGCCCGCCGTCCGTCCGGTTCCGGGGCGGCGGCGCACGTTAGCGCCGGCAAGCTGCGCCGGCAAGCTGCGCCGGCAAGCTGCTGCGTGCTGCGTGCGTGTTCTAGAAGGCGCCAATAATTCGAGCATGGGCCGTACGGGTGTACGCCGTGGGGGGGACAGAGAACAGAGACAAGCGAGGCACGCACGTCAAGCAGCCGCAGAGGACACGGTCAGAAATAACCGCCCTAGATAGAGGATTGGAGCTAACAGAGCATCATGGCATGGTTCATCAGCGCCATGTGCGAAGCATATGTGTGTAGTATTAGGGCCTGCCCCTGTAACTCATAAGCTGTGCGCCGGTCAGATCCCGCCCAGCACCATCTCATCTCACTCACCCCCTCATCGCATCACTGCCACATGGCTCCCCTCCCATGTTCCCATCCCCCGGTTCGTGCCTCTTTCCCACGGAGCTGAAGAGCCTTACCGGCGCGCTGAGAGTTCTCGAGCAAGACGGCGCCCAGCGGGAGCCGGAGTGTTGAGACAGAGAGGGGGCCTGAGTCGAATCGCCATCTCCAGGGCCTCATCCGGCACAGCAGCGCCACGTGCTCCCGCGGGAAAGGGTCCCCGGAATCATCGTTGCCTTGAGGCAAGCAGCGAGAACACAGGCCACCCGTGTCCGTGAGTCATATGCCATTTGTTTGTCTGCAAGCCGCCGCCGCCGCAGCAGAGGAGGAGAGACGGATCCCTCGGGCGGATAACGGCATGGGCACGCCACCCCTGCCTCCGGTCGTGGACGATTCCTCTGCCCGGTTCTGCTCCCTTTACTTGTTGTCTCTTGGGCATTCATCTGGTCTTCTCATTTGTCGCATTCGGCCTCTCCTCCATTGGAAGCTGCCGCCATCCGTAAACCCATGGCTTATTCGTCCGCAGGGGAGACCAAGGCGTTCAACAGGGGGATCAGCCAGGAAAGCGTTCCGATCGGGCTTCCTCGAATAAGGGTCCAGCCGAGTCTGATACACACGTATATGGCTTTTGGACGAACCAGACAGCCCCCCTCGCCCCCCTTCCCGGGTCCCTCGATGCTTATTCCTGGCTCTCGGCCTTGCTCTTCTCCCGAGGTGCCTTGCCCTAGCGTGAGAGGCAGGGGGGGAGTAAACATCCCATCATCGCATCATCGTCGTGTTCCAGGCATGGGCCGAGAAAGTTCGCTCCCTCTCGACCGCTAGCTGCCTTCGTTTATTAGCGTTCTGCCACCCGCCCCCAACTGTTCAATGGGCCATGACGAGACCGGGGCGCCGTCATGGCTCCCGATTGTGCCTGTTTGGTGTCACCTGGCATTCCCGTGCGTGCGGCTGATGCAAGGGCAAGACCCCTTCTCTCCAGCCTGCCAAACGACACACCCCCCTCCCCCCCCTTGACATCCTCACCAGGCTGAAAAAGCAAGGCTCAGCTGGGGTGCGAATAGCTCGCAAGTCGGCTCGACTCCCACCCACATGTCGAATCGGCTCTCGTCGTTTCCCCAGTACCCCATCCTGTCAATTAAACAAGAGGAATACATGGTAGCCGTCTGTTTTCTCGCCTAGGAGACATGGGAAACAAAACAGGCCTCGGTATATAGACAGGGCTTATAGCCTTGGCCCCGTGTACCAACTCTACCGCTACCCCCCGTTGCCGTCAACCCCAGCCTGGCCTCGTCATTGGGGGGCATGGAGAGACCACCCGACAATGGGGACGAAAACGTTGGCGTTGGACGACAAGGAGGAGCAGGAGAGAGACGGGGCAGTGTGCGGTCCTTGCAATAGGACTCGAACTCTCTGACCAAGTGATTTGCTCGCTCCCGGTTTCGCCAACGACAATGGGTAATACGAGCGGCGTTCGAGTCAGAAGGCTCGCGGCGCAGGCCAGGCTGCCTCGCCTGGGGGCGATGCTTCAGGCACCGCAGTAATGGCTCCTCCTCGTCTTAGGAGCGTCCGGAGCAGTATGCCCCCAGCCTGACGCTCCTGGGCGCCGTCACGGCTTGCTATTTAAACATGTTTCGAGGCCGCTCCGAGGCCGGTTGGTCTTCTGGTTCTCGTCTATAGTTGAAGTAAAGGAGAACATAGAGTTATCGACATCCAATCTTAACCTGCAACCTGACCCTCGAGGCCACCATGAATGCCAACGGGCTCAAAGCTGCCTTGGTCCAGGGGCCCCTCCTCGACCAGGCCGTCTTGCCCCTCGAATTGCGGCTTGCCGTTGCACTCCTCGCTCTCTTGTCCGTCCCCTTTGTCTTGCGGGCCCTTGCCCTGCTCACCAGGATGCTCGCCCCTCTGCCATGCTGGAGATTCGGCAAGGCCCGGCCGGAGCCCCTGCCCCATGTCTCGTCCGTCATCCCCGTCATAGGCCACGCTCTCGAGCTGCGACGGCGCGGGGCCCGATACCTCCATCAGCTCATCGTCAACACACCGGCCGAGATATTCACCATTGACGTCTTGTTCAAGAAAGTCTTGGTTGTCAACCCTTCTCTCGACCGGGTCCTGGCCAAGCACGTCCACGAGACCAGCTTGGCTCGGGTCATCTCCATCATCGGCCAAAAGTCCCTCGAGCTGAGTGACAAGGCCGTTGGCACAATTGCCGAGTACGACCCGCGCCCGGCGCACTCGCAGCTGTTTGCGGCTTCCCAAGGCTCGGCAGCCCTCGCCGAGACGTCCGGCTGCTACATCCGCGAGCATGTCCTGAGACAGCCGCGCGAGCAGCAGGTTTTGGTCGGAAAATGGATGTTTGACCTGGTGGTCGGGGCCTCGGCCCATACACTCTGGGGACCGCAGAATCCGTGGAACGAGGACCACGAGTTTATGAGGCAGTTTGTGTAAGTGGCCCTCTTGGCCGTCGCGGTCGGGAGCGCCAAGCTAACTTTGCGGCCTGAAGGATCCTGAGCGACAACTTCGAATCGCTCTCGCTGCCCATGGCCCGGCTCGCTTCCCGGCGGGCGTACCGAGCGCGGCAATTCCTGATTGAGAGGCTCATGACCTTTCACCGCGAGCACCCGCAGGGCGTCGAGACGAGCGTGGCGCATCGCATCAATGCCATTGCCATGAGCGACCAAGACTGGCAAAGCAACGTCGACTACTATCGGTGCGAGCTGCTCGAGGCGCTGGGTCTCTTGCCCACGGCGAGCACCTTGTCGGTCTGGCTGGTGCGCCATCTGCTTGCCGACCCCGAGCTTCGCCGCAAAGTCACTGAAGAAGTGCGGCGGGTCGAGCCGGCAAAGGACGACGATGAGAGCCACGGCAACACGACTTCAAGCTCTTCCTGCTCGCCATCGGGCCGCCTGGACTTGAGCGACATACGGACAAGGTGCCCTCATCTGGTGGCGGCGTGGCACGAGACGCTCCGGCTTCACGTCACGGCCGTCCCCCGCGTGGTCACGGGCGACTTTGAGCTCCCGGTGCCCTCGCGAGCGACGCCCGTGGCGGTGAAGGAGAAGGACGTCATCCTACTGCCCATGCTCGCCTTCAACCTGGATCCGCAGACATGGGGCCCCGACGCCGGGACCTTTTCGGCGGAGCGGTTCCTCGACGGCAGCGGACGGCTGAGCACGCAGCGGACTCGCAAGGTGCGCGGCTTCGGGGTGGCGGGAAACCTGTGCCCCGGCCGCAACTTTGGCTTCGAGACGGCCATGGCGGCCGTGGCGACGCTGCTGCACGACTTTGACGTGGAGAGCGGCGTGTGCCCTGCGCCGAGGCCCATGGCGGGCATGAACGTTGGCTTCGAGCGTCTGGCCGACGACGTGCCGGTCAGACTGACGCGGGTGGGCCCCATGTGACGAGCTGGCGATCGATTCGCTGGGTGAATACGGGAGGCAGCCCGACGCCTCGCGGCCCCCCCGTCTGTATTCTTACTGTACCATCACGATGATGCGAGGCGAGAGGCTCGGTCTTTTGTCGTTGTTTTGGGGCTTTGAGGGGTTTTTCTTGGCCCCCTTGGTGTTTGATACCCTGCTTTTTCTGCCATGTTGACGGATTCTGCGGATAGACTTGGTGTTTGGCTTGGATCAACGATGGCATGTACTGTAGAGGATAGAGATGCGATGGACGATAAGTAACTAGAGCAGATGACGGCGTAGGCGATAGAGATGACGATAGAACTCGGCTTCCTCTTTTGGGGTTAAGCTTGTTGAGTTTGTTGATAAGCCTGCGAGGTGATTGGCGGAGAACCCGATGATCCACATGCACAACTCCGATGCCCTTGCTCCACCCTTGGAGCGAATCGCCGGGCCGATCCGATCCGAGCTAGCGATGCTGTAATGCTGACAGTCGCGATGCACCTCGTTTCGTCTGATGTGGAAAAAGAAAGCAAATGCGCGTCTGGAGCTGCCCCTCACCTCCAACATCCCCCGCCTCTACGTAAGTTACTCGGTCTCCATCAACACCACAAACAATACCGCGACCCGAGGCATCGAGAACCATGGCCGTCCCGCCCAAGTTTGCGGGCCACAAGCTCGAGTTCGCGCCGCCCTCGCCTTCGACCTCGTCGGTGCCGCGCGCAACGCACACGCTCGAGTTCTTCGCCGACTACTGCTGCCCTTACTCGGCCAAGATGTTTGGCACGCTCATGAAGACGGTGGCGCCCGCCGTGCGCGCAAACCCGGCCTGGGCGCCCGCGCTCACCGTTGTCTTCCGCCAGCAGGTGCAGCCGTGGCATCCGTCGTCGACGCTCATGCACGAGGCCGCCCTCGCCGTCCTGCGTCTCGCCCCCGCCGCCTTCTGGGACTTCAGTGCCGCCCTCTTCGACGGCCAGGCCGGCTTCTTCGACGTCAACGTCGTCAACGAGTCCCGCAACCAGACGTACCGCCGCCTCGCGCGCCTGGCTGCCCGCACGGCCGGCGTCGATGAGGGCGACGTCTACGCCCTGCTTGAGGTGCCCAGCAAGCCGGGAAAGGACGGCGCGCTCAACACGGGCAACGCCGTCACAAACGACCTCAAGCTTCTGACCAAGATGAACCGCCTGGTCGGTGTTCACGTCACGCCCACGGTCGTCTTTGACGGCGTCGTGCACGACATAAGCTCTGGCTGGACGGGGGACCAGTGGAATGAGTGGTTGGCCAACAACGTTGTCTGAATAATGACAAACAGTTGCATGTGCTTGACTTGGGTGTTTGTTGAAGCTACCGATTAAACTAAGACAATGCATTGCATTCTCAGGTATGGGGGTGGTCTAGGGTAGCCCATCTCCTTGCCCACTCTTATCTTATCCGTCTCGACGACAACCCTTGCATGCCTCGTCAATCTCACCCTCTGCTTCACTCCCCTGAGCTACGAGTAGCAACCAGCCGCGACAATGCCATGCCTCGCCCGGGCGTGCATCAAGACGCTGTCGCTCGCGAGATGCGCCCCGGCAGCGCCCTTGAGACCGCCCGTCTCCCCGCTCCCCCGCCTGCGGCTCCTGCTGCTTCCACGAGACGTCTGGCGGCGATGCTACGCCCAGCCTGCGACAAACGGCAATAGCCGGGCTCGCGGCGGCGACGATGCCAAGAAGCAGGCCGAGACGGCCGTCAAGAACGAAAAGCACTACCGTAAGCCCGCCCGCCCTCCTTCGTGTCATGCGTCCGTCTCTCACCGCACACACGCACGCAGAGATAGCCGAGCGAGTCATCATATACCACGCCGGCACGGGGCGCATCACGTTTCTCGCCATGCTCAAGCTCACAAGCATCTTCATTGGCGCCTTCTTCTGCTTCATCGCTGTCCCGACCTACATCAAGGCTGACAAACCCACGGCGGGGACCGTCGGAAGTTCGTGGACCGCCTTTCCATCTCCAGTACCATGTCCCGCTGGTCATCGTTGCTGACCCGTCGTCGACAGTCGCTCTCTGCGGCATTATGCCCCTCGCCTTCGTCGCCTCCACCGCCGCTCCCTTTGTCACCCACATCCACATCCACCTTCCGCCCTCGGCGCGAGTGTCACGCACCGCCCTCGAGCGCTTCGTCCGCGCCATGCCGCCCTCGACGCCCCTCACCCTCACCACCATGAGCGCCATCGGAAAGCCCCGGTACAGCAGCTTGAACGCCGGCGACCTGCTCCCGGCTGGCGCCCGGCGGCGCCGCTTTGGCCTCGTCAACTACGTGCGCGACACGACACGCGAAAATGCTGCGAGGAAGTGGTACAACCTGCGCGCCGTGGGGAAGTTCTACGTGCAGGAGAAGACGAGGAAGAAGGGCGGCGGCGCCAAGAGGTATCAGGTCAAGAAGAGCTCGATGGTTGATGCGTGGATTTGGGACGTTGTCAAGGAAAAAATTGCCTCAAGGGCAGCGGCGGCAACGGGTTCTTCCTGAATCCAGCCGGGGTTCGGAAGAAGGGGAGAAAGAGACAACTGCCGTCTGACGATCCGAGCTGGAGAGCCCCACGGCCTACCAAGGGCGAACAGCAACCACGTCACCCAGAGAAACGGTAGCGACATCCAAAGACATCGGTATGAGCCAAGCCACGGCTCGGACCGAGAGGGGGAGAAGTTTGCAGGAGCCGGGCTGCTTTGCGGGCCACGATACATCACCAGGCGCAGCGTGTCTGGGCCCGAGCGACAGGAGCATCATGCCTCAGCACTGATGGGCCGAGCCCGCCTGTTGCCGGCTTGCCGGTCTCCGCCGCCGCCCAGGGAACGCTCAGACGGGGGTGATTCCGCAGAGCCTCATCGAGGGCAATGTGACGAGCCGGGCACACGCAGCTGCAGCGAGGCGAGAGGGTTCCTATCAGCCTGTGCCGGCCTGTGCCGTCATCCTTGGTCAAGACGGCCCTGTCTGTAGGCCCGGCAGGCTGCGTGACGGCAGGCGCATGATGTGTGCATATACGTATGTGGCCTGTAGGCAACATCATACGTTACGAAGCATGTGTGATTAGTGTGCAGCACAGCATGCCGCCGTTCTTACTGCGTACACACCTCAATTTACCAGACTTGTAAGTGAATGCAGCCCAGTGTGTTCGCCGTGCGTGTCGTGTCGTTGCCCGGCGGTTAGTTGATATTGCGCGTCTGATGACGCACGGATGGACCCCGACCCGAACTGGAGCCCGGCGACTTGGTGATAGTGGCGCAAGAGGGGAAGCCCAAAAAAGCCAACTGCGCGCTGGAGCCGCCCTTTCAAAGTCAACCAGCGAGTCGGACGCGTCACATACCAACTGAGTCACGTTGATGGCTCCCTCATTCGGGGAGTCGAGGGCCTAGAGTTTCATCAAGATGGGCTGTCAAAGCTTCGGGTGAGACCAGGTTGGCTGGAGGGAGACCAGCCTCAATCATTGCCTTTCAGGCCATCTTTGCCATTGAGGTGGACTGATAGCTCACTGTCAAATATAGCAAAATAGGGGCACCCCCAGTGGAGGTGTTGATTAATATTGGTATAGTTTATAAGTCTTTGTTGTCCTGCTGACACTCACCACTTGGCAACCGGAGAAAAGTGGGACCGCCAGCTGGCAGGGGACCACTTTCAGGGGACCACTTTCTTTGTTATGCGTGTTTGCGAACCTCACTCCTGCGTGTTCACTTCCATTCCATTTACCCTCTTTGGCACGTGTCGTGGGCCGTACGTACCACCATTTGCGGGCCATGTTGGACTTTTATTGCCCTTTTCGTGGGTGGGAGCGTCCGGTGATGCATCCTGAATTGGTACAGCATTGATTTCACCTTTTGGACCGTTGGGAAGAGATTGTGACGCTTGAACCCACAGAATCATGGCTGAACCACCCCCTCCTCCCCTGGCTCCGGGAGCCCAACAACCGCCGAACCCCCAGGACGCTTTTTTCAGTCCGGACATGAGGTCCTTTCGTGTGGCAGGGCTGACAGCTATTCGGACGGTGGATCGTCGCGAGATACGCAGCGACTATTGGAAGAGCCAGCGGGGCTAGCGTTTTTGCTGTCGACGCTCAGGGACAGCCTAGACCCAGAGGCCCATGGGTCAGGGTGAGAGTCTATCGCCGGGCATGCCACTTGTGGACTGGCTCGGTCTATTCGTCGAAGGATATAACCCGTCCAAATCTCCATCACCAGTACACCTTTGGGGGGGTCGAGGACCACCCGACAGCTGCGCCTATTGCTGCCCTTATAGGCTACGACGCCTATAACTATCGACCACTTAACTCCCGGCTGCCGAAAGCTGGACCTTTTATAAGGCGGGCTTTCTAGCATCTTTCGGGATTTATCTACTTTACGCCCCTATTAGCAGTCCTCGAATTTCTAGAGGAACTCTATAGCAGCCTTCGCAGACCAGCACCTATATAACTTGCTTCTTCCGGCTGGCTTGCTGCTGGCAGCCCATCTATGGGTCTAGATCAAACGGGATAGCAACTTATGCCCGGAAATCTTTGCTGCCAACTACTCGGGCCAGAGAGATACTCGGGCCTAGGCAGTGCCGAAAGTCCCTCTTACGGAGTTCCTGATCTACTACCCTCTCTGGTTGCGCATTCATCAGCATCTACGACTGATGGAATTCATCTACCCCTTCCGCTTTATACGACAGGCTATTGACACGGACCTCTAGGCAGACCGACGAATGGCTATCCAGCGTGGTGCTATTGACGAAGCCCCGGTGATATAACTAGTAACCCAGACCCAATCACGGTGCCGAGGAATCTTCCCCACAGACCGTCAACTTATGTTGCCGTCTTTAGTGGTAGGCTCATCAATGGTCTTTCCGATAGACATTCAACTGCCTGACCTAACCCGACCATAAGGACCATGTTGGGCATGGGGAACGTCAAGCAATATGGCCTGCCCCAGTACGACTTTGCCCCCGTTGCTGGAGAAGGCATTTTTATTACCCTCGGACTCCCTCAACAGCTGGCCTGCATTGCCTCTGTCGGCCATCGGGAAGAATGGACTGGAGAGACTTTCGGGCGTGGTCTGGCCAGGGTGCAGTCCCTCTGCGGCTCGGCGACACGGTGTGGACCAGTATGGAAGGCTCACTTCCTGCCTGCCCTTTACCCCTGGACATCTCCGCATGGTCCCACCGCTTGAGGGATGGACGATGGCCTCCCCTCAAGATGGTTACCCGCTGGTAGCCAGAATGAGCCCAGATGTGTCTTTCGAGGCTCGTCAGACCATTCTGGACACTTTGGACCTCTTTGTCAGAGCTGACTTCATTGCCCCCTTGCCTCCAGGTGTCAGCTTATAGTGGATTACAATCTGCGACCGGGCTCAATGCGTTTTCTCACGGTTGAGACTTTCCCGGAGGATTACGGACATACACGAAGGGGAAAGGCGTTCTTGTTTGGTGCCGGAGGCACTTTTGCTGGAGGAGGACACGATAGGCGCCCAAAAAGGGAGGGGCTTTGGGCACGTATAATAGGTACAGTACATGGGAGGAAAGACTAGGCTCCTTGGGGCAGATGCGCACTTGACAGGGGAAGGCAGGTTTTCTGGGCGGGGTATCACTTGGGGTACGGATATAAGTACCTAGTGTCCCTTTTGACTATCAACGAAGACGTGTCTTTTGTGTGTCTCCTATACGTACATACATACGCAGAGTACCCGCGCAAGTCTCCCATCCATTCTCTATGCATCTCCCAGCATCTCGGCCATCGTCTATACGCCTGTCCAAGAGGAATGGGTAGGCAGCTTTGCATCCTGTCCCCCAGCACACAAAGTCACACAGACAGCAAACGGCATATTACAGCATAGTTACGTTACACGACCCCGCCCGCAACTCAACGGAGAAGCATCACCCCCGTGTACATCTAGGCATACATATACGCAGGTGCATGTTATAAGAACCGCCGCCGCCCACTGCCCTGCCGCTGCCACCAGAGCCGACAGACTTTGCGCTATAGCAGACTACTAACTTACTTGGGCGCTCTTCGGAGCAATTGCAGCCCCGCGCGCCTCGGGATTCGTCGTCCCCTTGCAAAACGCTCTGCATATTTCGCAGGGCGTACCGTTGAGTACCTTGTTGACTTCATCGACAGGCATGCGCTGATGCGTTAACATGCGGTTGATATACCTACTGTTACATGCTGTAGGTATCCACCGCAGAGCCCCCAGCCAGCAGGGACGCGAGATCCGGCTCTCCCCGTCCCACCCACACGGCCTGTCTGTCTGTCGCTCGACATGATGCCAACCTCAAGCCAGCCATTCACACCTCTTCACCTCCAACTTTCCACGGCGTGCTCGCAACCACTCTTGGCACCCATCCAACACGGGGTCCGCGAGGCTTGCTGGCCACCTCTCCCTTGCGTCCCCCGTATCCAGCTCCACTCAACAAGAAAATGCTCCGACCCCTGCTTCTCTTGCTTTAAACCTTCCCCACGTGCAAGGCCCCCCGTGGGCTTCACGTAAGCTTCACCGCCTACCCAAGGCATATATCAAGGCATATCGAACGATATTACGCATCCAACTCTTTTTCTTGCTCCATCCGAAGCCGCCGTCTCCCTTCTATTATACATTCATGCATACATGCATGCATACAGCCCCTCCACCCCTCATTCCCCTCCCCCGCGGCCTTTCTCTCGGACCATCAAGCACCGCAAAGAGTCGCCCCGGCATCGTATCTCTCCAAGTAATAACGCCACACCTCCCCATTCATGGCTTCGTCAACATTCGTTCCGTCGTCCACATGCATGCCCGTCGTCACACGTCGAGGCCCTCAGCCGCGTCAGCATTGGTTACCCAAACCCCCTACCCGTCAGTACCCTATCTTCTCTCGATTCCATCAACGTGAGGGTATCTTGCACAGTCGTACACATTTCCAAATTTCTCCCGCCGGTAGGGCCATGCCTAAGCAGCTGTAAAGCTTCCCCTGTAGTCGAACAGTAAGAGAAAAAGGGACTCGTCATGAAAGAAAAGGGGGAGCAAGCCTGAGAGTAGACGCTCGTCGAGGGGACGGCCTTTCTTTCACCCTTCCTGCCAAACAAGGCCAAGGAAAAGACACGGCTGCACGACGACAGCTTGAAAGGATCCCCAGGCGTCAGTGCGAGCAGCTCGAGGTCGCCGGCGACTCTCTTTCGTCCACATATTTCCCTCCAGGCATCCGCAGCGGGCGGGCCAAAGGAAAACGCATCAACGTCGCTTCATTGTTTGCATCGTGTCGTAATCCCATGATCGTTTGAGTCCCCCTTCATATACGCTTGCCACCGACTCCTGCCACATGGCCGGTGTGATAAAGTTGGCCATCGGCGTGGGAGCCGAGTATGCCTGTGCCGGCATCTGCTGCGCGCCGTCGGCTGCCAACGTCGCCCCGACACCTTGGACGGCCGGGATAGTCGAAATCTCCGAGGGGCCCGAAGAAGTCGCCATGTCCAGGGCATCAGCCTGGGCAGCGGCCACCGGCTCCGCCTGCGCTGGCGAGCCAAACGACGTGTTCCATTGTCTGCAGCTCGAGTTAGCGCCTTGCTAAGTGACGGGGGCCAGCCATTGACTCGTGAGAGGCGCGGATAACACGCACTCGAATATCCTCGCTGGGTTCCACGTGGGCTGGCTGTTTGGGATGGCCATGTCCTGCCGCATGTCCGGAGCCTGGCCGTCTTGCGGCATCAGGACGAGCGACTGCGCAGGCGGGCTGTCACCCTTGCTGTCCCCAGGACCGGCGGATACCGGCGGTGAGATGGGGTGGCTAGGGTAACTGACTGGCTGGGTATGGGGCGTGCCCAGATGCTGGTCTAGCGGGCCTGTTCGATCCATGGCCTGTCGATATCGGTGCGTCCCTCCGGGCGGGCTGGGATGGCTCGACGAGTGCGGGCTTCCGTACGGGAACGACGGCTTGAGCACAAAGGGCCTTCTGACGTCGGCCGAGAAGGCTTCGCGGACGGCGTCAATCTGCTTCTGGAGCTCCGGCATCGGCCACGCCTCCATCACCTTCTCCATGATTCTCATGTGGCGAGTAAAGTATTCCGGGGCGTCCGAGTTGAGCTCGGGATCCGGCGACACGATGGCAACCTGCGGCGATGATTAGCACCAAGACCTTCGTACGACACGGTGCACCCCGAGACAAGGCGACTTACAAGATGGAGGACAATGCAAGAAAGCCCTGCGTAGACGGTGAAGCTAAAGCCTCGCTGCATGGCCTGGAGCCCCGTGAGGCTAAACGTTTGCACGATGCTCTCCTGAAGGCGGCAGAGGGATTTGGCCGCGTCGTAGCAGATGGACATGTGGTGCTTCCATTGCGACTCGTTTGCGGCCGGGTCGAGAAATGACAGCACGGGCCGGTGGTAAAGAATCAGGGTGAGGTAGTAGTACGAGTGCAGGTTTCCGAGAAACGAGGACGGTATCCACGGAGGCGAGCTGCCGGGCGGGAATGTGATGGCCATGTCCGCCGGCAGTTCGGACAAGAACGAGCTGATGCTCTGGCTGAGTTGCTGGAATTCCGGGTCCATGCCCCATTCTCGTTTCCTCCCAATCTTTGCATAGACTTTGCTCATTCTGCCGATGTTGCGCACAAGCCGGGCAAAGTAGGTGAAATTCCGCGACACGAGGTATTCGCCATCGTCGCCTCCCTCAACCTGGAGGGGGATGCTGAAGTCGACCGATTCCAGGTCGACGGACAAGTCATGACGGCCTTTCTCCCAATAGTCAGCAATCTTGCGTGTATGTTGCGGCAGACTCCGTGAGAGCAAGCAACCGTGGACGGAGCAAAATAAAACAAAGACCAATCCAAGCACAGCGGGGGCACAAACCTTGGGGTGTGCCGACCATGACCTCGCAGACAAATATCGTCTGCCAGATTCGGGTTCGGAGTTGACACTCAGCCGGGCTCGAGTCGCAGGGGCGGCCGACCTGGTGATCCTCGTAATGCTCGTCCAAGCCCAAGTCCTTGGCCATCTGCACACATTGCACGACCGTCATCCACGAGCGGTAGTAGTAGCCACGCTTGGGCGCGGCCTCTCGAGCTTTGAGGATCATCAGGAGAGCCTGGAGCGTGCTCAGGCGGGGAATATCCATGAAGGAATCGGCATGCCCTGCAGGTCCGAGTCAGCGACGTGATGCGTGGCCATGGGGGAACGGCAGCGCGAGCGTACTGGAAGCAAGCGCCAGCCACTGGTGCCCCTGAGCGGGATCCTCGGCCAAACGACCTCCAATGGCGAAGAGAGCCTCAAGAACAAGGGGCGAAATGGTTTCTCTGGCCGAGTTCCACTGACGATAAAACTGCACCTTATCCAGGACCGGTACATAGGGGTGAACTTGGGCGAAGTAGAGGTCAAAGTAGTGTAGTGCCGAGGCATCGTCGGGCATCAGTTCCGGCGGTACCCGGACTTTGTGGCCCGGTCCGGTGATGATGGGAGGCAGGACGCTCTCGAAATCATCGTCATCCTCGACGGCGGGCATTTCATGGTGGCGAAAAGATGCCTTATTGCGTAGATAGGGGGCTGCGTGACATGCAGTCAGCGGCAGGTAGGAGACGAGCGAGGAGTAGCGGCCGGGGGGAGCACATACCTGTTCCGAGCTCGTTGACCTTGAGCGTGCCCAGCAGATCGGCAAGGTCCTGCTGCTGGTACGAGTCGGTGGAGCAGGCCTCGGAGGAGTCGTCGGGCCGCGGGGCCGGCTGCAGGGGCGGAGTGGGAAAGGCATGGGGTGGCGCGTAGGGCTGGTGGTGGTGGTGGTCGAGAAGGGAGACGGGAGGCGGAGGAACGGTCGTGTAGTGCAGGCTGTGCTGCGAGTCAAAGGGCATGGACTGGTAGGCCGAGGCATCGGGGTCCGGGTATGCGCCGTGTGATGGGTAGACGTCGGCCGCGTGCTTGGGGACATGAGGCTGCAGGGCGATTTGCTGAAACTGGCCCGAGGGGTTCAGGATGGTCTCGTACGTGGCGGGCGGGTGGGTGGCGGCCGAGTCGGACGAGCCGTCGTAGCCGTTGGGCCGCACGCAGTGGAGTTTGAGCCTGATGCAGGCCGAACAGGGCCATGTGTTTGTAGTGGCGGCGTCGCACTTGATCTTCCTTCTCCGGCAGCCCTCACAGGCTCTCATGACTGAGACGGCAAGGTCGTCAGCAGATGCGCGGGCACAAGCCTCGGCCGGGCGACTCACCCTTTAAGCGCTTGTGGCGGTTGTGCTCGTCGACAAAGACATAGTCTGCAGGGGGGGGGGGGTTGTCAGCGCCTCCAAGGCCTCTCGGCTTCTCCTATACCGATGTCATCGAGGGCTGGCGATGCTCACTCTTCTGCGTCTCCCTCTGGGGATACTGGTGCGGGATGAAGGGAAAGGAACCCATGTGTGCGGATTGGGTGCTCGATGCGTCCTGGGGCAAGATGGGGCGCACGGCGGAATCGTTGGACATGGCAACGCCCAGGGCGGACTCGGACGTGTCGCGATGAGGACAGCTGAATGTGCGAGGCGAGGAGCTGGTGATGTACGACGGGGACGACGAGAGAGTGGCGGGCAGTCGACATGAAGCAGACACGGCGGGCTTGCAGCCTCTCGGGTTGGCAGACGGCTGCAGATGGCTCGAGAGGAACAGGAAGGGAGAATACGAGGCGAGGTCGGCGCTTTTGGACGAGACAGAGCGTGCGACGGCGACGGCGAAAGTGGACTCACTCGTCGTACTCGCACTGGTGGATGACGATGGCTGTGACAAGCCAAGAAACGGTGGTACCGTGTGCTTGTGAGTAGCAGCGAGGCAGACGACGCATGTATGTACGTACGGCGAGGTCGACGTACAGCAGCACTCGGATGTGCTCCAGGGGGGATGAGAGAGGCCAGGAAGGGGAGGAGGAGGAGGGCCGGCCGGGTTATTATTGATTCCTCTCTGCCTCTCTTTCTCCCCCCTCTTTCGCCTTGGATCTAGCGTAGCTGCAGTGCTTCCCTCGTGCGATTCGCTCCAGGGTGGATGATGTCGATGGGATTCCGCACTGTCAGGGGTCGGGGGGTTGAGATTCGAGCTAGAGCTGGTGCGGGCCTCGACTTGTTACCGGTGACTAGTGCGTCCCGTCTTTGTCGTCGACTTTTCGACGGACGGGCGGGCGGGTGGACGGATGGATGGATGGAGCTGGAGAGAGGATTGACGAGATGGTCGAGCAAGGATGCCGCCGGTAGTACCCTGTACGATTACCTACAGTGGACGAGGTATGTACAGTACCTGGCTTTAGTGAGGGGGGCCGCTCTGTGGAGGTACATGCACCCGCAAGTATGAGATGCATGTGCAGTACAGCGAGGAGCTCTTGTACACCACCCCAGGTCTGTCTCTGGTGATTGACGAGGCCGCAGATTGAAGGAACGACTCTCTCTCCCTGCTTGGGGGACACGGGGGGTGGGCATCGTCGTCGGGTCGGCGGTGGTGTGCGAGGTCTGCTGGTAGGTACCTATTCCCACGGGTGGAGAAGCCGTTGAAAGATTCCGCTAGTGTACTCTCACAGCACTGGAGTAGAGTAGTCTCTTTGGGTGGAGAAGGGGCATGCGGACCGGCGATGGGACTGGAGGCTGATTAAGGTACTCCGTGGTGGGTGTGATGCTGATGGTGATCATGGTTGATAGGAGGTCGCCATGGGGCCCACTGAATGCTGGTGGTGGTGGTAGTGGTGGTGCGCTGTACTAGTAAGTACCCAGGCGGCGCTGGCGGGGCTTCCCATCCTCGTCAGTGGGCTTTCCTCCTGCTTGACGCCCCGGGTAGGAGACGAATCGAAGTCATCCTTGGCATCGCAAGCAGGGCCGCTAATGTGGGCGGACCTGTTTATTATTTTTGCCATTACCTTAATCCATCCTGGATATTTTGCTTGCCTCCTCACACTAGCCTAGATCGTATTTTATGCAGGACTCTGCTTCATCTCAAGTTAGCCTCGGTCCGCTGGCCGAGTGTGTTTGATGGGGCATTCACCAGACACACAAGGCCTTGGTAAAGCGTGCCAGCCTCACGTAGAGTACAGTACGGAGTACACGGGCCGTCGTACAACCAGGCGTTTCTGTGCCGCTCATCCGTACCTTGTCTTGCAAGGACCATCCATGTCTCCTTGTCCTGGTCACCGTACCGGTTGTCGTTGTTTGGAATCGGATGCTACAGTACAGGCTTAGTACTCTGATGGGCGACTCGTACGTAGGTAGCCTGTGTAACATCTGGTGCCGAAGCTGCGTCTCTCCTACCATGAGAGCGTGTCTGTGTGTGTGCCAGGCCTGCAGGCAGTCCTGTACAGAGCCGAGATAGGACGAGGCATGCATGCATCTACTTTGACGGGGCCACACAGCCTTTCACATCGCATTAGTAGGCCATGCTTATACTGTAATTACCTTGCCGTATACGTACAGTTAGCACGTACCTGTATGCAATATAAGTATGCAGTGGGTTATAGTGACCGTTGGTCGTCCTTTTGCTCGACATACTGTATGCTACTGTGTGCTATGACACGAAAGAGTCGTTGGTAAAGCGCATGCATGCTGGCACGCACACGGGACAGCTCAGCCCAGTGGGTCGCATAATTATACGCAGCGTGCGTATGTATGTTGGCTCGACCATCAATCAGGGCGGCTACCTGCTCAGAAGCATCGTGAACACACAGGCGGCTCCAGCAGACAAGGCGGAGAAAGAGGCTAGGTGCGAACAAAAAGTCCTATAGCGCGAACTAGATGCTTGTGCGCCGAGGCCAAGGCTGCCCTGCGGATCCTGGCCGGTGCCTCTGCTAACTGCTCCGGTCTAGACCGAAATCGAAGGGGATGCACTTGCAGACCAAAGAGTTGCGGTTCCAAAGAGAGAGGAGTGAGAACAAGGATCCATGTCCTTGTTGGTTCAGGCCGGCCGAATGCAAGGCAACAGCACGTGAAAGCCCGGCAACGTACCTAGGCGATGACGGAAAGAGCCTTCTGCTTGCTGCTTTGGGAAGACAACATCTACATACAGTACAGTACAGTTATTCTGGCATGCATTTGCAGGTGGCAAGGACCAAGCAAATGAGTCGAGGCAAGGGGGTGCGGGCTGTCAGAGCCAGGAAAGCTTATCCGTCGAGCTTGCCGTGAAAGCTGCCGGCCACCCCTGCATGGCCCATGCAGTTAGCCGCGGTTGAAGAATCTGCACGTTGCTGCTTCTCCGCACACCCGATGGCGCGGTCCAAAAGCTGGCGCCCGTACCCCGTACACGGGGATAAGCTTGTATTAGAGACGAAAACGAGGTCCAGGGTACCTGCCTTTGCTTCTACCGCTTCTACCGACAGGGGAGCCCACAAGGTCTTCCCTGCTAGCAGCCCTGTTCCAGGAGGGACAAGGCCACGGCTTAAAGCTTGGTACCTGAACAGCCAACTGCGCCCTCGGGCCGCCCAGGGGGCATGCTAAAGAGGAAATCGCAAGCCCCTTACTTACAGTACAGGCGCATAACGTCCCTGCTAACGGGCAGCCAGAATCGTCCCTCGGTCGCAGGCTTGTTATGAGAGGGAGCTGTCGGCCTATCGCATCCAAGCCCACATGTTGCCACTGCGCAGTTGGCGCCCGACAAACCTGCTTGGGCGGGTGCGTGGAGCCTTGCCGCCGTGCTTCCCGCGCCCGAGCCAACAGGCGGGTGACTTTTTTTTCGTGCTTCATGTACACGATGTTAATAACGGATTTGTTTTTTTCCTTTGCAAAATCCGGTCTATTTTTTTTGCCGCTGCGGTGAGTCAAAGGCAACAAACGTCAATGAGTGCCGGGCTGGTGGTGCTTTTCCCCCCGGCCCCGGGTACTGTACGTCGTACGTTACTGCGGTACCGAGGCTGCAGGGCAGAGACCAGCCCTGTAGAGACCAGCCCTGTATGTAAGTGAGAGCGGCAGTCTCGCTTGCCGTTTCGACAGCGTTCCGTGGTAAGCCAAGAAGTGGCAACATCTAATACGGCACGTACCTTCCCCAGCACCGGGCATGTCATCAGCGCGGCATGTACTCCGTGCGCGGCGAGCCCGAAAAGGCACTGTCCCTGCGCGGCTCTGGCCAGGCCATCTTGGTATACCCGTCGGACATTTCGGCCCCTGTCCTCCCATCTAGGCCTGACGCGCGCTCTCTGGCTGGGAACACCTGCTCATGGATGGTCTCCAGCCCAGCCTCGCCTCGCCTCGCCTCGCCTCGCCTCTGCCTCCCGATGGTCCTCTGCAAACACCGAGCTGAACCGAGCAAGAGCGCTTTCGCCAAGAATCGGGCTGAGACTTCATGAGATGAGATGGCACATCATCAGATGAGATGCTCATGCTCCAAGTTAGATGGTGCCATGTCCCCTGGCCTTGATGACGGATGCGCTCCACAGTCATCAGGCTTGACGTTTGGCCTCCCACCCAGGCACCCACCGCACAGCCTTGTTGCCTCCCCCCATAAGCCACTCCGAGTGATGCTTACGCCTGGCTACACGACTTCGCCAATGGAACCCGAGCCTGCATTAGCCTCGCATTGTCGGGTTGACATGTGCAAAGGAACCCTCCCGCCCCCGGGCTTGCGTGGCAGAGTGTCGTTGATGTGCCATCCATTCCTTTTGCCATTCTGCGGGCCCCATCACCTGTCTAGGTTGCATCTCTTGCTGCGACCTGGACAGACAGCCTGGTTGGCTCTGCGGCCCAAGAAGCTGTGCCTCTCACGAGTGCTCGGCCGCGATGGCTGCTTGCTTGTCTGGCATGATGGGCTCCGAGTCCAGCAACGCAATGCAATCGCCGTGGCTATTCCCGGCGTCGCTGGGCCGGACCCGCCCGACGAGGAAAAGGAGCATTAGCCATCAGAAGCCGCGTCTGTTTCCCGACCAATGGTGGTGCGCCTGGCTATCGGGCCGCGCGCTGGATCGACTGTCAACGGCGGCTAGTGGGTGGACATGTACGTTGGTCGGCAATCTGCAGTCGCCCTTTTGCGGACGGGGACGGCCGGCAAAGTCCGTGCCTTCAAAGTGCATGCATGTCACTGTTGGTACGGACGGAGAGCGTTTGCTCACGCGCTGCCTGGAACCATTGTACAGTACGGCCATGATCCAACAGCAGGTTACTGTACAGATGCCTACGCACCATGTTTTCGCAACACGAGAGGCATCGAGGAATGCTCTCCCCTGTCTTATACACATGCCCATTATACGGGGTGCGTAATCGGGCCATAGGGGAGTGACCAAAGGCATACTGCGAGCATGAGCCCCACGTATACGGTTTCAACCAGCTATATGCTCAAGATGCCAGTCTACCTGGAATAGGGGCTCACCATCAATCGACTCTGGACTCTATAACTCGTCATGCCATGTGATATATGCAGTGCCTGTCCTGTGTTCCCTGGTATTTCGACAGATGTGTGTGTACCTGCTTAAGCGAGCTGCCTGTGTTGCATCTCGAGTCTCTTTCATTGGTACCTTGCTGTAATTGTGCCTGGCCGGGAGAAGGGGGGGGGGGGACGGTCAGCTTCTCTTCCGCAACGATGACGCGGAAATCGAGTCTCTCGATGAATTACTGATGTCATATGTGGAGCTTGAGCGATGCACCTTGAACTGAGTGTGGGATGGTGCGGAATATGCTCTATTCTCCCCCCCTACCGTGCCTCAAGCGCAAGAACAAATGCATGGGTTGAGACTCTGCAAGCTTACAGAACCCATCGTCGCCTTGTTGGTCGGGTGGCACTTTTGGCGTGCATATAACTCATACTGTATGAAGCGCGAGCAAGCAAAGCAAAAGCAGAGCCAGGCCCGGGTAGTCAAGCCATGTTCTTCGTCCGTCAGGTACAAGCCAAGACCGGCCCGCGCTCCCGCACTCTGGGTTTCGGCAGTCGATACACATGCATACATGTAAACACACAGACGCCGAAGACATGCCAAAAAAAGATGGGGAAAGCGCCGAGAGACGGATGGGAGCGGGCGCGGCGCCGAGGCCTAGGATCCAGAGTCGGATCGGCCGGCGGAGAAGATGGTGTCTGATGCTGCAGACGGGGGAGTGCGCGTCGGGACCAGGAGAGGCAAAGCAGGGATTCTACGCCTTGCCGTAGCGTGGGAAAACACTGGATGAGCCGCACAGACGGACCTTTTGACTGCATCTCCAAATCCATGGCGTCCCCAGAAGGGCCTGTTGATCAGAGGCAAAGGGACAGGGACAGGCCCTCACGCACAATCATGGTTATAGTACTGTACAGTCCTGGATTACGCAACAGCAGCCGTTTGCGTCAAGGGGGAGCGATGGCAACACCTGGCCAGACAGGGTCAAACCCCCTTCCTGTCCCAAGCAAGTACGTAACCATGGAGCCGAACCTACTGTCGGTTACACGAAAGCTTTACCTCGGTGTGCTAAAGTACTGTAGTCTGTCGCCGAGTTGGGGTAACAACTAGACAAGTGACTACAATTAATAATGCCGCATCACGTCTTTAATTCCGCTGCGACGGGATACGAGCCGCTGCGCCTCCCCGCACCAAAGGGGTTGACTGACATACTGTACTGTATGTGCTGTATTATATACAGTACATCCAAAAGTGTGTTGCTATTTAGATTAAACGTTTGCTGAAGCATGTATCCGTAGTTGGCCCTCGAGTCTGTGCATCTTGTTCACATGTGGCCGCGTCGAGGAGCCGAGGCTCAACAAGGCCCCATGTCGTCTTGTTTGCCCCGTCCATGCCTATTCTGTGCGCCAATCTAATTACACACACATCGCAGTTCTTCTGTTTACAAGGCGCAGCATGCCTGTTGTTCAAACGTGTTTGTTCCTGTCGACCTCCTAACCGCTAGAGGAGGTGATTGCCTAGGCACCTACCCAAGACGGGTTGGTCGACCTGACGCTGTCCAAGGTCCAGTGAAGCCACCGGCAGGCAACCCCCTACAGTACAGTACTGTTAGGTAGTAGTAAGATGCCTGTCTTGCCGCGCCATCTGTATTAATCAGGGGTAGCTTGGCGGCAAAAAAGTGACAGCTTTGTTAGGAAGACAATGGAGGCCGTGTGACACAGCAGATGGACCACGAGCGTGGGGTACAGTAATTACATGCAACCACACACACACACACATCTAAAGGACGCCGACGTGATGGATACCGGTAGAATGGGCCCGGCGTACCGGCAGCGGCAGCGGCAGCGGCAGCAGAAGCAGCAGCAGCAGCATGTGTCGAGGTGCCTACCTGCCTGGGTATACACTGCGCGGCGGCCATCGACTCCGGCAAGCCGCGGCATTTCTCCTCCGCACCGACCGGCCGATGCCGGGGACCCGTAGTGACAGGGCGGTGGAGGGCGGTGGAGGGGACCCCGTGCCGCTGCCGTATTCGGCCCGTCCAGGATCGCCTGGCCGCGCAGGGCTGCCTACTGTATTACTGTACAGATGGATGTGTGAGTGGATGGAGCTCGCCTTACGTTATGGATGAGGCCGGTGGGTTCTACCGAGCATGTGTGTGTGCAGATATGTATGTATGTACGAGCGCCGCATCTAAGTTACCGTACCACCGTGTCTGTAACCAGCCGTGTTGTGTTGGTCGCGTGCGAATAATTACTGTATGCAGCATTTCTGGGGAACCCGCCCCTACGCCCCTCACGGCCCCCCTTTTCGCCCAGACAAGAAAGACTGCGGCTCTCGGCAATGCCATCGGTGCTCTGCTTTGCTGGAGCCAACGACAGACTCCTTTAATATCGGCCGGATGGTTTGAGAGTTGCGACGGTAGCCTCGCACCCCTGTTGAAAGTGATGTATTGCATCCTGCTATATGAGTATATGTGTGTTCCTTGCTGCATCTATAGCACAAGGCGGCCACGAGCTCTTCGTCCAAGGCCGTGTTGGTTGCCGCACATGGCAGGCAGGCAGGTGGCAAAAGGAGTCATCCGTCAACCGGACAGGGATTCTAGCCGTCTTCCAGAAGGCCCCAACGAGTTGGATTACCTACCTACTGTATGTACCTACTTAATACCCAGGTAATTACAGTACTGTACGTTGATTCGCATGCATGAGAGCCTGGCCTCTGTAGCCCTGCAGTATACGCTACTGTACGCCACAGTGGCGTACCGCACGTAATGGGCTTCTATGCCTTGGACTCTACAGAGTATACTTACCTAGGTACCTACCTACTTGGGTGTGTGGAAATCTTGTATGTACAACATGCAGTCCAGGCAGGCATCGATGCGCTGGTAGCACTTTGCGGTCCTTGAGCGGAGTTTGCAATTCAATATCGTCGACTTCCGAGATCTCTCCCCCGTCAACATGTCCACGTCTGCTCATGCCATCCATGCCTGTGGAGCCATTGATTGCATGGTACCAAGTGCCTGCAGAGTGCCAAGTTCATTGAGCCCCCCATTCCAACCACCCCGCCGTCCTCGAGTACATGCTCGGTACCTCGACCCCGGAAGTCGCCGACTGCCTGCCCGTGATACCTTAAGAGTGATACCTTTAAGAGTCGTGGTGGTGGTGGTGGCACGAGACGTCAGGAGAGGGGGTGCCTCTGTGTACCAGCGCCCATCGCCCATCCACCGTTGAGTTTGACAAGGCGCGGAGCGGTCCCAACGGCCCGTCATGGCCGCTCGTCTACCGCCCATACAGCGGCTTTGCGATGCTGGTGGGCTATTATGTGCGAGAGGCAAGGTACGGAGTACAGCCTACCTAGGTACCTACCTAGGTACCTTGGGTACCGCGCAGACCCCGCGGAAGCATTCCGAAAGGTACTAGGTAGGTGGCTCCAAAACACTCCGGCCCCGGTATTAAGATTACCCACCGTCGATGCTCGCAAAACGTCCCGACCTCGAGCCTCTCCATACCAGGCAAAAAACGCTGTCCTTCATTTCAACCCACCCCCGGCCGCTTGCCTCCCTCCGTCGCATCGCCCTCGCCCGTCATCGCTCCCGAGATTGCTACCCCGTTGGCGATCCAAGCAGCAGCCATGGCCGCCGCCGTCCTCGACAACGCCAACCCCACCATCCTCAGCGCCGAGCAGCTGCCCACGCGCCACTCCAAGGCTGCTCCACGAGAGGGGCCCGACACCAGGTATGACGCCCTGGTCCGCCAGCCGCCGTCCTATCTGTCCCGTCCTTTCTGCGACGCCAGTCATGCGTGGCCGACTGCCGCCGTGAGCCATGCCGCAGACCCTATCGATGAACAGGAAATATACGGTACGAAATTCGCTTGCCTCTCCGTCACCGCGGCTCTGCCTTCGCTGACCTGTTTCAGATCTCATCTCCACAATATCAGATCCTGAGCATCCTGTCTCGCTTGGCCAGCTGTCCGTCATCAACCTCCCGGACATCCAAATCACTCCTTCTCCTGCCCTAGGTGTGCCACACCCAAACACAATCGTCCAGGTCTCGGTCAAAATCACGCCCACCATCACCCATTGCTCTCTCGCAACCGTCATTGGACTGGGCGTCAGGGTGCGCCTGGAACAGGCCCTGCCGCCCAACTACCGCGTCGACGTTCGCTGCAAGGAGAACAGCCATAGCCAGGATGACCAGGTGAACAAGCAGCTCGGAGACAAGGAGCGAGTCGCCGCTGCCCTGGAGAATGATACATTGAGAGGCGTCCTAGACAAGATGCTGGAAACATGTTCTTGAGCCTGAAAATGGCCATGCCAAGCATGGTCGGATCATAGGAGCCTCTGAAGTATCGAGGCTTCGACTCACTTCTGGGCTGTGAATGCCGCCGCCTACGCAACGGTCGGGATTTCTCCATGATGGGACATGGACGGGACATACTCGGACACGCGGCCGGCTTTGGCTTGCGGGGACAGCTGCACAGTCTTGTCTATGCAAGGTTGATGCACTCAGATTGCAAGAAGCTCTGCGGTACGCTGGCGTCGTCGCTGCATACGCCTTGCAGCTCCAAGGACACGCATGGTTATGCGTCGCGGCGTCGGTCAAGCCCCCTGGTCGAGGCCAATTTGGCGACCCAGATGAAGGCGAGCACGGTGACAGCTCGCAGCCTTGGCAGGACGGACTACCGAATGCTGCGACTGCATCTGACCGCATACGTACATACATGGAGGCTCGGATCCGAGTAATCAAACATGCACTCCTGATTTTCAAACATGCACTCCGACTTAAACCCCATTTGGAAGAGAGCCCCACCAAAATTTGGCGCGGCGCGTTCCCAACGCCGTGGCCGCCGCGGCTTGCCGCCGGCGCCCGAGGCCACCTCTGCACACACGTTCGTTCGTTTTGAAGCCATCGTTTTGAAGCTATCACCAACTATTCAGCACACCACACCAACGCCGCCACCGCCGCCGCCGCCTACCGCACAACCGTCACGATGAATTCGACCGATCGCAACATGAATACAAACAGACGATGCCCTCACTTCCACAGGCGCCGCCGGGCTCACAGGGGTACTACGTAATGCCACCGCCTACAACACATGTGCCTGTATACACACAGGCGCCGCCGGCGGCATCGTACGTCTACCCGATGCCACCTACGCCCTCACAGTGGCAGCAGGGGCCGCCCCCCTCGGCACAGGGACATCACGATAGCTGCCTGTGGGCACAGCCGCCGGTACAGTCGCAAGGGACGGCAAGGGAGCCTGCCCGACAGCCAGGGGATCAGAGGGACACGGCGCCATACAATTTTGGTAGGCAGGCCGGGCATACGTTCGTCCCTTACGTGCCTCGTCCTCCGCCGCGTCAGACGGATCAGACGGATCCTACGGATCCTCCGGCACCGTCACAGTCATAGTCACGGCGTTGATTGATCTCACGGGCGGTAGTCAAAGGTGTGCACATTGTATATATATCGGAAAATAGGTCGGGCCGGGCGTATTGATATATTTGAACGACTCAAGGAACGCAGCTTCCAGCGTTGGTGATAATTAAATGCTGATTGAATGCGACCGGGCGGCAGCCGCGGCGGCCACGGCGTTGGGAACGCGCCGCGCCAAATTTTGGTGGGGCTCTCTTCCAAATGGGGTTTAAGTCGGAGTGCATGTTTGAAAATCAGGAGTGCATGTTTGATTACTCCTCGGATCCAGGGCCGGCAGTTGCAGGAACCCGCACAATGCTACCGCAGTTTCGAATTCCTCGCCCACAGAGGTGGAGGAGTAGCAGTCGGTGGGCGAACCTTGGTGGGCAAGCTTGCCATTAACTGGCCCCATGTATGTGTCGTGCGAAGGCTTTCTGGATAGCCTCAAGTCATGTTGTTCTCTCCGTGTCTGTCTGATTCCGGGCGCACAAATAGCGCCCGCTTCCCCGCACGCCGACGAAGCGCGAAGGAATGTCCGGGCGGCCCGACCAACCCACGGCTGCGGAGGGCGGGAATGGGGAGGAGTCCTCGATACGAGATTCGGAGGTTTTTAATCTTCGGGTCACGCCGGCTCCTGTACCGAGCTGCAGCGGGTGCCGTGAGCCATCAGGGTCCTCGCAAGCGGACGGCAAAGGCGGGATGTGTGTTGCCTACCATCGTATTTCCCAGCGTGGCCGAGGTGGGGCTGCATTCGTTGTCGAGCGCGCTCTCGTCGTCCTCGCTATCGGCCATGCCCGCCCGGCGGAAGCGAGTCGTCGGCGTATCGCTTCCAAGGGGAGGAAAACAAGGTCATCCTCCTCTCGCTGGTGCGAGGGCCAGACTCCATCCATGGTAAAGCCATGCCTAGGTTCGTCGCGGACGAGAACAGGGCGGTAGAGGCCACGAGCCGAGCTAGACGGGGCTTTTATATCGTTGGCAATGCTCATAATATGCTTCGTGGCAACAGCAGGACCCGGCAGACGTAGGAAAATATAGCGAGGGCGTTCTAAGGTCGAGCCGGGCGCATCTTCCTCTTACGTATGCCGCTCATGGCACCTGGACGAAAACCTTTCAGTCTGAGGGGCTGGCGCCTGATGACGGCAAGTAGGTGCCTTGCGAGGTGCGGCGAGAAGCCTCCGACGGCACAAAGTGAGGACCCCACGGGCTTGCGGTGGGAGCTTCAGGTCGGTGGTGCCCCGAGCATGCGCTTCATCCGAGTAGACGAGGCATTCCCGCAGACTTCTCGGCGAGCGGGCGTGGCTAGAGGAGCGGAGCTTCTGCCCGTCTCTGCCGCCGAACCCGGGCTCGGTTGTCGGCGAGCCGAAAGTAAACCCCTGCCTTCGCCTCCGTGTCCATGGCTGACCACTTCTCGACAAGGCTTCGGCTGTCCGTGCATGCGCGCGCGTGCATGGTGGATATGCCGGGCATTGGCAATTTTTTATTTATTTATTTTTTGGCGTGGTATGTTGCCGCCGCAGCGTAAGCGGAATAAGCCGAGGCGGCGTCGGTTCCTGGCTGAGAGACGGCCGTCGATGAAGAGGGCGTCGTCACAACTCACGCGCGCACGTGTAGATATTAACGTGCGGGTGTACAAAGTGTAGACGCACGTTGCTGATGGAATGTATTTCATCTGTAGACATGCTTGGACCACCGGGGCATGGGGGTGTGTCGTGGGTAGAAGAAAATAGGGTCGTCTCCAGCACAATCCTCTTCCTTCTTTGCAGCCAAGTGGTTCTGATCCCGAGTACGTTCCGCGTAATGAGGCGCGTGAGACTGAGTAACATGACAAAGCATTTCGAAGAGAATATGTACGGATATATAAAGGCCTTTTCCCTTGTATACGAAACACGAAGGCCAAGGGCGCCCGCTCCGCAGCCGTGCCTCCAATACAGACAAGGTCAAAATAGGGGCCCCAAGAAGGGAGCAAAGCCGAAGGGGGCGGCGCAAGGAGCCAGGCAAAGAGCACCATCACGCCCTCTCCATCTGCTGTAACATCACGTCGGCCGCCTTCTCGCCCACCATGTAGGTCGAGACGGCGGTAAACGTGCCGGGGATGCGCGGGAAGACGGAGGCGTCGACGACGCGGAGGCCGCGCACGCCCCTGACGCGGAAGCTCGAGTCGAGGACGGCCATGGGGTCGCCGTCGGCGCCGATGGGGCACGTCGACGAGGCGTGGTGGCCCCAGGCCGTGTCGCGCACGTAGGCATCAATGTCCTCGTCCGACTGGATGCCCGCGCCGGGTAGCACCTCTGCGACGGGGACGAGCTGGCGGCGGAAGGCGTCGCGCGCCAGCCTCACGCCCTCGCGGAGCGCGCGCACGTCGGCCGCCGCGTCGCCGCTGCCCGTGTCGAAGAAGTTGTACGTGATGCGCGGCATGTCGAGCGGGTCGGCCGACTGCAGCGTCACCGAGCCGGCGCGGTTGCGCGGGTGGCCCTTGAGGATGGCCCAGGTGAAGAGGTCCTTGCGGGCCGTGATGTCGACGCCGTATCCAGGGTAGTAACCGCGGAAGTCGATGGGCCCGCCAAAGACAAAAGTGTCGTACTCAGACGCGGCCGACGACTTGAAAAGCATCGACGCGGGCAGGCCGTTGGAGACGTAAGGGCCCCTGCTACCGATGAGGGGCAGCGGGTGCTCCCACTTGCGCAGGCACGGGTCTTCGGCGGCGGACGGGCCAAAGGTGCAGCCGTGAAACGTGGAGAAGTTTGTCGGCAGCCGGCCCTGGACGGCCACCTCGTAGTGGTCCTGCAGGTTGGCGCCGACGCCGGGCAGGTCCTTGACGACCCGGATGCCGAAGCGGGTAAGTTCCTGGGCGGGGCCGATGCCGCTGAGCTTGAGGATCTGGGGTGAATTGTAGGCGCCCCCGGCCACAATGACCTCACGCCGGGCGGTGACCGAGCCGGGGATGCCCTGGGCCGCTGTCCTGGAGCGCGGACTGGCGCGATAGAGATAGGCGCCGTCGAGGAACTCGACGCCCGTGGCGCGGGGCTCGCTGCCCGACTCGTCAAAAACGACTTTTGTGACGTGGCAGTTTGTCCGCACGTCGAGCGGGTACCGCTTGGAGCCGTCAGACTTCTTTGCATCGCGGACGGCGACGATGAACTCGCGGGCGCCAACGCGCTGGCCGCCGCGCGAGGAGATGGGAGTCTGGAAGTAGCCGCCGTCGCGGTCGCGCTGGGCCGAGTCGGCGTTGGCGTCGCCGGCGAGGACCGAGGCGAGGTTGACGACGGCGTCTGTGAGGTTTCCGAGGGCAAAGGTGCCGCCAAGGATGAGGCTCATCAGCTGGGGGTCGGTCAGGGCGAGCGTCAGCGGGGCCGTCTCGGTGGACAGCCAGCCGTCGGAGCCGTGGCCGCGGGCGCCGGGCAGCAGGTAGCGTTTGTTCTCGATGCGGGCAAAGTAACGGCGCATGCGGTCGGCGGACCAGGAGGCGTCGCCGGTGAGGCGGGCGAGGTGGTCAAAGTCGGAGCGGTGCGGGTAGACGGTGACGAGGGCGTTGTGGGCGGTGCAGCCGCCGAGGGTGGCGGCGCGCGGGTATAGGGTGCCGAGCATGCGGGCGGCGGGCGGCGGGGTGAGCCCCGTGTAGACGCGGCCGTCGGGGGTCTCGTACGACGTCTTGTAGTCACGGGCCTGGCGGGCGTCGTCGGCGTAGTGGCGGACAAAGAAGTTCCAGGCCATGGATTCGTCCTCGGACGACTTGGCCGAGAAGGCGGGCACCGTGTAGTTGACGTTGGCGCCCTCGTCGTGGCCCGCGTCGAGCAGCAGGGTGCGGTGGCCGGCCATGGCGAGGCGGGCGGCCAGGGGCCCACCGCCGGCGCCGGCGCCGACGACGGCATAGTCGTAGCCCGAGAGCTCGACGGCCGAGGCGGACAGGATGAGGTTGAGGATGAGGTTCAGGATGACCATGTGGGGCCGCATCGTTGGGGGCTGCCTTATGTAAGCTGGTGCCTGAGGTAACGACAGTGTGTGCTGCTCCGTGTGTGCTGCTCCGTGTGTAATTACTGTCCTGCTCAGTGTGTGCACGCTTCAGTTGCCTGATTAGGCAATCAGCTTCCTCTTCCCCGGCCAAGGCGGCAGACGATGGCTTCTTCTCAAGCGACGCAGCAGGGAACGAAGATGAGCAGCTCCGGAGCCCAAAGTCAACAGCGGGAGCATCACTTGAGAAAACTCACGGGCAGCCGCCTTTATATGTCGAAGACACGGCCTCGGCTGCAGTACCCCCTCCCCTCCCCCAGCCTTGCATTGCATGCGCTTGTTTTGTCCATCCAGCCTCGCCCGCCTGCCGGCCGTCCGTGCCTACATGAAACTTACGTACAGTACTCCGTACACACGGCATCGACGGGCTTGCCCTGGTCAGCCGAGGCCTGGGCTGCGGCGGCTTACCCAGTTACCGAGGAAATGTGGCCAAAGATGCCCGGCATGCCCAACTATCCCAGTGCCTAATCTCCGCGCAGCCAACGGGGCAAGACAGCAAAGATGAACCGGGGCAACTCTTCCTGCTTCCCTTTTCTTTTCTGGGCCTTGGTTTGCGAGTTTCACACCAAGATCTGGTCCCATTACGTCTTAGTTCGGCGATGATGAGCCTGTATTACAGCGCCACCGCATGCAATTATCCGGCCTGTCACACTGCCATAGTCACGGCCCTTCAAAACCTTCGCGTCTACTCCATGACACTCTTTTATTCAACGCCTGGCCGGTCAACAAGCCAACCACTCTGAGCCAGCCCAAAGCGGGGCCCCGTGGCTGGGTCGCGCCCATGAAGCACTTAGACGCGGGCACCTTGCTTGCTCCTGATTATCGTTCCTCTCAAGTCAGTTGGCTGCTGGCAGATGGAGAGCTTGGCGCCTTGCTCATTCAAAGGCTGGCTTCTCGGACCCGAGCCTCCATCTCAAAGAAGAAACCGCCAATCGGCATCCGCCTCGGCGTCAGGGACCAGCCACCACGGACCAGCGCCCCTGGTCTAGTAATATTGACGTTCTGATTGCACGCCAACTCTAAACAAACCCTGGATCGCCTGTCCAGTATTGACGCCAAGTCCAGTCCATGCCGTCCACGTGTCCTGCCTGAATGGTATGCGAACATGTCGGTACATGTCGTGACGCAGAGCCATTTGACCTCCGTTCTCCGTCATACGTGGCATCTGCAGATATTGTACAGTAGAATACAAAAGCAATGCAGTCGGTCCGCAAGCCGCCCCGCCCATTTCACCCGTCTCCCAGCATGCCGCTCGCAATCAAGCTCACGTAAAACTCGGGCTCCAGGAACGTCTTGACGCTCACGTCCTCGCTCAGCCCCTTGCGCCGCCTTGTCTTGAGCATAAAGTCGCGCGCCGTCGCCTGCGTCGATGCCGGCTGCAGAGGCCGGAGCACCTGCTCGTTGTCCAACGGGTCCCCGGGCACGATGCTCCAGCTGTCAAATACCATGCTCACCATCGAGCTACCCTGAGTCTTGATCCGCAGGTCCGTCTCGAATCCAAAGCTGTCACTCACAGGCACCAGTCCGTTGACTCGATAGAGCGGCGTCCCGGCCACGGGGCCGTCTGACAGCACGTGTCCTCGCCGGCGCGCCAGCACGTTGTAGACTTCCATGTACGAATCTTCCGGACCTGTGACCGAGACCGAGTACAAGGGCTCCATCAGGCGCGGCGATGCCATCAGAAACGAAGAGTAGCATGCGCGACGTGATGTCGGAATCATCTGGCCGCCGCCTCTGTAGATGGCTTCACTGGCCAGCGTGACGTCCGTCACTTTGAATTTGGTGTTGCGAATGGCTGTAGGTCCCAGATAAGTCAATAAAGAGTCGTCGTGGAGCACATCATCTGTGTAAGCCAAAGGGGGAGCGCGGCAGCTTACGTTCTTCGCACAGAGGCCCTTCGCGAGTGGCCCAGCTGAAGCCCTGCCGAATAGACTCTCGCACGGAGCTCAGGAGCTTCTTGTCGACCTGCCAGCAAATAGCCGTCAGTTATGCGCTTCGACACACGGAAATGCAAGCCCTTCTCACCTCTGTGGGCAGCGTGTCGTCCTGTAGAACATTGGGCCCCCTGTCGTCCGGGCCAAACGCCCAGATGCTCCTCGCAGCCAGCTTGTCCCATGCGTGATGCTCTTCAAAGTACTTGGCCGTCTTGCGCACGGGATCCTTAATCTTGACGACTCCCGTCTCAATGTCGGTCGCGATGCCCTTTTCCAGCTGCTCAGCCACCATGGTGACCCTGTTCTTCTTGTTGGGAGTGATGGCGTAGCACTTGGTCGCCGACGTCTCCACCACCGTCTCGCAGAAGCGCGTCACGGGGTCCGACACTTTGATGTCCATGTCAGCGTACAGGCGGCGCAGGTCATGGAGGACGCAGTCCATGTAGAGCTCGCCCGTCCCGAGGATGATGTGCTCGCCCGACTCCTCCACCTTTGTGTCGATGAGCGGATACGACTTTTGCACCTTGCGCAGCCCGTCGAGCATCTTGGGCAGCTCCGAGGGGTTGACGGGCTCCACGGCCAGCTTGAGCACCGACTGGGTAAAGTGCGTCACCGGCCGGAAAATGTGCGCGTCCTCGTCGTCCTGCAGCTTCGTAGCCACAATCGTCGCCGACTTGACGATGAAGTTGTCGACGCCGCCCAGGAGCACCAGGTTGCCGGCCGGCACCCCGTCGGTGGGAATGTTGTACCTCGTTTCGGCAATGAGCACTTCACCAATCGACGCGGCCGTCATATCTTCCTCGTCGTCAATCGAGTACCCCTCGCCGAGAACCCGGACCGCCATGCCCGGTCGCGCGGTGCCGCTGAGCACGCGGCCAAACGAGTAGAAGCTCTTTGCGTCAGCCGTGTTGAACAGCTTGGTGACGTGCACCACCAGCGGGCCGTCCTGGTCACACGACTTGATGGACGCGGCAATCTTGGTGTCAAGCGGGCCGGTGTAGTGGCGTTCCAGGAGACGCTCGGCGCCCTGGCCCGGAGACGGGATGTGCCGCACAATCATGTCGACGAAGCTCGTGCAGGGGCCGAAGAACTGCTCGCACACCAGCTTCAAGATGACCCCGGCGTCGGCTTTGTACTGAGAGGGCCTCAGCTCGATGCCCAGCGGGGTCAGCACCTGCTTGAGCCGTGCAGGGCTGTCGGTGATGGAGTGGGTGAAAATCTTGTAGATGGGTTCCAAGACAAAGTGAACAAAGGACCTTGGGGCCTTTTCCTCGACGGGCTTGCGGGTGAAGCTGCGCTTCTTGGGGTTGAAGTAGATGTCCCCCCACAGCCGCTTGGCGAGGTCGTCGGCGTTGAAGTTGCCATACTTGTCGGTGTACATTTGTGCAAACGACGGCAGCGTGAAGCACCAGCCGAGGTCGGTGCATGCAAAGAGGACATTGCCCTTTTCGGGACTGATGCGCTTCGAGACGGCCGTCGAGGGCGAGGCGTTGGTAATGACGGTGTTTACCTCCTCGACCACGTGCTTGAGCTTGAAGTAGGCATCTTTTGGGGGCAGCTTCAGTTCGAGTACTAGGCGGTCCATCTTGTTGATGATGAGGGTGATTGGAATATCCTCGAGGACGGCGTGCTTGATGATTTGCTCCGTGTTGACCTGCACGCCCTCGACGACGTCCACAACCAGACACAGGCCGTCAACAAGGCGCAACGCAGTTGCTATCTCGTCGGCAAAGTTGACGTGGCCGGGGGTGTCGATGAGGTTGACGAGGTGCGACTTGCCCTTGCCGCTCTGGAGGACCAGACTCATGGGCGAGGCCTTGATGGAGATGCCGCGCTCGCGCTCCATGATGTGGACGTCGGTATAGCGCAGCTGCTCGTCGCGCTTACGGCCCGTCTTCTTGTCGAGTCGGTCGGCAATGTCGTGCGTCTCCATGACAAGCATATCCATGAATGCTGTCTTGCCGTGGTGGAGGTGGCCAGCGAGAGCGACGTTTCGCGTCTGATTGGGAAAGTTCATGAGGTCCGTCATGAAGGCTCGGTCGTAGAAGACGGGGGGTAGGTCGGCTTCCTCGATGGTAAACTTTTTCACCTCGACGGGGGCGATGATGGGGGCAGTGAGGGGCAAGGCATCCACCTCTTCGACGCGGGTCTCGACGTCGGCGCCGTACACCTGCTCGGCGGTCGGGTAGTACTGCTTGTCCTCGTGGAGGATGACGGCGTTGGAAGGGCCCTCTGTCGCAGGTTAGATGAAGAGGTTTGCAGCTGGAGCATGGGGGAGCCGACCGTCAATATCCATGAGCTCGTCACCCGGAACGGCTTCGCCGTGCTCGTCGTCGTAGACATAGTCGCCGGCATCAACGCCCGCCTCGGAAGCCTCTTCAGATGCGGCGGCCTCTTCGCCGATGAAGTTGCCGAACCTGCCATGATCAGTCAGTCGAAGTGCTCCGTGGATGTGGGCAGGCAGAGGCGCACTCATCGTAGAGGTCGTCCATGTTGACGGCTTTGCTCGACGGGAACGAGGTTGAGATTTGAGCCTTGCGCACTTTCTTTGGAGCGTGGGGATGAGCGGGTGCTTACAAAGCGGCAAGGCTGCGATCACCTGCTGTCCGCGTCACGTGCGAAAAGGCATGACCAGGGACGGGCGGATAAATGAATGTTAGTTGGGCTCGAATTTGTCCGCCCCTGGTCTGCCGTGTGAGAAACAGAGGAAGAGGTCAAGTGTTGGATCAAGTATGTGGCTCCCTTCTCCTCGCCCCAAAAAACTGGTCCTTTTGCACCCCTCTTTGCCCCTACTGGCCCCTTCCTGCTGGAATACTGTAGCTGTGAGGAAACCACTAGGTTGTGCAGGCAAAAGTGAAGTGACACCCCAACAGAGGACCTGATATTATTAATAGTGGACCCTATATGCCATGGAGGTGCTGGTGGCAGCTGACAGTAGCCTCTCCTGCGACCACTGCTGCCACTGCTGCCACTGCTGCCACACATCACCTGGTGGAGCAGGAAGGACCACTACAGCGGAGTAATACACACTCAAATTTCTATTCGTACATTATTCCAGAGAGCATCATCCTACACACAGCTTTTTGACTCTACCTTTTGGGCTCATCCGTCCGATCCTCATGAGGTTTCCACGTTAGGCAGGCCGCAGAGCCTATACCTACAGTCGCCCGTCGCTGCCGCCCCAGCCGCAGTCGCCAGAACCAGAACCATGGACCGGCCAAGTCCACCCCATCCGCCTCTCCTAGGGCTGATATTTGAAGATTTTGAAGTCGAATCGGCCTCGGGACCCTTGAATTGAATGAAGCCGAATCGGGTAAGGTCTTCAAATTCGACGAATCAAAAATCAGGAGTCTTCATTCAATTCATTCATAAAAATTGTGAATGAATGGCGATATGGTCGAAACGTAAGGCGAAAAAATTATCACCCGCTTCGCGGCCAAGGGACATACAGGAGGAAAGGGTCAATACCCGAAGCCACCCACCAAGGGCCTCTTCCTGTTCTTCCTCGGCAGGCTCACATACACATCAATAAACAAGCTGCTTTGACCCCATCATTAAGGGGTTTGCCCCGCGCGGACACGGTAACTTCGAGTTCGGCCGCGCTTGTGATGACGCTCTGCGTATTTAAAAGTCTGTTGTGCGTGTTTCAGTTGGATTCCACCGTCCACACTCCACTGGCAAAATCCTAGTCCCGCGCCGCCCGCGTCTGGCGGGGGCGTCGCTGGGGAAATCGAGGCGAAGGACGGCAGTTAGGGCGTCCATATATTGTGGTATAACGACCCTAACAGTGCCTGATACGCCACCGTTTCAGCAATCTTGCCACCCTATACGGAGTATTAAAAAACACCATGAAGCTCATGAACAGTGCCATTTTATAATGCACATGATTTAAATGTAGTGCCGCTCGAATGTTCTGGATTTTCTCGTTCGGATGATATAACCCTCGATAGTTACATGTCGTTAACATTTGCTCAAGAAATGCCACATCATCTTGAAGGCAATCAATGGATAGCCCATTTTTTGGTTGGAATACTACATTTCAAGCACATATTAAGCTCGGCAACCCATATTCTGGATATATAATATAATAATTATACCGCTGTACAGCCCCCAGCAAGCTGATTCGAAAAACGCGTTCAGATCCTCAACATCTCAATACTGCGCGAACAATTGGAAGTGACACGAATCGAGTCAGCTCGCGATTTGGAGGCTGTTAGGGACTTATCTACTCCTCGAGCCCAATATGACTGCTACTTGTTTGTCCATACAAATTAGCCGATCAGGAAGTACCGAAAAATCTGCATGATAAGGATATATTGTGCCAACTAGCCGCGTTCAGACGCGTTATTTCCGCTCAGTTGACCACCTGTTAATTCTACTGCTGTCGGAAAGACAGGGTCGTCAGCCCATCCACCTTTTGCCTGCGTGGCGCAACGGTCTTCGCGACAACTGCCACGACATTATTTTACCACGACCTCGCCTAATTCCTGCTTCGATATTCCGACAGCGGCTTCGGATCAGCCCCCGAATCAACGCCCTGACCGACGACCTATCCTACCCGTTCAACCCCGACTCCTTGACACTTTATTGTGGTTTATTTGGTGTCGTTCCGACTACCTGTGTCGCGTCCATTCTCGAGCCTTTCAGCCAAGATCAGGTAAAACTTCATTACTCTCCAATCTACCCTCCTTATTTAATTACCTTACGAGTGGATAGCTAATTATAACATGATACGTAGTATGGCCCTGCTGAAACAAAACATCTGCCGCAGCGAATTTCTTTGCTCCAAGGACCCGGCGTAAATTGCCAACGCAGAATTATGCCCGCATCGAACGTCCTCAATTCAACCCTCGGAATCCCGCGCGCGCGCGCGCTGATTCTAGCGCAACTCCGGCTCCTTCCTCTCCTCTTCCAACTGGCGAAGATACAATTGTCTGCGCGCCCCCGGGTCATCCTGACTGTGAGTCAGATGATGACATGCCCGACGCGGATACACCAGAGCCGCCATTGAACAGTAGTCATATGACGCTCGCAGAGAAAGCCGGACTTATCAAGAAGTGGGCCGACAACAAACAAAAGCATGTTCGCAAGAAGAGAGACAAGAACAGCCACGTCTATTGGTATATGCAGAGGAAGCTATAGACAGAAGCTTTTACTCAGAGGATAAGGATGGGCCGAAGATCTTCCAAGAGTTCCGGTGGACTTGTATAGAGTGCCTTCAAAATCCCAATACTCTTCGAAAGAGATTCCAGGTCCTCGAATCGAACCGCCGAGGGTTACCTCTGGCATGGGAGACCATTTAAAATCCACGGTATTACGAAGGAATCTCACCACGCTCGAATTAATGGATACGGCCGCGCCATTGGTGGAGGAGATTATACAGAGGCAGACGCATGGAGCGGTCGACCTAGGCAGAGAGCAAGACTCACGGCAAAGGAGTCTATCCGCCGGTGGTTTGTAAAACACCGACAACCCTTCTCTGTTGTCGAGACTCCTGCTTTTCAAGAGATGTTCTTGGCTCACAACACAACATGTGTGTACAGGAGTCGTATAACGTTACGCAATCATATATATACAGACTTTGTCGAACGCAGGAGAAGCTGAAGATTGAGCTTGAGTACAATTGTGCCACCATCTCGTTCACCCTTGATATCTGGACAGCACCGAATCAGGTGCCCATTTTCGCCATTATTGCGCACTGGATTACACCGGGTTTGAGGAGAGAGAGAAGTTATTGAGTTTATTGAGCTCAAAAGATCTCACACTGGCAAACAATTAGCTGAGATAGTTGAGAGGACGCTTGAGGAGCTCAGGCTCAAGCCTAAGCTTCTCGCCATTACGGGAGACAACGCCGGCAATAACGGCACGCTCTGTCAGTCTTTGTACGATTCTCTCAAGACCAAATTCGACGACAAGGTGAGCCCAATAGGAGGCCCCGCATGCGCTTTCACGGCAGGAAGAGTTGGATCCGCTGTCTAGCTCATATTACCTCGCTCATTTGTGAGGGCGTCTTGCAAGATCTCAAAGCAGGCACAGCGAAGGAAGCCAAGAAGATGCTTGACAAGTGGGACGAAGAGAATAAAAGCAACAACTACACCATTCCGGGAGACTCTAGTCGAAGTGGGATTGCCAAAATCCGCCTCCTCAATCTCTGGATGTTGAGATCCGGGTCTAGGGAGCAAGACTTCAAAAGCATGCCGCGCACGCACTACCGGAAGCCAACCTACGATGTCGACACTCGCTGGAATTCGGCCTACGACATGATTGACCAATTCCTCGAGCTTGAGGCAGAGTATACTGAGTTCGTTGATACTCACCCGCAAGTCAAGTGCCTCCTGCCCTTATCAGAAGAGATTGTCGCTCTCTATCAACTGCGGAAGGTTCTGAAGCCGTTTAAAGACCACACTCTGAAAGTCTCCGAAGTTATGCCGCCGATCTCACAAAGTCTCGATATCTATTGGGATTTGGAAGCTCTCCTTGATGATGTAGTCGAAGGAGTTGGCGACTTTACAGACCTTGATATGTCCATTCGAGACGCCTTCTCGAAGGGCAAAGCAAAACACGTTACTTATATGAAGAAGCTTGACGATCAAATGATGCTATTCGCAGCTCACATCCTGGATCCGCGTTATAAAACTCACCAATTGGAAATGATGATACCGGATCAATACTCTGAGATTATGGCTAAAGTCAAGAAGTATTTCAAAACGGAGTGGCCGGAGCTAGCAGCATTGAATGCCACAAACTCAACTATGAGCCAATCCAGACCAGCTGAGCGTCCTCAAGGAGTCTCCATTGCGCAATGGAGAGCCATCCAAATGAAGAAGGCGAGGGAGGCGGAGACGGGCGCGGCGATCCCTATTTCGGAGCTTGAACGGTGGCTTGCAGCTCCTCGAATAGAGTTCGACGAGTCTATTGCAAAGTCTCCAGACTTCCTACTGAAGTGGTGGAAAGAACACAAGGTCGAGTGGCCACTTTTGGCTGCGGCGGCGCGTGATCTTCTCTCTGTCTCTGGCTCTGAAGTTGACGTGGAACGCCTCTTCAGCGGTTGTAGAGACGAATTCGGTATCCGCCGTCACGCCTTGAAGGCAGATACGGTGCAGTACTAACACTTTTACGGAGTGCTTATACTCAGGAAGATAAGATCGATCAGGCGTTGATCAAGGCGGCCATGGAGTATGACATCCTGCCCTTTGCCAATAGTATTATTTGGAGACCAGACCACATTCCGGGCAAGCTGGAAGATGGTATGTATGGATATACCCTCATTATATATGTAGGTATATGCTAATCTGTGTTCAGGCGAGAATCCTCCTCAACCTCTTCCTCCCACCGAGGCTCCCACCGAACCCCCTACCCCAAACCTCCTGCATCCCAAGCCGATAAGTCTGCGATATCAACCCCCTGTCTAGATACAATGGAGGCTTCGGAGGATTGGGGCTCTAAGAGTGTAGCCGTGTACAGTGGCGGATTCGAACGCGTTGTACCGACGTATTTTGAGGATTCGGCAGAGCTTTGAAAGTGCTTATTTTCAGTCGATTTGCCTAGGACAGGCGGATCAGTATTTATGTAAGTTAATTTTTGTAGTATTCGGGATTATCGACTTCTTAGAAGGCTATAACTTAAAACTATATACTACTTATTGGCGTTTTGAGGCATCTTTGCAATCGCTCAGGTACACACCAAATTCACTTCGTTTAGGGATCCTTCAAACCATTCATGAATGGCCTGAATTGGCCCAAACCCAACTTGAATCGCGAAAATTGGAGCTTGAAGATTTTGAATCAAGATCCAAAAAATTCAATTCATTTGATTCATCCTTCATTCAAAATCTTCAAAATCTTCACCTTCGTCTATCACCCCTAGCCTCTCCTCAAGGCAATTCCGGCGGCAGGGCGGCGTCACGATCGGACACCTTCTCGGTGGCCCTCCTCCACGACGACAAGGTATGTTGCAACGCTTGTCGTTTTGTGGAGTGCCATGTTTGAACTAACAGCTCCTGCGAGGACGCCAGGCTTGATTATCTCCCGCGATGGACGCAGCCGTCCTGTTCTTGTTTTCTTTCTCCCTCAAGCTCTATTGCATCCCAAGATGGACCAGCAAGTCAAGTCATCCAGCCCGTCAATCCAGCCTCTCATCCATACAGCCCGTCCCATCCATATAGCCCGTCGTCCAGCTACTCCATCAAGCTAATTAGAATAGAACTTTTATTGTGATAAAAATCTCGCTTATAACGCCTCCGCTCCCGCCGCCGCCGCCGTCGCCGCAGGAGCCGCACTGGACGCAAGCGGGCCCCGAACCCGAGGAGTCAAGGCATGTTGCAACGCTTGTCGTTCTTTAAAGTGCTATGTTTAAGCCAACTATAGACCCTTAGCTCACTCGACGGCGAGAACGCGGCCGTGATAACCCGGGGGGAGGGGGCCGTCGGTGAAAAGCGCCGGATTATATTCCAGATCGAAATTGGGAGACAGGGTGCCGCTGTTGTCCTTACGGCAGTCGTAGTTGGAATTGGCAGATGACAAGGAGGAATCAGTTTGTAAATACCAAAAAAGGGGGGGGAAACATACAGCAGCCGGCGTTCGCTGGTCGTTATCGACCTAATTACTAATCTGCCACCTGCGTGCTCGTTAAACTCAGATCGAGACGGGTCCTGCTTAAGAGGAGAGTAGGAGACTCGGATACCGTCGGAATGAGCCGCCGTCAGTGACGCAGAATCCAGGTTCAGCCAAGATTACCACTTACTCGACGTCTGCCAAGAGACTTGTGTTTCTGCTTGTGAATATTACGTGGACCCGTCGTTGATACCCAAGATGACGTCGAACCAGAACGTGGCTCAGGAATTAAATAGCTCAACGTGTGTCTCTCGGAAACAGGCGATGACGAAGTGGCACTTTTGAAATACCTCAACTCTGGCGACTCCATCCCAAGCCTGTAGCTGCTAAAGAAACAGAGGCCGTTTTCGACCAAAAAAAAGTCCAGTCTTTATTTTCATCGCGGCCCCTTTGGCTAACCCTCCGAGCTGCATCGTTCTTTTTAGCGTCCCGCGTGTTTGCCGGCATATTAATTACTGTACAATGTAGAGCTCGCGTCTCTCGGACGAGGGGCAGCGAAGTGGGGAAGCAAAACCGCGTGGAAAATCATTAATAGTGCATCTCCCATGTTCGGCATGTTAGCTACTTCGTACCCACGCCAAAAGGGGCATCGTGCATTGCCTTTCTTACCTCATAGAAACCTCGTCTCCCCTCCCCCGCCAAGGCCTTCCTCAACCTTCGCTGCTACATATCACCTCTCCTCTCTCCCTCGACGCCCGGCACTCGCATCCGCCTTCTCAACCACCCAGCTGCCGCCGCCGCCATCATCATGTCTGGCCTTCCCCCCGTCTACATCGTCTCGGCCGCCAGGACCCCCATTGGCTCGTTCCTGGGGTACGTCGTCGCCGCCAATATCCAAGCTGCAAGGGAGCAGAACCATACTGATCATGGCAAACAGGTCCCTGTCGAGCCAGAGCGCCACACAGCTCGGGTCCACGGCCATCAAGGGTACGACAGCCGAAACCACACCTCCCTGCCCGCATGTGACGCTCCCCCTCTCACCACCCACCAGGCGCCGTCGAGCGAGCCGGCATCAAGCCCGACGCCGTTGAGACCGTCTACTTTGGCAATGTCCTCTCCGCCAAGTGCGTTTGCCTCCCCCTTGATCTCTTCGGGGCAACAGCTGACCCCCAGCCCGCTCGCAGCCTCGGCCAAGCCCCCGCCCGCCAGTGCGCCATCGGCGCCGGCCTCCCCCCCTCGACCGTCTGCACCACCGTCAACAAGGTGTGCGCCTCGTCGCTCAAGGCCATTGTCCTCGCCGCCCAGGACATCATGCTCGGCACTGCCCACGTTGCCGTCGCCGGCGGCACAGAGTCCATGTCCAACACGCCCCACTACCTGCCCACCCTCCGCCAGGGCGCCAAGTACGGCGACCAGACCCTCGTCGATGGCGTCCTCGTCGACGGCCTCACCGACGCCTTCAAGAAGGAGCACATGGGCCTTCAGGGCGAGCTGTGCGCCACTGAGCACTCCTTTTCCCGCGAACAGCAGGACGAGTACGCCATCAACTCGTACAAGCGCGCCCAGGCTGCCACCGAGGCCGGCCTCTTCAAGGAGATTATCCCCGTCGAGGTGAGCGGCGGCCGCGGCAAGCCCCCCATCAAGGTCGAGCGCGACGACGAGGTCAAGAACCTCAACGTCGACAAGCTCAAGGCCATGCGCCCGGCTTTCAAGCCCGACGGCTCCGTCACCGCCCCCAACGCCGCCCCCATCAATGACGGCGCCGCCGCCGTCGTCCTCATGTCCGAGGCCAAGGTCAAGGAGCTGGGCGTCAAGCCCATCGCCAAGATCCTTGGCTGGGCCGACGCCGAGCGCGAGCCCGAGCGCTTCACCATCGCTCCCGCCCTCGCCATCCCCAAGGCCATCAAGCACGCCGGCCTGTCCGACAAGGACATTGACTTTTACGAGATCAACGAGGCCTTTTCTGTCGTCGCCCTCGCAAACATGAAGATCCTCGGCCTCAGCCCGGACAAGGTCAACGTCTACGGCGGCTCCGTCGCCATGGGCCACCCCCTCGGCTGCTCCGGCGCCCGCATCGTCACCACCCTGACCTCGGTCCTCAAGGAAAAGGGCGCCAAGTACGGCTGCGCCGGCATCTGCAACGGCGGCGGCGGCGCCTCGGCCCTCGTCATCGAGAACCTGCAATGACTCGACGTCGCGCGCCGATCCTCGCAGGTGCCCAGGCTGTGACGAGGGGAGGTGTAAAGGATGCAAGTAGGTCGACGAGGAACTGGCTTCGCAAGCAGTCTGACCACGTAAAAGAGGTGGTGAATGTGGGTCATCGAGGGTCAAAACGGAAGCCATCAACGATACGCCGCATAATAGGAGTGGGAGTAATCTCAGGGCACACAGGCTTCTCTCCTGGTTGGGCATTCTCGTCGATACATCTAGACGTGTCTATTCACGACCAAGCAGGACAGGGCAGAGCCAGCATACATAGCAATCGTTTAATTCTCTGATTCTTCCTATCCGCTCCATGACGCATCAACAAGGACACACAAATCCCGCCGTCCTGTTGCCAATGAGAGACGGGAAGAAACCAGGCGTTGTAGAGACCTGCGCGTCCGACGATGCAGCAACTGAACGCGAGACCTGCAAACGCACAAAACTGCCGAAAGAAAGAAGACAAGAAGGCGCGCAGGACCCCGGACCATCCATCCATCCCTCATGTACGTAAACCTCGCATCCGGTGTCCCGGGGGAAGGGGGGAGAAAACGCAAAGCGTCCAAGTCTCGATGCCCTGGGTTGAAATCCAACCCCCATGCCCCCCCATCCTATTCCTCGCTTCCACGTCGACAGGACGAAGTCGGAAGAAAGTCATCGGCTTCTTGTTCGACTCCACATCATCTCAGTTTGAGCAACAGAATGGGGAGAGCGGGGAGAGGGCGCCGCGCTTGAAAAAAAAAAATAGTAATAAAACAACAAGTGTAAAGAAGTTTGGCGCTTCGTAGCTGAAAGAAAGCTCGACGAGTCGTAGTCAGCAGGACCTCAACTGCCATGAACCAAGTTCCCAGCGCAGACCAAGGGGCGAGGAAACAAACGCGATCAAGAAGAGGCATTCAAGGGGAATCAAAAGCCAAGACCTCCGCCACGCTCGAGCATGCTGGCGCCCCGAAGCACATCCCCGCCGCTCAGTCCGTGTCCCCCTCGCCGTCGCCGGCTGTCGGCACGATGCCCTCGTCCTTCCACCTGGCAAAGGCGTCCACATGCTCGCGCACCTCGTCCGGGCTCATGTCCCTCGTCCACGGGGGGTTCTGCACCATCTTGTCCTGCAGCTTGTTCTTGCGAATGGTGCTGAGCGCCGAGCGGAGGTTATCCCGTCGCTCGGACATGATGGGCGTCTTGGGCGACTGGTCGTAGATGAAGTACTCGGACGTGCCGGGTGCCCAGACCATCTTGGAGCTCTTGAGGCAGATGCTCGTCGTCAGGTTCTCGCTATACAGCAGGGGCTTGGGCACGTTGTCGTCGTCCGAGTCCGTGTCCCCCGAGGGCATGTTGCGCGTAAGTACCACCTTTTGCAGCTTGGACCGCGGGATGCCCTCGGTCGGCTCCACGCGGATAAACGACGAGATGTAGTATTGCCAGCGCTCGCGCAACTGCATCTCGTCCATGTAAAACGTCGTGTCGTTGCGCTGCAGCCAGCGGACCGTGGCCTCGGCCTTCTGCGGAAACTGCTTGCACTGTCAGCACGACTCTCACCTGCGCTCCAAGGTTAGACTTACCCAGCAAATCACAAAAATGTCACCTTCCTTGACGCACTTCTCGGCAAACTTGCGCGCGCTAATCTCCGTCTGGTAGCTCGTCTCATCCTTCTCGCGGCTCATGAGGTACTGGTGGATCAGGTCCGGTGTCTTCTCCTTTGCGTCGTTGCTGGTGCACGTCAGGGCGAGGCGGCAAAGCGTCTTGAGCTGGTCCTGGATGGTGTACAGCTTCCAGCCGCTCCGGAGGTAGTAGTGACGCAGCACTTCCTGGTACCGCGTCTCCTCGATCTCGCCGATAAGGTAGTCCTCGATCAACTCCACCGTCTTGGGCCAGAACTTGTCGGGATCTTCGTCGGCTTCAAAGTAGTTGACAATAGTATCCGCGAACCCAATGTCTCGGGCAGGCTTGGGTCGATTGCGCCGCTCAATCTCGCGCGACACAATGTCCTTGCTCTCTTTGACCTCCACGAGCCGGCCGTAGACGGTCTGGAAGATACTGAAGAAGACGAAGATGGTCTGGTTTGCAAAGAAGTTGTACCACGGGCGGCGAAAGAAGCCGTCGGCCTTGAGCTCGCCATCGGCGTCGATGAGAGAGTTATCGCCACCCACAACGACCGGCTTGGGCACCGTCGGCATCCAGCGCTCGTTGGAGACCTCGGTGGCGGCTGCGTCGTCGAGCGCGTCGGGCATTTCTTCCTCGTTGGCCGATCCCACGTCGGGCGTCGTCTCCTTGCTCCCGGACGCCGCGCTGTCCTCCTTTTGGCTCCGCGGCTTGCTGCCGTTGCGACCGGGATCGAGAACCCCCCTAAGAAGATCTCCTTTCTTGCCGTTGCGCTTGCCGCGGCCGTTGGCCAGCTCGGTCGGCATCGGATCCTCGACCTCTTCCTCGGCCGAGTCAGGAGGTATCTTAGGCACCCTCTCTTGCACCGCGTCCTCGTTAAGGTCGAAAAAGTTCGTAATGAAGGACTCGAAAAACTCGGAAAGCCGCTCTTTCTCCTGGGCGCTGTGCTGGCCGCTATGGAGGGGGTAGAGCATCATGAGGCGGAGCAGGTCGAGAACGACGTCCTTGTCGCTAAAGTCCCAGACCAGCTGGTATCGGGGCGCCTTGCCCTTGAGGACACGCTCGCGCCGCTGTTCTTCGTGCTTGGTCTTGATGACGTCGACGAGGTGCTTGGCCGTCAGGTTCCTCTTGTCGTTGCTCTTGACGAGGATGCCCATGTGGTCGAGGCTCTTGAGGTACATGTGCTCCGTCTGAGCGTGCCACACCTTCTCCCACTCGCGCTGGGAGAAGCGCCACTCTTCGTCCTTTTGCTTCATGCGGGTGAGGAGGATGGGCACCACGTTGAACGGGTGGCTAAACAGGTCGTTGACCACCTCGATGCCCCTTTCGCCATATATCTTCTTACAGATGCGCTTGAATATCGAGGTGCTCTGACCCGCAAGCGCCGCCGGCATGTGGAAGGCCTCCCTCTCTGCCGGCGACATGGCCAGCATCTGCTGAGCCACGGGCTCAAGCAGCTGGATGCATTTGAGGTTGATCTCAATGTTGAAGTCGTAGTCATGGCGCTCCTCCTCAATGCGGTGCAGTCCTTCCTCAAACTGGTTCTTGCGGTGCGCCACGAAGCCAGAGTCCTCACTCGCCCAGGTAGGGTGAGAGGCCCACTGGTCGTTGAGAACCGAGTTACACAGCTCATCACGTCCACTGCACGGCTTGAGACGCTCCTTTTCGCGGAGACGGGTTAGCATGCTCAAGGACGAGACGGCGTTCGCGTCTACTGTACTTACACGCTTAGGCAGAAGCCTGTAGCTCGGTCCGTAGCCGCGGCAGTTGCTAAGAGAGAGCTTCTCGGTCGGCGGCGCAGGCCGATTGTCAATCATGACGTCGTGCGAGTCGACGCCAACAAATGTCTTCCAGAAGCTCATGAGGTCAGGGTTTGCGCCTATGAAGAGCGCGCCCTTGTGGAAGAGCGTGTTCTTGTCAATGATGTTTTGGCTGAAGAGGTTGCACAGCTTGAGGAACTCGTTCATGGAAGATCTGTTGCTCAGGAACTTCTTGACACGTTCGAAGAAGGCTATTTCTTCCTGGCTCGAGGTTGCCGAGGCACGCGCCGGATACGGCTCGGGCATCACCGGGGTGAGCGTTGGCTCAATCGCCGCCGCAGTGTCCCCGGCCCCTCGGGCGTGGCTGAGCTTGGGTCGCTTGTTGCCGTTGATGGCATTCTGTGGGAATCGTCCGACCGCAGCCGTCTCGATAAGCAGGGCCTCGGCGCTCTGGGCCTGCTTGTCGGTGCGGGGGCGCTTCTTGTCCTTGCTTGCGCTCGCAGGCGGGGCAAAGCTCCCGAGAGGGGGCAGCTTTTGCCCGTCTCTCATGCTCGGCTGCGGAGTGTGGCTCGGGCCCGGAGGCAAGGCGTCCTCAAGCCTTCCCTGAGCTGCTTTGGCCTGCCCGGCCGACTCTGGCAGGAACTGCTTGAAGTCCTCGAGAAGGTCCGGGGCTGAGTTGAAGAGGGTCGTGACCTGGGCATAGACGTCCTGGATGGGTTTCTGCTCTCGTTGATACGTCTGCAAGATCTCAAGAAACTGCTTGTAGATCTCTGGCTTGTCTTGGAAGCGATTCTGCAAGAAATGAATCGTGAGTATCATCCTGGTCAGCGGTGGGGGATTGAGAAACTCACCTTAATTTTGTTGACGTAGCTGATGGCATGGTTGAACTCAACAGGGCCCCTGCGCTCCATGCTGGCTTGACTCCCGTTGACGCCGCCAGGACCGGCACCAGGAGCTGGGGTCTGGGGACCGCGAGGGGCTGGGCCACCAGCAGCACCCGCGTTGCCCGGCATCTGGGGTGCGTTCCTCTGCGGGCCAGCCGCCTCGAACGCAGCGTTCTGTGCAGCCGCCTGGACGAAAAGGCTGGCGCCGCTCTGTGCCGTGGTGCTGAAGCTGGCTTCCGGGCTCTCGACGTTGTGCTGAGCCCGTTGCTGCCACTGGCCGCCACGCTCGGGGAAGGGGACTTGGCTGCCGCCCGAGCCATGGCCGTCGCCTTGGCCGCGCCCAGCGATGGACTGGACAGTCGTGCCCATCGGGGTGGTGACTCTGATAGTGTTTGGGTCGTTTCCTGCGCCGCATTCGATTCTATAGCCGGGAGGCAGAAATGTGTTGAAGCCCTGGATGAGATTCGGGTGTCCGGCAAACAGCTCGGACACTCTGTTGATCACTCCTGGAGTATCAATGCTAAAGAAACGCTTAGCCGCCGGCCAGAAGGCAAAGAGAGAGAGGGGGCAGCTCACGCCTGGCTCTTGAAGTCCTTCATGATATCTAGGAATCGATTGTAAACATCGGGCTGATCGTGAAACTGAACCTTGACCTGGTCAAGGTACGTCAGGGCATCCTGCGAGGTCCATGATTAGCTCGTGCTCAGCGATGGTTTTTGGTGCAGAGTTGGCGGGAGCGGGCAGTACGAGAGAGCAGTGGTAAATGTTCCAAAGCTCGACATTGTTTCCGCAGACAAGCATGGCTCTGCGGCCCCCTTCGCAGAGAGCCGACAGAAGGGCATCAGTCAGGTGTGGCATGTTGCCGACATGTCCCATGCAAACAAACCCGCTTCTGAAGGCTGTGCCAGAAGCGAGCGGCGGTGCTTGACAGCGCCGTCGTGGTCGGGCGTGGCAAATATTTGAGGCCGTTCCGATGCGGGGAAAGCGAGCAAGGGACGTGGCTAGGAAAAGAAGCAAACGACGAGAGGGAAGAGAGGGCAAGGTCGGAGGTGACGAAGATGAATGTTGGGGAAAGATTTGCAAAATGTGAATGTTTTTGCCAAACATTTGGCAACACAGTGAACAAGGTCAGAAAAGCCTGGCAGCCTAGCAGCCATGTGGTTTCTTTGCTCTCGCTTTTGTGTTGGGCGTTGCCACTGCGACACGCGAGCAACTCATGTGACTGACGACAAAACACAACTCACATTTAAAATGGGCTGCTGGCCCTGCGTAATGCCGCCTGGAATCTGGGGCCCAACAGGCACCACGCCCAGGATCGGGCCACCCTGCTTCCCACCACGCTGGCCCTCCTGTTGCGGCTGGGGGGGCTGCTGCTGGGCCTGCTGAGCTTGCTGCTGTTGCTGCTGCTGTTGTGGCTGTGGCTGCGGTTGCTGCTGCTGCTGCTGCTGCTGCGATGGACCACCTCCGTAGACTGAGGCCGTGCCGCTCGGCGCAGGCTGGGACGCACCCGGAGGAGCCTGCGAATGCGGAATGGGCGCAAAGACTTGGTGCTGGCTCGCAGCACCGGGCTGCCCGCCATGCGGCATCTGCCGACCGGGCTCGCCCTGCAGAGGCCCGCCGAAGCTGGCAGCGGCCATGGGGCCCGAGGGGGCACCCAGGTGAGCGGCGGGCGGTGGCGCGGCGCCGTTGTGGTTGGCCAGCAGGCCGCCGGGACTATGGATGGCGCCGGATATCCTAGAAGCCACGGGCTGGTGGATGGGTATCGAGCCGGCGGTGCTCTGATGGGGGGCCGGCGGGTAGCGGTCGCCCGCCTCTCGGTCTCGCTCGCGCTCGCGCTCCCGCTCACGCTCCTGGTCGCGGCGCATCTCCTCATGCTGCTGGATGGCCCGGTGGCGCTCCTCCATGTCGCGGTCGCGGTCAAAGGGCGGCCCGCCGTTGCGGCCGTGGAGGTTTTGGCTGTTCATGCTGATCTGGACAAGGGCGTCAGCAAAAAGTTTCCAGCCCACGGGGCGGACAAGAGCGGACGGCCGAAACTCGCCAAGGGGAAAAGGGAGAAGGAAACGCTTGGAGAGAGAGCGGACACGACGGCTGCGTCCTCTGCGAAGCGCCCAAGGAGAGCCGTCGGGAACAGGGGGGCAGGGCCGTCGCGAGGGAAGACAGCAAGGAGCGACGACGCGAGCAGACTTACGGCGTAGCGGCTCACCGACAACGGCGAGAATCAACATGAAAGGCAAAAGACCTCTCAGGCAGTGGTGTCGGGGTGTATAGAAAGAGGTCGATGGCGGCGCGCAAGAGTAAGAAATAAGGGGGGCAGATGCGTGTGTGCAGAGTTGGGGGGAGCTCTGCTGCCTTTGCTGGGCGCACAAAGAGAGTTGAGAGTGACGGGATCTGATCTGACGGACCGACCGCCCAGGGCCCAGGGGTGGGGCCCACTGACAGCAGTCCGCAATAGCGCGGGAAGCCTGCCCCGTCACGTGCTGATAAGTCGCACCCTACGGCTGTCGCAAGGCGCCGCCCCGCCTCCGGGCCTTATCTCTGGCCAGCCTTGCGAGCAAACCAATGTCGTCACGGCGTGAAGAGCCGAAGCGAAGCGCCTGCACCGCACAGCCGCGAGCAAAAGGGTTAGTGGCCCCATTCTCCAGGCACAAGCTTACGCACATCCATCCCCTGCTTGGCCTCGCCCTTTGTCCCTTGCTCGCAAAGTTTGGCCACGCTCCATCAATGGGAACTTGTTTCTCTTCATGACGGCAAACCTCAGATGGCCGCTCTGAATATACTGCACGCAATGCCACAGACCGCTCCACACTCAAAGAAAATGCTTCGCCTGTCAATCACCAATCTGTCTCTGCGCGCCTCAACTCCAAACGCAATACGTACCAAGCCGTGCTTTGAAAAGCACCCTGTTCATCAACCACCAGTGACAACTCCTCGTCTTTTCACCTCGTTAATATCATTGTATGAAGAGTAAAATTTAAAATTTCGCTAACCTCGTTTCTATGCGCCTACGATACGTCCACGGGTGCCCCTCCGCGATCCCTCTGCCTTTACGAGCCTGGCGGCGGCGGCGGTGGCGGCGGCGCGGGCTTTCGGATAATCTTAATCTTTGGCCGGGCACTCGCCTGTGTCCCAGACGCCGGGCTATCAGCCTTGGACGTAGGAGCCGGTGTCACGGGGGCGTTGGCTGGCGCCTTGGCCGGCTGCGGGACAGCTTGGGGCGAGGCCGAAGCGCCGCCGCCGCCGGTTGGCAAAGGCTTCCGCTCTCCCGTCGGGAGCGGCTTCCTCGCAGGTTTCGCGGGGGCAACCTCCTTCGCGGTACCCGGTGCAGACTCCTTCGGGGCTCCGGACGGCAAGGCGGTCCTGCCACCTGGTGATGGGCCCCAAGGCTGACCCAGAATGACGGCAAGACGCGTGGGATTGTTTGTCTTGAGCGTGACGATCCGTCTCTTCTTGGCCGGCTTGATCGCCTCCAGGTTCACCGGCCGCGACTCCGTCTTAGGGCGCTTCGGCGCCGGCGTGCCACCGTCTTCCTTTTCCGGACGGGCTCTTTTGGCCGATTGGGTAGAAGGTGTCTCTGACGCTCGAGGTGCCGTCGCCCTCGTCGCCTTGGGTGGTTGAGATACGGACGGCGGAGCGGTTGCCGTCGGGAAGGCTGCTGAGCCGGGCAGGACGGAAGGGCGCTGCGGCGTCGAGGCCTTTGTGCTGATCTTGATCGACGATGTCCTGGGGACGGCGATGGGTTTCTTGGGCTCCTGGACGGGCAGCGGGGACAGCGCTCCCTTTGGCTTGATCTTGTAATACGACTTGAAGTTAACAATCATCGACGAGGGATGCGCCCCGCCGTGTCTCGCGGCCGAAGATCCGTGCGCGCGCGCTCGATCGATGGGCTTCTGAGCCGGCCTCTCCACCTTCCAGCCCTTAGGCAGGTTCAGAGTGAGCACCCAGCTTCTGGCCTCCTCAAACATCATGGCCGCCAGGTCGAGCAGGCTCTCGACCTCGGCGCGTCCGAGCTCTGGGTGGTCGAGCGCCTTACGCACCGCCGTGCTGTAGTGCCTCTCGTCCTTGCCGTACGTCTCCTCCATCTCCTTGCGCAACGCCTTGAGCGCGGCGTCGAGGTTTTCCTTTCGCGCAAACATGATCTTTCGAGCCTCAATCTCCTGGGCGCTGTCCTGGACTAGCAGCAGCGGATCCGCCTCGTCTAAGGCCGGCTCATTCTGGGCCACCTTGGTGTGTTCCCCAAAAGCAATGGCTGCGAGCCCGCGCGCCATGGCCTGGATGAGCTTGTTGCGCACGTACGGCGATCGGTCCGTCATGAGAGAGTACAGGAAAAATGAGAAGAAAGTCGGCTCCATCAGGGCGCCGAGATCAATCAAGGCTTCAAAGGCCTTGATCCGTATCAGGTCGCGGGTCCCGTCCAGGACATACTGCGCAAAGTCCGTGTACTGGGAAGGGATAACCACCGCCTTCATCAGCCGCTGCTTCGCGTCCAATCCCGCAATGGTCCAGATGTTTTGGTACGAGTTTGTCCATTCGTCGCGCCGCAGGACTCGTTCTATCTGCTCAAGGGCTTCCTCGAGGAACTGGCGTTCCTCCTCACTGGGGACCTTGTTCTGCCGCGAGAACCAGTCGTCTTGCTGCGACGGAATGAGGGACGTGGCCAGGGCTTCCAACAGAGTGGCTATGTAGAAGTGATCCGAGTGGGGGTTGTCCTCGTTGTTGTTGAACAGGAGCTGGTCCATAATGAAGCGACGAGCCTCGAGCGGACACCTGTACGTGTGGTCCCGGACGTCGGCAACGGCCTTGATGATGGCGCACCGCACGTTGTACTGCTTTTTGTCGGAAAAGTCGTTTGGGTAGGGCTGGTTCGTCTGGTCGTAGCAAAACATCTCGCGAAAGGCCCTCAGGAGCTGCCGCAGGCCGAGCATGGGAATGTCCTTGATGTTGGCCTGCCGAGTCAGGGCCCGCGCCGCCATGGTGCGAATGCCGTGAAAGTAGCGACGGTCGACCAGAGTCCGCACCAGGAAGCCCGACGCGATGGGATGGAGCGGCCCCTGGCTCAGGTACAGCATGGCATCCTGTTGCGCCACCACGTCCCTGTCCTGCTGCAGCTGGGACACGTACATGTACGGCTCGAGATTCCGCTTCATGTCGCAAGCCCACTCAAAGTCGGCGTCGATACGGATCCATTCGTAGGATTCCTGGTCCATCTTCCGCTCCGTCTCGGGATCCCACTCTATGAGCTCCCAGTCTCTCAGGTCGTCCGGACTCTGAAGCACGTCGCCGAGGCTGTAGAGTAGCGCATCATCGGCGTTTTCCGCGATTTCTGCGCTTGCGCCGGCGTTTTGCTTCTCCTTTAAGCGCCGAGTGCGCTTGAGGCGCTTGTACTTTGTGTTGTAGGGGATCTCGAACTTGGTTGAGCGCGTGGCGTCCTCACGAATCTCCAAGATGTGCTCATACGGGGTCCCGTCTGCTTCGTGGATCCTTATTGTCATGGGGCCCGTGAACAGCGGCTGCACGTCGTCGACATTGAGCCCGGCCCGCCGTTCCTTGACGACGCGTAGGAAGTCGCCCTTTTCCATTTCTGCCTTTTTGCTGGCCTGGTGCTGAACTTGATTGAGGGTCAACTCGACGCAGAGCCTCTTCTTATTGAATTTGGCCTTGATGTCGAACCTCGGGCAGCCGGTGCCGTAGATCCACTGGTTCCAAAACGTCTCGAGGCGGGTCCGCGAGCCCTTTTCGCAGGTGACCCTAAACTTTTCCGTGTCGAGGATGGTCGACTTGTCGCTGCTCTCAATCTGAGCCTTTGTCAAGAACTTTTGCAGGATGCGCGTCAGACCATGGCCACCCGACGCCTTGGCCAGCCTCTTGTCGAGGATGAAGATGACAACGGGGGCCTTGACGGCCATGAAGTCCATCTCGGACTGGTCGAGATGGAGATGTGGCCCAAGCTCCCACAGCGAGGGTCGGCCAACGTCCATCCGGACGAGCTTGTCGGAGGTGGCCTTTATGCGAAACCGGTGCTCGTTGTTGCCGCAGAGCTTCTTCATGAAGAGATCAGTCATGTAGTGGGCGATGCCGAGGACCAGCCAGAGGTCGTTTCGCGTGTTGGGTATCATGTTGATGCCGATCCACTGGGACGTTAGCGTAAAGGCAATCTTTCTCGTCACATCCATCTCGACGTCGATGACGTCTTCGGGGAAGAGCAGCCGGTTACTGACAAAGGCCAGCGAATGCAGGGCCACGGTGTCGTCGATCATGTCGTCGAGGAAGCAGACCTTGAAGTTGCTAAAGGGATACTTGGCAAACGTATACGTCAGAAAGTCGGCGGCCATGGTCAAGGCGGCCGCCGTGTTGCGGACCCAGTCGCCGCGGTTCGGCAGGCAGTAGGCGTGGATCTTGAGAGCGCTCATGCCGAGCTTGACCTCGTCCTCTTCGGTCCGAAACTCGGAGGACAGGTCGATGTGCTCAAAGGGGCCGACGGCGAAGCCCAGCTTTTGCACAGATGCCTTCTTCTCCGGCTCAAACGTCATGATTTTCTTGTGGTCGTCTTGGGGATCCACGGCCTCCTCCATAAGGAAACCGGAGCACACGACCGTCATTTCTCTCAGCTTGTCCTCTTCGGCGAGGCGGAGGCCCCTGTCCCGCCCGTCGGGGTGCGTCTTGTCCGCTCCGGGGCCATTGGCGGAAGATACATCCTGCTGGGTAGCCAGGGCCTGTTGGAGCGCGTCACCGAGGGTGCGAGGGTACTTGATGGATATTCTCCAGTCGCAGCGCGCACCGTGGTCGTCGACGCAGGGGAAGATGCAAGAGGCGGTGCCTGGCTGGATCGAGTGGCGGGTGTACATGTGCGAGAACCTGCTATCCAGGGGGTCGACGCCGACAAAGTGTAGTCCATCGCGGGGGCTCCTGTTGGCGAAGGGGACGGTGATTTTGTACTGGCGGTGCCCCTTTTCGACGGCATCGAGGTTCGTAATGGACTTTCGGATGATGAGCCTCGGGCGGTCCTGCTCGGCCTTTCCACGCAGGCTGACGCGGAGCGACCCGTAGGCCGGCGTGCAGCCCTCGAGCTCTCTATTCTCGGCTGCAACGTCGGTCTTGCGGGTGTGGAAGATGGAGCGGGCACGGATGCGGCGCAGGTCGTGGTGCTCGGCCCTCCAGTTCCAGCCGTCGGGGTGGGAGAGCTTTTTGTAGGGGTCGAGATAGTCGACGTGGGCCTTGCGTTTCGGGCCCTCGATGACTTCGCCGTGCGCGTCGCGGAGGTCGGTTATGGTGACGCGGTCCGTATCGATTTCGCAGTGGGCAGCGTCGAGGGCAATCTCCTCAACCTTGTCGTTGAAGGTGACGACGTAGATGTCGGTGGTGCCGTCGATGCGCCTGTCGTGGAAGTTGACCTCGAGATTGACCTCCTGCTTGACGATGAAGTATTCTTGGATCGGCCGGTCCTGGATGAGCGGGAGGCCGTCGGCGCCATCGAGCAGTGGGTGCTGCTCGGCGCCTTGGAGCAGGGACATGGCGGCGAGGAGATGGCGGCGAGGAGATGGAGGGCGAAGCGAGGTCTGACAGGTTCCAGGAGGATATCTACAGCCCCAGCGAGCCCGCTTCCTCACAGGGCTTGCACCTCACAGGGCTTGCACCTCACAGGGCTTGCACCTCACAGGGCTTGCACCTCACAGGGCTTGCATCGGCGGCTGCCCTTTGCTGTGCTGTGCCCCGGCGGGGTTTGGCCACCTCTGTCGTCAGCGCCAGTCGCCTCGCTCGTCATGACGGGGCCCAACTCTTGGCTGCCGTGACTCTGTCGTGCGGTGTGGCGCGAGCTGTCGCCGGTCGGAGCGGACGAGTGCGTGCAGGTCGGAGCCTCGAGGCGATTCAGGAACGGCAGGCGGCACTGGATCGAGCCAGCCGCTGCAAAAAGAAAAAAATAGGATCGAGCCAGCCACTGCAAAAAGAAAAAACTAAGAGGCGGGTGGAAAAGGAGAGAACAAACGCCCGAAACGCCCGAAACGCCGCAAATTTTTTTTTAGGTGGTAGTGGCGTTGAAGGCCTGAGGGGCCACAAACGCCACGGCAACCACAGCCCCGGTCCAGACCGCAATAAGGATCAACATTGTCACAAGGACAATAGCGGCACAAAATGTTCCAATTTCGATTTGGAATATAGTGTGACGCGTTGCACCGACGGCCCCCCCCCCGGGGGTTGCCACGGCCGCGTTCTCGCCGTTGAGCGAGCTGAGGGTCCATAGTTAGCTTAAACGTAGCACTCTAAAGACCGACAAGCGTTGCAACATGCCTTGACTCCTCGGGTTCGAGGGCCGCTTGCGTCCAGGACGGCGGCTGGGGCGGCGGCGGCGGGAGCGGAGGCATTATAAACGAGAATTTTATCACAACAAAAGTTCTATTTTAATTAGCTTGATGGAGTAGCTGGACGACGGGCTATATGGATGGGACGGGCTGTATGGATGAGAGGCTGGATTGACGGGCTGGATGGATGAGACGGGCTGGATGACTTGACTTACCGGTCCATCTTCGCTGTCAATAGAGCTTGACGGAGAAAGAAAACAAGAACAGGACGGCTGCGTCCATCGCAGGATATTATCATCCTCGCAGGGTCTCTTGCCGTGTCGTTAATCCCCTACTCGCTTCTGGCTGTCGCTGGAGGCAGGTGTCGCTCCGGGTCTTGGCCAAGCGTCTACTCCGTACTTGCGTATAAGTCACGCCTGACAGTCGTGCTCGGTTGGCGCCCAGCGCAGAAGCACCCACGCTTCGCTAAGGGTTCTCAATCGGGCAAGCGAAGTGACGAGGGAAGAGCTGGAAGCAACGGGCGGCCAAGGAGCAATGGTACGCAAAGCGCTTGCCAGCTTGCCCATCGGTGCAGGGAGGACTGGACAGAGAGGCATCCGCGAGTCATTCCAAGGTGCCGATGAAGATCATGGTTGATTGGCACGCGGCTCAATGTCACAGCGGTGCATAGGAAGTTGCCAATGTCGTCGAGGCCATGAGGTGGAGGACTTGGTCCAAGCCGGCAGCCAGGACAGCCTTGGAAGTTCACAGCAAGATCAAGGTCCACCAAGAGTGAGGCGGCAGACTACTTTGCATGTGCACGTTGGAAGGCTGCGACGAAAGTTGGTCAAGACGATTCAATGTTGCGCCAGACGCGATGTGCCTTCTTCATAACAAAACTCCTCAACTCCTCTGTACGTCATCCATGCCCACGCCGCCGCCCTCACCATTCCGCTTCCTCGCCGAAGCGCAGATCACGAGGCCGTCAGCACTTCCACAGCAATGGAGGGGGGGTTGCAGAATTTGGGCTTTTCTCCCATTTCCTCTTCTTATTCTTCTTTAGCCACAGCCGGTAGGTTTGCCCTAGGGGGGAACTTGCTTCCGCCACCACAGGCAGCCAGCATCCATAGCAAGGCATCATGGAGGCTGGAGCGAAGCTTCCCTCCCATGCGTGGAATTTACTTTGGAAGACAGCTAATATAAGGAGAGCGCCAGCTCTTTCCACTCATTCCTTTATTTCTTCCCACAACCCTACTCACAATTGCCGTTCCTCACCCTCCAACATCACAACCACCACCTGCGCACTCTCACAGTCCAAGGCATTCATCGCTGGCCAAAAAATAACACAGCATCTTTTATACTCGAGCGAAAAGCGTGGCATCCAAGTTTGCACCGCACGCATCGCAAATGCAGCTCTCGCCGAAAAACACAAGGCCCCCGAACGAACGCCCGCCGCCGTACTGCGCACGCGATGGCCCGCCCCAGGAACAACGCGAGGCCGGCAGCGCCAAGGCGGACGCAGACGACTCCCCTTGGCCGCCCAAAGACATCGATTTGTCAATCATGTTCCTCCCGGATCCGATGGACCCATGGCTGAATAACGCGGCCTGGGAAGCCGATGTGGATGTTGTGGCCAAGGACGTGCCACGCCTGATGAGGGAGGGCTTCCACTGGAACGAGGCAAATATCCAGAGGGAGAAGGGACATATGGTTCTTAGAGGTTTGCCACCCATCCCGAGAAGTAGAGGTTGGAGCTACGCCCGCGTCTTTTACCTCACCGATAAACCGCGAGATGGAGGAGACGCGCAGTGGACTGCGACTCTGACGGTTTTCGCCCGCAAACTCTCTGTGCTATCCAACTTCAAACCGAGGCAGATCTCTCTCGGCAATGTTCACAGTGCTTGGGCCTGGAATCGTGACAAGAAGCTCACATACTCTTATTATGCTATCCGCCCCGGCGATAGCTTCAACACCATTTATGATGATCGGCCGCTGGAGGGATGGTGGCCATGGCCAAAGAAGAGGCAGAGCCCGCTGCAGGGATGCTGTCCATGGCTGTAGAATGGGCGGAGCTTGTTGGAGGGATGGTGGCCACGGTTAACGAAGAGCCAGGGTTGGAGGGCAGTGCCAGATGAAGTCGAGCTATAGTCAGTCAATGCATCACTTTCCTTCCAGTCTCTTGTTTGTTGTGCATTTTACTCCGTGCTATGCCACTCGTGAAGAGATGTGGTGGTAATAAAGAGGGGTAAATCAAATGGGGTTGGGCCGACCGGGGAGGCTGGCGGAAGGGCACATTTCTGCATGGCAAGGCACCACAGAACCGGCCGGCCGGCAGGCCCGAGCACCGTCCGATTCACCGCTCGGCATCGGGCCGGGAAAAAAGAGGGGCCGCCGGGACGCCCAACTAGGCAGAGTGGAGTATTCGCACCCAGTCCTCTACGGCAGCACCTCTGCTTCCGAGTCGAGATGGGCCGTAGATTTGAATCACGAATGGTCCGATTTTCGTGCCTGATCATCAGAGTGTCCCCGTGCGCGCCTGTTCCTCTCCCCCTTCCTCTTCCCCACTCCCCAGGCGCGGAGAGCATCAAGCGCAAGACCTTGACCCTCATCTAATTAGTACGCCGCCAAGTAGAAGAGCCAATCAGCGAGGGACGGCGACGTTTCTTGGCCCTAACTTGGCGGGGTAAACTGCCCGCCATCGCCGCGCCTCATGAGCCTTTTCCTCGCATCACCATTGTCACATTCTTGGCCTTGTCCAACATGGCACTGCCAGCCTGCGTCCAAGCGGCGCTCAGCATCCCCGAGGTGCTCATCCACATCCTCGAGTACGTCGACGACGAAGACCCGGAGTCGCTGCCGTCCGCGATTCGTGTCAACAAGCACTGGTTCATCTGCGGCACCGACGTTCTCTGGCGCGATGGCACCTGCGAGGCCCTGGCCAACGTGCCGCAGCATCGCCGCCAGATGTATGCCTCCAAGTTCATCTCGCTCCAGTTTTCGGGCGACGACGAGGCTGCGTACCACGCCATCTTCCAGCACCTCGAGTTCCCCCGCCTCAAGTACGTCTCTCTCGACGCCTATCGTCCGGGAGGCGGCTCCTATCCCCTCCGCCAGTACCTGCAGCCCCCCTTGGAGAATTTATTCTTCTTCGGCGGGGAGCTCGACGATGACTTGCTCCAGCACTTGCAGACGCACTGTCGGCGCCTCAAGAGAATCATCCTAGATTCGCCGGGCGTCGGGGTCACGGCCGAGTCCTTTTTCAACTTCATCGTCGGCTGCAGGTTTCTTGAGCATGTTAAGCTCGACCACCTGCTTACCGACGAGCTCATGCTGCATCTTGCCGGGCGATCCGGCCTCTTAACTTTGAGCACCCGAAAAATCTTCTCGATACAGCTCCTACAGCAAATCTTGACCCTAGCTCCTAGACCATTTAGAGCACTCAACATCTTTCACGCCGCCGCCCCCTCTGCAGCCGTGCCCTTGGTCGTCGGCTTAGCCGGTAACCTTACCAATCTTCACCTGTACATTCAAGACGCTGACTCTGACGTCCTTGGTCTTGTTTCTTCCTTGACCAACCTCCACTTCCTGTCTCTGTCTTTCGTCATGCCCACCAAACTTTCAAAACAAGGCCTCATGTCTCTAAAGGACCTCACCAGGCTCCGCACACTTGACATAGGCCCAGGCGAAAGCGAAAATGCGTCAGAACTAACAGCCTTTGAATCAGGCTTTACAGATACAGACTTTTTTGACATGGTTTCTCAGTTTCAACTTCTGTTCAGAATCCGCTTCATGGTGCAGTGCGACTTGTGTGTCGCTGTATTGTTGGAACTCGCACGATGCTGCCCCTTCCTCGAGGAGTGCGCCCTGCCTCAAGCTATGGACATGGAGGTATTACACTTTTTAGTCGGTCAAGGCCCCATTCTGTTGAGGTTGCAGTCGCTGGAATTAGGTGCTCTTCGATCTGTGGAACGTGCAGATAATGATGAGGGGTGAGACTCGAACAACAACCCCCCTCTCACTTACAACACTGACTCGTCGCAGGCAAATGCCTTCCGAGAATCTCACCGCTCTCATAAAATGCTGGTTCCCGAAGCTGCAAGAGTTGCACATCAGCGGCGACGACGAATTCTCCAAGGTCGTTGTTGACGCATTTTCAAACGAGTAGAGTCCCTAAAGCAGGTGTGGCAACTGGCAGCTTAGGGCGGACAAAGAGCCGTTCAAGCTGCCGCTGTGCTGGAGGGTTGGTAAAGACCGTGTTTAACCAGCACCCAGCCTACACTATCCCAGATATCAAAGGTAGGCTAGTGTGACTGAGTTAAGGTGTAGCGCGGATACCATAAAGTTATATGCGTATATATGCCGCGTCTACGTATAACGACCGACCTAAGAATATAAGTTAACTTCAAGTTATTTGCAAAGCTCTTTTAACTATAAGCCGACCTTACCGATGCCAATTCCCCCATCCGAGCTCCAACCAGGAGGGAGTATTGAGGTGAGCTTGATGGCTTTCAATTAGGTGACAAGACGCACTAGTCGGATGAACATGGTCACGTTCCAAACTGTTGAATACTCTCAAGGCTTTCAGGGTTTCCGCTTGGTATCATGAACAGGCTCGAATGGGGTGCTTCCGTTCAAAACTGATGAGGGCAGGCCGTTTCCCGCGAGAAAGTCGCGAACCGGGCTCAGCAAGCCAATATCCTTATCTGCGAATAAGGTTACTAGGTATTAGGATAACACTTCTCACTTGCAATGCCGAGATAACCTACCTTCAGGCTCGATGATCGATAGACATACCGGGAAGAACTCTTGCCTTTGCGTGACTTGGGAGTAGAATGGGCATTGGCCGACTAAAGACGACGGTTAGGAGGGGAAAGCATGGTTGTCCAAAATGACGGGCACCAGTACCTGGGAAAATAATGCTGGGCACACCAGCAAAGGACGCGTGAAAGTTTGAGTCGAAGCCGTATAAATCTCTGTCTTGTGGAGCTCTGGACTCACGTTAGAGGCGGGATACAAAGAGCAGGTTGGGAGACGATTGACGATCCGTCGGACGTACGAGAGGTACTCATTCCGGTAATCCAGCTTATAGCGTGTGATGATCATGATGGTGCTTTGATCGTTGAGAATATGCTGGAAGAGCCACTCGTTGTGCATGGTCACTTCATTCGACGCCTCGTGTTTGCGAGAACTTGTCATTGCCTGCCCCCTGTTCCTAGATTTGCACCATTTTTAGGCATCTGAAAAGGAAGGTGCGTTAAGAGAATGTCGCGACTTACCACAGCCATTGAGTAACTTTGCAAACGTAGGGTGCTGAGTCGAACTTCTCTCGATACACTTTCGAAAGTCGGGCGAGTGGCTCCAGAACTCGCTACAGATAATATCCATAAAAGTCTGCAGTGTCTTGTATAAGTTAACCGCATAAAGAGGCTAGAGTCGGGGTGGCGGTCAGACTTTACCTGGGCAAAGGCCTTGGAAACCCTTCTGGGGCATGAGGGGACTACGTAGCATTCCAGGGATCCCCAATGGACAGGTCGTGTACCTCTGTCCCAAGCCATGCTGTCAGGGAGGCCACCCACCCGTCGGCTATCCTCTGAACCCGAGCATGATCGGAGCAGTAATCTTTCGGAAATAGGATACGCGTTGGGTGTGGGCGCTGTGACTCGCTCAACCTCCATCAACAGCCATGATGATACCACACACACTTTCTGTAGGGTCAACGGGGGCAGCGAGCCATTGACGACCGAATTCTAGCCTGGTCCGGCTGCTACGCCCAAGAAAGCCCAGGTGTGGAAGATCTCGTGCTCTGTCAGTAACGCTTGCTGTATTGAAAGTGAGGGCATAGACGTGCGGGCAAGGACGCATCGTGTCTGGAGCCGGGAAGCCATTGTGCGACGGGCGAAATCCGTAGATGCCGTGTGCAACCGCCAGGTCTCGGATGCTTCCACCGACTATAAGGATCAGAGCGTCAGCGCCGACCAAAGCAATGAACGTGTAGATAACTTACCATCGGTTCCCAGCGTGATATCGAGCGAAGAGTAGGTAGCCAAGCCTGCCGTAGAGCCTGTGATGCTTTCTATCGAGGCTAAGTACCCATCCTCGCGAGCATTAAACGGGTAGAAATGATTGGACTAGTCCCCGATGACTTCTTGGTTGCCTCTAAACTCGACTGTCTTCGTCTTACCTAGACCTGTGGCCCTTTTTCTATGACCAGTTTGACTATAGGAGACGAGGTTTCCGAAGCGTCGTGTAGTCTACGATATGCACGGTTTTTATAGCCCGTGTGAACCTCTTTGAAATGAAATAGGTCCTTGATTGCAATTCTCATGCCGGCCAACGGAGAGCGCTGCGACATTATATAGTAGAGTCAAGACGGGACTATAACGCAAAAGGAAGAAGTCGCATAGGCCGCGGCATTTGAGAGTTTCGTACCTACATACTGACCGTGAAAAGAATGGCCATAAACGATAGAATGGGGCCGCAGCCAGCTTACGTTTAAGGGTCATCTTAAGAAGGAACCATGCTAAGGACGAAAACTTCTTATTTATCGGGAAATATCCTTAAAGCCAAATAAAGGCCATAGGTCGAGAAGAAATACGGCCCGAGCGGGATCTGCTATAAGGTAGGGATCACGAAAACCTAATGGCAACCCTAAGACGAGAGTAAGTCTATAATAGCGTCACTGAGCGACGAATTTTCCGAAACGACGAGGATATTTGCACAGAAAGGTGTCACAAAAACCATATCGTTCTACGAGTAGCGAATGTGTGCTTCTAAAGTTTTCCGGCGGTAGGCGGTTCTATTGGCTTCTAGGCATAAAAGCAGGTGATGGTGTGTGTTAAGCCGAGTCGCCGAATCTGGAATCGCCTCATGTGCCGCAAATTCCGCAAATGATAATTCCTGGGGAAAAAAGCGATGAAAAAGTGTATTGAAAGAATTGTTCGTCATTGACTGGCTCCAACATCTTGCCTTCGCAAGACAACGCTGGAACAAAAGGAGATCCTGCAAGAGCGCGCCGACTGATCAATCTTGTCTAGTCAAGTCACTTAATGCATAGTAGGCTACTTTAAGGGAGCTCTGTGCTTGTCGAGCTGGAAATAGATGTTGTCTACTCCTGGAGTTCGGAGACAAGGTATGCAGCAGCAGGAATCAAGTCCGGGCTCGTGCTCTTAGGGCTCTTAAAGGAAAGTTAGTGTCGAGAATCTCTTTGTTGATTGAATGAATCAGAATGGGAATATCAGGCTGAAGCCTACTTATTCGCGCTTTCATCGAGTTGATCACGTCTTCAGTGGCGCGAACCGCAACAGCATCAGCTGGCAAGTCTCTCTTGCTGACACTCGGGGCATCCTTGTAGCTTTCGACGGCAATCAAGAAGTACGCGACGCCCATGGCGTTGTCAGCTGACACCGACTCGCTCTGCTGGGTTGAAGCAGTTGGGGCGGCGGTAGAAAGACTACTGGAGAGGGCGACGAAAAAGATGGATGACTTCATTTTGATGTTTGATATTTGCTTGCCGTGTGGCGTTGGGTAATTATTGCGAGGCAATTTAAAGATTTGAAGGCTTGAGTGACCGTAAAACCTGGCAACTAAGAGGCAGGCCTTGGGAACGGATGCAATATGCCCCATTTTGACGGTGAGGCGTTGCTGTAACTCGTAGCCGGATAGCTTTCACGTAATGTTATTTTGGTCTCGAGGTGACGACAGCATCCCGCTACACGTTGGTTCTGCTGCTAAGAAGACTTTACCTATAGGATAGCAGGCTTTTTTGCTTAATGCCTTAGTAAGCTAGTCTATAGTTATAAGGACCTTCCTACTTAGGGGGGTTCGGCCGGATTGTTTACTTAGGCCTAACGCGGATCCTACTAACGAATATAATATTAAGGCTAACGTATAGTAGAAAAGGTCCTATTTTATAAGGCGAATTAAAGCTTATAAGGGCTTATAAGTTATAGGTAATATAAAGTAGATACTAAAGATAATATATAGCTTAAGCCGTTCTTTTAGTTCTTTTATCTTTAGACTATACCCTTACTAATATAGTTAGTTAGATTAAGTCTTTACTAAGTCAGCCCACCTAAAGTCCGGCACACCCTAACACCGGCACTCTCTACAATACTAAGGCAGGCACATTCTAACAGTAATTAAAGCCGCATTTTAACGTTACGATAGTTAATTATAGTGTTTTCTAGCTATTTAAGCTGCCAGCTACTACATAGAGCTTTAAAATCTACGTCTTGATTGGCTGCGGCAATAGCAGCCGGCTCGAGGATGCGCTCGAGCCGCTGCCTCGTCTTAATAACTTAATCAATCCGTACGAACCGGCTATTAGGATCCTATAGAACCTTTTTCTATTTTCGAGGCCGTAGACGATGCAATTAATGCTTAAGCTATTATATTCGAAGCTAGGCAGCTTTAAGCTGCTAATTTTAATTATTAAGGGCGCGGCTAACTTTACTAAAGAGTAGTCGGATTATACGGTTAACTTAACCGCGATTTTCTAGCCCTATAACGAGGCGGCGAACTTCTTATAATCGTTTAGGCGTTTTAAGGGCATTTTTATTAGCTAAGGAGCTAATATTCTTCCTTTTTAATAGCGTTAACGGCGTTAACGGCTATAGTAAGACGAAGCGGCTTAATAAGGGCTTTACTATATTAATTAGCTATAAACTAAACCCGCGCTAACCTCCCTTAATATTCTTTTCGGTTAGGCTAGCCTGCCGGGCTTTATAGTAGATACGAAGGAAGGTAGCCTTGCTAATTAGCGCTATATTATCGAAAGATACGATTTTCTCGAGTTAACGTTAGTATACGGCTTTAATAGGCGAGAAAACCGAGATATCGAGTAGTTAAAGGATATATAAGGAGTATAATAGTAGGAAAAGGAGATATATACTATTCTAGAAGTATTTATATATAAAATTATTAGTCTAATAACTCCTATAGCCGTTAATAATAAGAAAAGTATTGCCTTACTTATAGTGCTATATTTAAGGGATAAAAACCTACTTTAGCTACTAAATAGCGATAGTATTACTTATCTAGCCCTTTAAGGAGGCAATAAAGTCCTAATCTTATAGAAAATTAAATTCGTTAGGGAACTATTAGTATTAAAGGTCTTAACCCTTAAAAATCATAAGGGGAGTTAAGGCCTAGCCTATAGTAGAGATGCATTTAACTATTATAGTCTAATAACGCGATCCTAGCCGCTTTTTAAGAGTCTCTTACTTCTCTAAGCTCCTTAGTACTAGACTATTAGAGCCGAGGCCCTTAAGGATGCCCGTTTCGTCTATATTAAAGCGGGACTCCGGTAGGATTGCCTATATAGCCGGCAGCTTAAGCAATTAAAACTATTCCTCGATACGGGCTATAGAGGCGCCGTTAACGCGAGTAGAATCGAGAGATCTACCTTTAATAGTACTAATCTCTAGGTTCCGGGCTAAAAAGCCCGAAATCTACTACTTCCTAAGCGGACGGGTATCGCCGCCGGCCTTAACGATACGGCCGGTAAATTCCTTAACCTAATAATGCGTTAAAGGTAGCCTAAGGGCGGCCTAGGCAAGAACCTAGTCGGTACGGTGTTTTTCCTGCTCTCGGCTAAGCCTCTAATATGCCTCTTTTACCTCCTTAATAAGCAGAGCCCCTTTAAGACGTATATAGAGGGTCCCTCTTAGAATACCCTACTTTCGACTAGTATAAAGCTAAGGCATCCTGTTTTTAATAGCTTCGAGTGCTTCTTAGAGCTGGTTTTTAGTATACTTAGAAAGCTAAGGCATCGCTAATATAAATAGTATTTATTTTATAATTATAGGGTAAGAGATATACGAGAAAACGCGGTTATAATATAATATATTTAACAACGCGATAGTATTATAGAGAGTGCTAGTATTAGGGTATACCGGACTTTAGGTAGGCTGACTTATTTACTAAAATAATTCCGGTCTATTAAATATAATAGCTTAATTACTATTAGTTAAGCTTAAATAGCTACCTATAGTAAGCTTCTAGCTTCTTACTTAGCTTTTAAAGTACTATTATATTTATAGTATAAAACTACCTTAAAAAGTATAAAAGCTAGGTATAAGTATTAAAGATTATTATTAGTTATTAAACTAAGGCTAGTTTATGCTTCTTAATAAACCTTAAAGGGATACTATTTAAACTTAATACTTTCTAGCTTACTATCTTATTATATACTATAGTAATATTAGTTATTTAAATTTATTAGTTAACTATAAGGGTTACCTTAGCTATAAGCTAAAGTAGCTTTTAAGTTATATTAGCTATTAATAAAATAAACTTAGTAGTTAGTATCTAGGCCTTTTCTTTAAAAGTTTCTATTAATTAGTTTTTACCTTTCTTAAGTAATAGTAAGATATAAGTTAGTTTTAAGAGTAGCTTACTATTAAAGAAAGTAAGCTTAAAAAACTAAAATAGTACCTTATAAACTAAATAGTTATATATAAAGGAGTTTACTTAAGTAATATAACTCCCTTAGCTTAAGAATATAATATAAGCTTAACTTAAGTATATAAATATCTTAATACTATAAAAGTCTTTAACTATTATAAGTTATAGGTTTAGGCTATAGCCTAAGCTATATAGTTATATATAAAGAGCTAGATCTTATATATATATATATAAGCTAGCTATATATAAAATAGCTTTATATAGCTTATTAATATTATTTTATAGATAGTACCTATATATATATCTCTACTTACTTTATAATAGTATAAGCTATTAACTAATAGATTTAATAGATATTTCTTTAAAGAGGGTACCGCTTCTTTAAAGAAGTCCTCTGCCCCCCCTTAGATAGATAGGAAGTATTATAACTATCTTAAAAGCAATTAAAAGCGCGATAACTAGCGAGAAAGATAAGGTTCTTACTATATTAAAGAAGCTATTTATAAGACTAGTATTAACCTCTATAACCTTTATAACGCTAGTTATAGCGGCGATACTATTAATATAAAAGCTACTCCCTTAGCTAACTTAGGATAATAAGCTAAAGTCCTTTTACTTTTTCCTTAGCTAGCTATAAATAAAGTTTATAACTAATATATAAGGGTATATATATTATAGTATAATTAGTTAGGTAGTAGAGATAGCTAGAAGTACTATGCTTTATATATTATATTCTCCTTATTATAAGACTAAAGCTTATAAAAAGAAAGATTTCTCTTCTTTAGTTAAATAGTAAGTAGTTTATAATATATAAGTAAGGTAAGTACGATTCCTTACTAATACCCTACTAATATATTAATACTATATACTTAAGTGCTTTATTAGCCTATACCTCTTAATAGCGCTCTTATAATTATCTCCCCTCTTATATAAACGTCTTAGCTATATCTTTAATATATATTACTTTCGCTATACTATATATATTTAGTAAAAAAGAGAGGTAGTTTTAGTTATATATCGCGTATATATAACTATATAAGTATATATTAGTCTATACTTTATAACGTTAATAGTTATTATACTATTAGTTACTACTAAGTAACCGTTATAGTATCGCCTATATATTAGCCGCGTAACCTTAATATAAAAAGCATATATATATATCTTTTACTTCTTTTATTTTCTTTTTTTAACTCTTTTACTTATAATTACTATAGAGTTTTATACCTTTTTTTATTAATCCCTTATACTTTTTTATATTACTTTTTATTAATAATTTATTAATAATAATACCTTCTATACTAAAGAAGATAAAGAACTATAACGCTGATTTCCTATACTATATATAGGAGTAGGTAGCGGCGGGTTCGCCCTTAAAGTATAAGCGATTAGCTTAAAAGTCTCGCGGTAACGCTAGTTCCCCTTTAGTAAAGAAAGCTAAGAAAGGTATAAGGGAATCCTAGTCTTAAGAGACTTTTAGTCTAGGACTTAATATTAGTAAGGGTTATACCCTTATTACCTTACTAAATACCCTAACTTTAACTACTAATAAGCCTACCTCTATAGGCTAGGAAACTTATAAGTCTATTACCTTTATTAGCGACGCTAATACTAATAAGGAGATTATACCTAGGCGCTCTTAGGTAAGTACTAATAACCTAGCTACTCTATCTTAATAGGGCGGCTCTAGCTAATAAGAGATTATCGCTTAGGCCGCTCTTTAAAATAAGTAAGCTAATATTAATAATAAGGCCTAGCTAAATAAGGGCTAAGACGATCTTAATACCTAGCTAAATAAGGGCTAAGATAACGATAATAGTAATAATAAAGATAGCTATAATCTAACTCCTTTTACTAATAAACCTAAGAATAGCGGCGCTAAAGATAAGGGTACCTAAGCGGCGGTATAAGGCAGTCGCGCTCCTATAAAAAAGTATACCTAATCTAAGGCTAAAGCTTACTTAGTTAAGTCCTAGGGGGTTATCTCTTATAAGCTCTAGTATATATATTATTTTAAGATAGTTATTAAGGAGTATAGTATAACTAAGCTTAAGCTTATTAAAGTACTCTTAATTAACTATATT